ACAAATACCGGTATGTGATTTGTCAGTTGCACCCAGAAGAGCGATGCCTGCCTATTAAGAACAGATGTCAAATATATTGCAGGAAATACCCAAGCGCTTAGCAAGTCTGAACATCATGCATACTGCACTGAAGGTGGGGCAGAGGAGCTTTTCCTAAGTAGTAGGGCGGCATTGTTGTCGAGCTGGTGCCTGGACCAGATGGCCGGGAGGTTGCCTGCTCTTGATGGGACAGGGATAGCCTAACTTCTGTTGTCTGTGCTCTGGTAACCTCAAGGTTAGATAACAGTAATATGTTATACTCAGGGCTGCCTCTGAAGATGGTTCAGAAACTTCAGCTAGTGAAGAATTCAGCAGCCTGGTTGCTCACTGGGGCAAGACAGGTTGAGCATATTACACCTATCCTGGCCCAGCTGCACTGGCTTCCAGGCCCAATTCAAAGTGCTGGTTTTGACCTAGAAAGCCTTGAATAGCTCAGGACTGCAATACCTCAAGGACTGCCTCTCTCCATATGAACTGACCTGGACCCTGCAGTCATCATGTGAGGCCCTTCTTTGCGTGCGTCCTCTGTGAGAAGTCTGGCAACATGAGAACAGGCCTTTTCTGCAGTGGCTCCCCGTTTGTGGAATGCTCTTCATTACACACCTTTAGGCACCAGGCAAAAATATCCTCTTCAACCAGGCCTTTGGCTGACTAACAACCTATATCCTTTTAGATGCCAGTGTCAGCTTAGATGGAGCTCAAGGAGGAGAGGCCAGGGAGCTGCCCCCAGGAAGGCCCTTTCACAAATCACAGGACCACGAACCACAATAGCGCTTTGTCACTGCAAGAGGAGTGTGCGGCTAGATAGCCCTTTGGTCTGATCCAACAGCATGTTATATATAAAAGGCAAAGGACCCCCTGGACAGTTAAGTCCAGTCAAAGGCGACTATGGGGTTGCGTCACTCATCTTGCTTTTCAGGCCAAGGGTGCCAGCGTTTGTCCACAGCTTTTTGGGTCATATGGCCAGCAGGACTAAATCACTTCTGTTGCAACAGGACACTGTGATGGAAGCCAGAGTACACAGAAATGCCGTTTACCTTCCCACCACAATGGTACCTATTTATCTACTAGCACCGGTGTGTTTTCGAACTGCTGGGTTGGCAGGAGCTGGGACAGAGCCACGGGAGCTCACCACCATTGCACGGATTTGAACCATTGACCTTCCAATCTGCAAGCCCAAGAAGCTCAGTTTTTCAGATGATATGTTATATTATATGTTTATCCCTCAACTTGCAAAAGATATTTTAAAAACCCTCCCCTGAAGGGGTGGTGTTTTTAGAGGCACCAGCCAATGGGACCCCTCCACTGCCAGCTTACAGTCTGCTTCATCCCATCATAGCAGGACAAAAAAATGACAAAGACCTTTTCCTGTTCTTCACAACAGAGAAGTAATGGCACCATCCCACTGCCTCCAGTGCTTCAGAAAGTGGTTTTCCTTCACCCTTTTGCCCTAATGAGACTGGGCAAGTCACTGTAGCTATTGCTTTGGGGGCAAACAAAAGTAAATAGGATCCTATTAAAAATGGGAAGCTTAGCACAAAAGAGTGGGGGGAACCACACCAAACTCCGATTCAATAAACATCAGAAGAGGTTCTATCCATGGATAATTAACTCTGATGTCTTTCTAAAAACGAGAATAATTGAAAACAGGGGTTTAAAGTTGATTCATGGAGGCTTCCCCAAGATATTTATTATTGCAAGCTCAGAAGATCTGTCTGGGTTCTGTCACTGGGGATGGCTAAACTTGGTGTCCAGATGTTTGTTTAAGTTTCTCCCACATAGTTCTGAAGTCCGTTAGCAGGGGGTTATCAGGGAGCAGGCCCTGCGAATCTTCCTTGACTAATATTCTCATTTCTTCCGCAACTTTGATGTTTTCTTTCATTAAAATTCCTGGCCCTTTGCCACACACACCAAAAAAAAAAACCGCTTGGTTTGCAAAAAGAGAGGCCTGCAGACATGACATACGACCGAAGAAAGCTAATATTTATCATCAGCTGTCATTAAAGCCTCGCTATAATTGGTGTGGTGACAATCAGAACAGCTTAAAATGGACCAAAAAAAATTAAGGGAAAAAGAACCGAAGGTGGTGCATAACGACACAAGTCAGAAAAAGGTGTCCACCAAATTAATTGGGAGTTAGCAAATTCCTGCACTTTATTTTTTAAGGGGAAAAGAAAAAGACAAGATTATAACTATGAAGCTGAGAGGGGGTGAATTCAGGGCGCCATTGATGGCAGACGGAGAAATCTCACTCTCAAAAACTGAGGCACAACCCGTCGTGACAGCTTCCTGGGCAAGTCGCACATGAGAGAGTGAGCCTGGCTGTGGCAGGGCAGGAGTGTAGGGGTGTTGCACATGCGTGCATGCATGAGAAATGGACAGAGGTTCTCAAGCATTTTCATTGGCTAAAACATTCTTGGGGAGGAGGTTATCTGCAATTCGTAGAAACCAGCCTTATAACACAGCCTATTTCTTACTCATAAACTTTGTTATTAATTGAAAACTGTAATTCACCGAATTTGCTCACAAATGCATCCATGTCGAACGGTACCCCATTGCAGACAGCAAACATCATAGTCAAGAAGAGCACAAGGAGGAAACGCTGCAAAGTTAATGGGACTCCAGGAGAGTTCAGGGAGAGCATGGAGAGCAGCAGGTAGGAAGAGGAAACACGGTGAGGGGGGAATAAGTAGGGGGTGGTGCAGCAGAATTACAGGGCAAAAGAAAAAAGGGTAAGAGGACTTATACGTCTCCCACTGTTTTGAACAGAGGTACACTTTGGGTAGGCGCTGTGGGTTAAACCACAGAGCCTAGGACTTGCTGATCAGGTCAGTGGTTCGAATCCCCACGACGGGGTGAGCTCCCGTTGCTCAGTCCCTGCTCCTGCCAACCTAGCAGTTCGAAAGTACGTCAAAGTGCAAGTAGATAAATAGGTACCACTCCGGTGGGAAGGTAAACGGCGTTTCCGTGCGCTGCTCTGGTTCGCCAGAAGTGGCTTAGTCATGCTGGCCACATGCCCCGGAAGCTGTACGCCGGCCTCCTTGGCCAGTAAAGCGAGATGAGAACTGCAACCCAGAGTCGGTCATGACTGGACCCAATGGTCAGGGGTCCCTTTACTTTTACCTTACACTTTGGGCGGACTAAGATGTGCTTCTCCCAGGACCCCCTGCTCTCCCAGCAGCCCAATGGCAACACTTTCACTGACTTTAAGGAGCCTAGAGTACGTTTTTGTTGATGCATTTAAGATTTTAAACTATGTTACACCCCGGAGCCTGACAGCATTTAAAATGAAGTATATCTTCAAAGGAGCATAGTGCTACAAAAATAATCTGGTGTTCACCATTTTAGGCAAAGGTGGTGGGAAAGAAAGAACCATATTTTCCATGTGTAATCTTTCTCTCTCTCACACACACACACATCAAGAATCTTCTCTGGACTAGATGGTGGGAAGTAGGAAGCTTCGAAGGCAACCGCATTTAAGATGTGATGAGGGTCACTCCAAGGCAGTGTCTCAAATGAGGCCCCTGACTGCCATTAAGAGGCTAGAAGCAAGCGCTTGGGTGATGCAGGACAAGTCTAAGCAGAGGGCCATATCCTAACAAGAGTAGATCCATGGGAATTAATGAGCCTAAATTAGTCATGTCCATTAACTTCAGTGGCTCTATTTGGAGTAGGATGAGCACTGGATTCCACTACACTGGGGGCCACATGTCAAACTGAGTATGTAGCCTAAGTGTAAAGGGGGACAGGGACTTTTTTTTTTGAAGGGCAAATGGTGGGGTGTCACAAAACCATTGTGGCATCATTGATACACAGTAGGCGGCCTGTGGGAGAGGCCAGTGAGTACAGGACTTTTAAAAATTAAATGGTCAATCCCGACCAGAGACGAATGGTTGATGAAGATGATGGGACTATGCCAGAGGTCAGCAAACTTTTTCAGCAGGGGGCTGGTCCACTGTCCCTCAGACCTTGTGGGGGGCCGGACTATATTTTTTTTTGGGGGGGGGGACGAATTCCTATGCCCCACAAATAACCCAGAGATGCATTTTAAATAAAAGGACACACTCTACTCATGTAAAAACACACTGATTCCCGGACCATCCGCGAGCCAGATTTAGAAGGTGATTGGGCCTTAGTTTGCCTACCCATGGACTATGCTGAAATGGACACACACACACATAATTAAAATTAAAAATTGGGAGTGGCTTGGGAGGTCACAAAAAACCTTATGACCATGGTCTCACAGCAGGAGACTCAAAGCAGTAAAAAGACCTTTTAAAATTAACTTTTTTTTTAAAGACAAATTGGGGTGAGGAGGTGCAAAATAACCTCTTCAGGGGGGTAGATGCACCCCATGGGCAGGTTAGCCAACCCCACACTTTAGCCAACACAGAGGAGGTTGCCTTCACTAGTGCATCTAGCTCATGACCTGCTATGCTGAAGCTTCCCAGGGCTTCAAACAGGGAGTCTCACACAACCCCATGGAGATGCTGTGATTGAGCCAGGATCTTCTGCCTGCCAATCATGTGTACTAACACTATGCTAAGAGCCTTTGCCACAGTCCCAAGGGCTCTGTCTAACCACCCCACCCCCCAACAGTGGCTCCAACAAAGTTTAATCAGGAGGCAGCAAAAGGAAACTGCAGAACTGAACTGGACATACTCTGAGAAGGTGAAGGACTATGACTGATCTGCCTCTTGAGTCACTTCCTGCCTCTGAATGCCTTCATTCCACCCCAGCACGTGTGCCTCATACCTGCAGCACTCCTAGAGACTATTGATCTGCAAAGGGTTGGATCTTCTCTTCCCCACAGCAAATATCAACAGAGCAGAGATGTACACTTCTTCCCTCCCTCCCCGCCCCCAAGTTTGGTCAGCCCTGATCCAGGAGATGCCTTCACAGGCAGTGCAACTAACTGATGGGGAGGTATCTTAACCCTGACATCACAAGGAGACACACACTGAAACAAGCTGCTCCTGAATTTTAATGCCACATAGAAAAATATAGAAACACAACACTTGTATTTTTAAATAGAAAATATTTGTAATCTTTTACACAAGTTAACAAATCCTACATTTGTTTTGAATCAGTCAAAGACTAGAAGGCAAAGACTTGGCTGCTCTTGCATCTGCTGCCTCCCCCTTTTACATGGGGGGCACAGCAGACTCAATATGCCCCTGCACAAACCCAACTGAGGCAGGCCACTGTGGACTGCTGCTTCTGAGACTTACAAGCTTTCAAAATGCACCAACTTCTTTGGAAAGCAACAGAAAAGGGAACAGGGATTCTGGAAACCTCTGCAGCACTCTGGTTAATCCAGGGCCTCCGCAGGTGAGCACTCCTAACATCCTTGGGCTAAGATGTCGCAGCCCACAAGAGCAAAAAGCACTGTGATCCTTCTGAGTCTTCGCCCAGGCATCCGCTGCAGGTTCTGCCTTGGACTCAGTCTTCAGCCGAGCTGTAGCATTCCTCGTCCCTCACTTCTCTGTAGTTGCCCAGCGTCTCCCCCTCTGGCTCATAGCTGGCCATCTGAGGGCCTAGTCTGCCTGCAAGTTTCTGGGCTGCAAGTTTGGCTAGCATTTCCTATAAAACAGAGAAGAGAAACCATTTACTGAAAGTGAGTAAATGCTAGGGTGGTCCCTAGGCCCAACAGAAACACACCAGAGAAAGCCATATACTATGAGCTGCCCACAGAATCCCCTGGTGTCAAGGCGCAGTGCCATGCTAGAAAGAAAGGCAGTGGAGAAGAGGGGTGGGGGGAAACAAGACCGCCATTCACAGTGCTAAAGCAACTTTGACACACTGTGCTGAACACTGGGAACTATTTGGACACACACAGAGAGAGAGTTGCAGAACAAGATGGCAAAGGGGACCCTAAGGACAAAAAGCCCAGTGCAAGCAGGTAGGTGGAGAGGGAGATCCAGTCCTCTCTTTTCTCTGGCATCCTTAACCACTGAGTTTCAACACCAGTGTATTAATTCATGAACTTGAAGAAAGAAAGAGACATCATAGAGCAAACTAGCTGTTAAATGCTGGAAGTAATTGTCCTTTACAGGCGAACTGCACTTCAGGCGAAGGTGTTCAGAGAAAAAAAATCAACTCTGGCTGATGTTTATCTAGCTGAGTCTACAAATCCGAGATGGTTGGACCAGATATGACATTATTTGTAATTTAATTACAGACAAACCGTCCCAAGTTGTTTATTAACATCACAATAAGCAAAAGAAAACAAAGCAGAGCGTGACAAGACAGTATTAATTTAGTACCCGATACTCTTCTGTATTCATTCCATTCTCACCTGCATTTCAATTGAATTAAGGCTTGCAAGTAAATTAAGTGGATGTGCATATGAAAAAGATTCATAACTCAAATTCAGCATGTAGAATTTCAAAGCTGTGCAAAACTGGCTTATTTGCAATCTGCTTATTTTTACTTGTAAGTCAACATGAGTTAGATTGCAATCACAGACAAATGGGGAATAAATATCAAAATAAATAAGGTAAGTTTGCTCTGAACATTTCTATTCAGAACATTCCTATCCAAGTGTTTTTAGAAAGCAGCATCTTTTGGGTGAAGTTAAATACTGGTACTGCTGAGTCAGGCCACTGATCAAAGTATTGCCTCCTCTGACTGGCAATAGTTTTCCAATATCTCAGGCAGAAACAAGAACAGCCCTGCAGCAGCTGCATGAGGCCAAAAGGGGCTCATCTACTGCAGGATCCTCTCCTGATAGTGGCCTGCCAGGTTCCCATTATGCGAAGCCACAAGAACGGAGCACAACAGCACTCGGCAGCTGGCTTGCAGAGCATACTGCCTCTAATGGGCTCTAAAACACAGCCATCTTGACTAGTAGCAATGGATAGTCTTATCCTACATGAATTAGTCTCTCTTATAGCCACCAAAATTGATAGCCACCATTTGTAACTGGCTGACTGACCGAACCCAAAGGGTGCTCATCAATGGTTCCTCTTCATCCTGAAGAAGAGTGACTAGTGTGGTGCCACAGGGTTCTGTCTTGGGCCCAGTCTTATTCAACATCTTTATCAACGACTTGGATGATGGACTCAAGGGCATCCTGATCAAATTTGCAGATGACACCAAACTGGGAGGGGTGGCTAACACCCCAGAGGACAGGATCACACTTCAAAACGACCTTGACAGATTAGAGAACTGGGCCAAAACAAACAAGATGAATTTTAACAGGGAGAAATGTAAAGTATTGCACTTGGGCAAAAAAATGAGAGGCACAAATACAAGATGGGTGACACCTGGCTTGAGAGCAGTACATGTGAAAAGGATCTAGGAGTCTTGGTTGACCACAAACTTGACATGAGCCAACAGTGTGACGCGGCAGCTAAAAAGCCAGTGCAATTCTGGGCTGCATCAATAGGAGTATAGCATCTAGATCAAGGGATGTAATAGTGCCACTGTATTCTGCTCTGGTCAGACCTCACCTGGAGTACTGTGTCCAGTTCTGGGCACCACAGTTCAAGAAGGACACTGACAAACTGGAACGTGTCCAGAGGAGGACAACCAAAATGGTCAAAGGCCTGGAAACGATGCCTTATGAGGAACGGCTAAGGGAGCTGGGCATGTTTAGCCTGGAGAAGAGGAGGTTAAGGGGTGATATGATAGCCATGTTCAAATATATAAAAGGATGTCACATAGAGGAGGGAGAAAGGTTGTCTGGAGGTCTGGAGCAGAGAAAGGAGGTCTGGAGCAGAGAAGCGGACACGGAGCAATGGATCCAAACTACAAGAAAGAAGATTCCACCTAAACATTAGGAAGAACTTCCTGACAGTAAGAGCTGTTTGACAGTGGAATTTGCTGCCAAGGAGTGTGGTGGAGTCTCCTTCTTTGGAGGTCTTTAAGCAGAGGCTTGACAACCATATGTCAGGAGTGCTCTGATGGTGTTTCCTGCTTGGGGGGGGTTGGACTCGATGGCCCTTGTGGTCTCTTCCAACTCTATGATTCTATGATTCTATGACCTCTTGTGGGAGTGAATTCCATAATCTGACTGTATTTTGCATGTAGAAGTACTTTCTTTTGCTTGTCCTCAACCTTCCACCCTCCAGCTACACCAGATGACCCCCACTGAGTTCTAGTATTATGGGAGAGAGAGAAGTTTCCTACCCACCTTTCCCACATGATGCACGGTACGTCTCTCCCACCTCCTGCTACCTTTCTACTGAGCCTGCACATTACCACCAAGCAATGCATTCTCCCTGATGTTGGTTTGGGGCTGGGGCTGGACCTTGCGCCTCCTTTCTTTCCTCTGTCCTCCACAGCCCAAGGCAAAGCAAAAGTACTGAAGCCTCTTTGCCACGACAAGCTGTTCTAACTCTGGGGTCAAGGAGTTCCCTCCTTGGAACAAAATCCTAGCAGACACTTCTCCCCCTCCACCACCCCAATCTGCATGTCCCCATAATATGTAACAGGAGCTCATGCAAAGCACCAGTGGTTTCATCCATACCTCATAAGCTTCCTTTTGTTGGATCTGAATCGCTATTGAATCTTCTAGGGAGAGCAGCTGCGTAGGCTCATGATGGAGAGGGGGTAACCGTGCAGCTGTGATGTCATCCAAGTGCTTCTTATCTCTGTGGCGTCTTTCCTCTGCAGAAAGGGAAAAGGGGGGACCTCTAGGTGAAGGGATATCTGGGGAGCCACAAGACGATCCACTTGACTCAGCCAGCAATCTAGAAGAAACCAAGAGCACAGCTCATGAAATGCCTCCCGGCCCTCTGGCACATAAAGTTGCTCCTTCCCTCCACTCTTATTCCGCTCTGAAATTTCAGGTCTGGACGAGTTTGAGGCTAACATCTGATGCTCAGGGAAGCTTCCTCAGTTGTGCTTGCACAGAAGAGTGGGGCCATGAAGCAATCAAGGAATTAAAATGACCCCCCCATCTTGCTCTATCCCAAGGATTTTGGCTTATAAGAGGACTGAAACACTTTGTATTCTCATATGTATTCTCCATGGCAGAGAAAATGGCAGCTCTGGTCAGGTGGCAGCTGCTGCCTGGTTTCCTTCAAGTCCACCTGGCATTCGGCCAAGAGAGAATTTAGGGGTCTCTGAGTGGAAGAGACCCCTGTGGCTCTGCACTGCTGGGCTAAGCTCCCCCTGCATTCGGGAAAGGGCCATAGCTTGGTGATTTTGCATTGCATTGCAGGGGTTGAACTAGACGATCCTCGGGAGTAGCTTCCAACTCTACAATTCTATGATTCTAATGTATCACAGCAAATAATAACTATTTTATAATCCTACCTTTAAAAAATATTTATTCCCCAAAATATGTATCATAAACTTCCCAGTATGCATAAAACATACCCACACTTGTGGTTATAGCAAAAGCTCTCTCTGCGAGAGCACGTTTCCTACAGTACTCACACATTAGCTTTAAATTTGCTTCTTTTTGCCACAGGGTTCTTCGCTCTCAGTTCAAGCACTTCCATGTAATGTGGAGTTTTGGGTGGTGTGTTTGGAAAGTTCTGAAAAGCACGGCCTTTACAGTCAAAACTCTGCCCATTTTCAGAGTTCTCCCCACTCTCTCCCTCTCCAACTGAAATTCTTTCGAAGGCATCCACCAGTGCTTCACTGCTGCTGCTTGCAGAATGTGCTGGATTTTCAGCTTTGTCTAGAGAATTTCGCTTGGGAGCCTCCTGAGCATCTTTTGGAAGCCTGGCTACTGACACCTCCAAAACATTTTTGCCTCCTTGAGGAAAACTGGTGTCCTCAGGGGCTTGTCCTACTAATGCACTTCTGTTTGCTTTGCTTCTTTTCTTGGTCCAGACACTCTGCTTGTTCTGCAGAGATGATTCAATCTCATTGTAGTGACGTTCAGAAATAAGAGGTGGGTCTCGGCATGTTGACTTGTTGCTGATAACCCCTTTTTGTTTGCTAGATTTGATTGCCTCTTGTTTTTCCTGGAACTCTAATCTAACAGCAGATAGAAGCTCAGTTGTTCTCTGCAGCTCTTCCTCTTGTGCAATGGCAATCTTCAATTTCTCAACAAAGTTGGATATCTTTTTACCTTTATCCGGAAGCCTGGATACAAATTTCCTACAATAGATGTGATGAAGATACACACTAAGGTAAACAGAATTCAAGGATGAGTTCTAATTCACATTTTGAATTCCTCTGAAGCCCATTAGCAAACAGTCTGCTACTATCCCTTCTATTTGTTTGAGGTTGTCAAATGCAACAGCATGGTTTTTTCCAGAAGATTTTCAGGGGGGAAATTGTTTGCATAATAAAATCTTTTTATGTCCTAGAGAACAATCTAATTAAGCATGTTTATTTTACTTGTATTTAATAAAGAAAACTAAAAATGTTGAAACTACCAAGATTGCCTTATTGTACAGTATTTGAAGTTGGCATCATAGGAACATAGGAAGCTACCTTATACTGAATGAGACGATTCACCTATTTAGCTTGGTACTGTACTCACAGCAGGATTTCATGCTGGATTCTCACCTTCCTGCCAGAGACTGTTCTGTATGCAAAACAGATGCTTTTACCACTGAGCCACAGCCCAATCTCATGCTGCTAATGAGATAAGGAAATGATGCCCCCCCCCCCAGCCTTGGCACATAAAACAGGGTAGAGGGGCACATATGACCCTATGTGACATTTGGCCACCATTACTTGGAGCTTTCATTTCTGGAGGGGGAGATCTTCTAACATTTCACAGGTGACAATAGGCACATCAGTGTGCCTGCGGTGTTTCTATTTTCATATCACATTAAACAACATTTAATTTTTAGATAAAACAGTTTTAGTTGAATTAAAAAACAGCAGCTCACTGGCAGTGTGCATTTATGTGTGCAATTTATATGTGACAACCATTTCCATAGAAGCCTCTAGTGTTTCTTTTGCTATTGATGCTGCACAATTTTATTTAGTTTGTCATATCTGAGAAAGACCTAAAGCACCTGCCTCACATGCAAAAGTTTCAGTCCTCAGCATCTCCAACAAGGGCTGGCCCAGAATTCCACCTGAAATTCTGGAGAGCTGCCGCTCATCAGTGAAAAACACAGTGAGCCATGCAGACCAAAGGCTTTATGTCTTAGCCTTTCTCTCACGTGTGTGTGTTATTTATTGACTGAGATGCTTTGAGGGGCACCAAGTAGCAGGAAAGCGGCACGTAAATACCAGCTATTGATTTTCGTAGAAAAGTAGGCAAAAGATACATTTCTGAAATAGGACAATAACAGAAATGCTTTAAGAGTCCTCGTTCACGTTGGTACCAGAACAAAGGGCTGTGTAAGTTGTTTTAACTGTTCTTATAACTTATAATTGCGTTTCGATGCTGTAATCCGCCCTGGGGCTTTAGGGTGAAGGGCGGTTTAATAAATAATAATAATAATAATAATAATAATAATAATAATAATATCGTTAATACTACTACTGCTGCTACTAATATTGTCCCGGGGTTGAAGGGGCGCCCCCCGAAAGGCAAAAGCGGAGGGAGCGCCGATCTCCAGGGGAAGGGGAGCCGCTCGCCCAGCCCCGCCCGAGCCGCGGAGGGGGAGTCGGCCCGGCCCTCCTTCCCGCCCCGGCCTCTCACCGGTCCCCCAGCAGCTTCTCCTGCCGACTCAGCATCTCCCGCAGCTCCGGCAGGCTCCGGCCTCGCAGCTGCTCCGGCGCCGCCGCCGCCGCCATGCCTCGCCCGGGAAGGGGAGGCCCGCATGGTCCCGGAGGCAGGAGGAGAGCGGGCGGGGACGGACACAGCAGCGGCACCTCCGCCGCTTCCGGCCCCCGGTGGGCGCCGCCATGTTTCCGGAAGCGTCTTACGGCTCCCCAGCAGGGCCAAAACACTTCGGTGGCGCCTTTACGCCTTCGCTCGCTTCCTAGGCAGCCGTTTCGGCAGGAGCCAGAGAGGCGCTGCTGCAAACGCGTTCCGACGCTTTTAGGGTGCTTGGCTCCGCCTCCTTCTCCCTTATATATAACTTGTTTCTATTTATAAAGTTAATTGCAAAGCGCTTTAGGCGCATGTGGAGCTAAGAAGTAGTATCATTAAAACCAATCGTTAACAATACTAATTAATGCCCAATGATGGCCGATGAATCAACAGTGTGATGCAGCAGCAGAAAGGGCTAATGCTACTCTACTCTGCATCAACAGAAGTATAGAGTCTCAAAGAATAGTACCACTCTATTCTGCCTTGGTCAGAATACACCTGGAGTCCTGTGTCCAGTTCTAGGCACCACAATTTAAGAAGGGTGTTGGCAAACTTACGCAGAGGAGCGCGAGCAAGATGATCAAAGATCTGCAAACTAAGCCTTATGAGGAACTGTTGAGAGGAGATATGATTGGCCACCTTCAAATATCTTAAGGGCTGTCACATGGAGGATGGAGAAAGCTTGTTTTCTCCTGCTCTGGAGGGTAGGACTCAAACCAACTGATTCAAGTTACAAGAAAGGGGATTCTGGCTAAACATCAGGAAGAACTTTCTGAAAGTAAGAGCTGTTTGACAGTGAAGCAGATTCCAACAAGAGGTGTTGGACTTTCCTTTGGAAGTTTTTAAGCAGAGGTTGGACGGCCATCTTTTACGGATGATTTACCTGTAAATCCTGCATTGCGGGGGTGGACTGGTTGACCCTTGGTGTCCCCTCCAACTCTAAAATTCTCCGAGTGGGAGCTAGAGTTTTAAGTTTTATAAGCGCCTCAGAGCACATGTAGAACTATTTCCTTTGAGGTGAACTAGCATCTCCTTACTGCTGCTTTTTTAGAAAAGATACTGTTCCTTAGACAGGGACGCAGGTGGCGCTGTGGGTAAAACCTCAGCGCCTAGGGCTTGCCGATCGCATGGTCGGCGGTTCGAATCCCCACGGCGGGGTGAGCTCCCGTCTTTCAGTCCCAGCTCCTGCCCACCTAGCAGTTTGAAAGCACTCCTAAGTGCAAGTAGATAAATAGGTACTGCTTTCTAGCGGGAAGGTAAACAGCGTTTCCGTGTGCTGCGCTGGTGCCGGCTCGCCAGAGCAGCTTCGTCATGCTGGCCACGTGACCCGGAAGTGTCTCCGGACAGCGCTGGCCCCCGGCCTCTTAAGTGAGATGGGCGCACAACCCTAGAGTCGGACACGACTGGCCTGTACAGGCAGGGGTACCTTTACCTTTACCTTTTTACTGTTCCTTAGAGAGAAGGCACAATGGTTTGCCCCCTTGGGAAGACTTAAAGGTAAAGGGACCCCTGACCATTAGGTCCAGTCGTGACTGACTCTGGGGTTGCGGGGCTCATCTCGCTTTATTTGCCGAGGGAGCCGGCGTACAGCTTCCAGGTCATGTGGCCAGCATGACTAAGCCGCTTCTGGTGAACCAGAGCAGCACACAGAAATGCCATTTACCTTCCCGCCGGAGTGGTACCTATTTGTCTACTTGCACTTTGATGCACTTTCGAACTGCTGGGTTGGCAGGAGCAGGGACTGAGTAACGGGAGCTCACCCCGTCGCAGGGATTCGAACCGCCAACCTTCTGATCGGCAAGTCCTAGACTTAGGAAGCTGCTTTATACCAAGTCAGATTGTTGTCAACACTGACTGGCAGCAGCTCTCCAGTGATTCAGGCAGGGTTCCCTCCTAACCATACCTGGAGTTGCTGAGGTTTGAACCTGGGACCGTCTGCCTGCTGCGAAGTGGAGGCATTGCCACTGAGCTACAAGCCCTTCTATTTAGAAGGAGACATGGATGGCTTTAGATGAAGAAGTCTCAGCTCTCACAGAAATACTGAAGCCAGCCAGACTCACGTTCTGGCCTTACACCTCCCGTTTCTTCAAACATTCCTGGAGAAAGCTCAGCACTTAGTGGATCTGCTTCCATCCTAAAGTCCAAGCTCCCGCTGAAATAGGTTTCCTTCCTTCCTTCCCTCTGGGATGAGGTCCATGCCACAGCCCATCCTGTTTATCAGATATTTGGCTGAACAGTAACTGCATCATCATATTTCCGTTTTCCAACTGATTGTACTGGTCTGGGCTTTCTTTTCTTTTTTCCTAAGAAGAAAAAGCCACCAAACTGGGAGGGTTTTCCTAATATTTCTTCTAAGTGAATGGGTTTCAGAAAGTTCAGATCAGCAAAAACAAAGCAGGCCACAGCCAAAAGTGTAAAATGTGCTCTGCAAAGGATGTTTCTTCTTGAGAAGAAATTACAACCACCTGATCAAAAGTGAATTCTTCTGAGTTCAGTGGACCTTACTTCTGACCTGAGCAAGCAAGCCAAATGCGAAATAGGGCATTACCACTTTGCGGTACTGCACAGTACTTGGCAAAAGTATTCTATGTGCATAGCTGCTGCACGACAGACACATGATTTGTGGAACAGCTACAGATATAGTATTTATTTATCCCACTTTTTTGAAATGTGGTAGTGTCTGAGGTTCCCAACACCATAAATGCATGACAGTATCAAAATAAATTCTGCAAGACCAAGCCTAACAATATGAAGAATAGTAGGGGAACCCATCAAAACAAGAGAGCCAAAAGCCCCTTAAGAATTAACCCTAGTCAAACCAAAGTATTGCCTGAACAAAACGTTTTTCCCACTGTTATCCTTGCCAGGGCTAGATCAGGAGGAAGGGGGCCCATCTAGTCCAGCGGCCTTGTTCTCACTGTGGCCACCCAGATGCCTTTGGGAAACAAACAAGTGGGACCCGAGCCCAAGAGCCCTCTCCCCTCCTGCAGCTGGGACTCAGAAGCATTACAGTCTCCGACTATGGAGGCAGAGCATAGCCACTGTGGCTAGTAGTCCTTGAAGGAAGGAGTTTTACCACTACAGAAAAGGCCCACTATCTCCCCACCAGCCTCACTTTGGAACAGGGGTGCAAAACCAGTTTCAGCCCAAGAGCTACATTCCCTTTTGGACAACAGAGGAGGGGGCATTCTGGTGATGGGCAGAGCCAGATGCAAAAAAATGAATGGGGGGTGATACTTTGTACAATAGGTATTGACTCCCCTCCCCATCTTCCATCTAGCCAAGCAAAAGCACACAATACAACAAGATAAAAGCACTCAAGGGTGAGGGCATGCGGAAGGACTGGTGAGAGGCATGGCCTGGGAATGGGCCTGAGGTCGTCCCCCCTTTGCCTTAGAAGTTAGTGGACAACATGTGAGTAAAGTGGCCTCATCAGGTGATCTCAGTAGACAAGGCAGTTTCATAGATGAGGTCTTTTTGGTGTCCTATAGGCGTGGTCTTGCTACTTTGAGACACCAGCTCCATTTCAAAGGGAGAAATGTTTTTTCTCTGTTGACTTACACCTAGCCAACAGTCCAAATTTGGAACTGGCGGAATTGACTGGCATGGAACTGGCGGAAATGACTGGCAGAATCCGAGACCAGGGAGAAGAGTCGGTGGAAGAAGATTGGAAAAAATTCAAAGTATACTTACAGAAACATTGTAAAATTAATGAGTGTTAGAAGGATGCTGGAATGAAGTTATATGGTTTTAGTAGAAATGCAACAAAGAATTAAGTAAAAGCTGATTGATAACGGGTTAAAATGAAAAAATTAAGGTTAGATCGTTAAGATAAATTATAGGGGGGGGAATTGAGAAAGAGGGGAAGAATTTGCTGAAATAGTGAATTGAACTAGAATACAAAAAAAGGGAGGTGCGAGGAGGCCGATGAAACAAGTAAAGGAAAGGTAAAGACATGGAATATTGGATGTGTGTTTGTTGTTGTTTTTTCTTTGTTTCTTTTTGCTGTATTGTTGTATTGCTTGTCTATGTTTTTTTTCTTTTTTATTGTTGTCTTTTTTCTTTTTTCTGTAATTTTTAAACTTTTAATAAATATCATTTAAAAAAAAACAAATTTGGATCATGAACTCTTTTGGGCAGGAATCTCTTTTGCTAACGTTACTCTGTAAAGTGCCATTTAAACCCTATACACAAATCTCTAAACTGAAATGCACTTAGAATCTAGTGATTCAACTTTGGAGGAAGGTAGTTGAGTCTACCTGGGAAAAACCCAGACTCTAGTCCTCTACTGCAGTTTCCCAAAATTGGGTCTTTAACTGTTGTTGGACTACAACTCCCATCATCCCTAGCTAGCAGGACCAGTGGTTAGAGATGGGAACTGTAGTCCAAAAACAGCTGGAGACCCAGTTTTGGGGAATCCTGCTCTATTGTATCAGGTGGTCTTTGTTTTGTATTGCTCTAAAGGTACTCAGAAGTTGAACTTATTTTAATTTAGCTAAGGACAAGATGTTGATGTGAGGGAAAAGACACAGAATTCTTAGAGAAAAGAAAGCATATATTTGTGTGACCATAACTTTAATTCAAAATCACGCGAAAGACAGCATCAGCCATGTGAGGCAATCAGAGAGCAACCTCATTAGCACCTCCGTAGTGCCAGAGAAATTCTCTGCCCACACACTTCCAAGTTACAATTGAAATAATTGCAGCAGTCATCATTCAGCTGCAAGAACGTGAACTACATTCCCCTCCTCGTTTCAAAGTCCACACTCATATCTGACTTGGCAGGTGTTTTCCAGTATATTTTGGGAGGTGCCCTTCTTACAATATCAGTATTTAAATAGAAATAAAACTTCAGCAAAGTGAAGTCACAGAGCCAAGGTCATCTTCAGGGGTGACTTGCATATATAGCGTTGGGGTTTCCCCTGTCAAAATAGGAAGTTTCAGTTCTGCCTTTGCTAAGGGGTAGCTTTTGGCCCGTTATATCCTGCTTGGTTTGCACAGTTGGAAGAGTGTTGTAGAAAATTTCCATATCCATTCATATTTCAACTCTTAACAAGTTTGTTCATCATTTTTAGGCAAGCTCACATTTATTCCTCTTCCATTGAATGTGTAATGTGCAAGCTAATTTGCCAAATATTCTATCTATTCCAAGGAGGTACAGTGGTGCCTCGCAAGACGAAATTAATTCGTTCTGCGAGTTTTTTCGTCTTGCGAATTTTTCGTCTTGCGAAGCACGGTTTCCCATAGGAATGCATTGAAAATCCAAAAGGAAACAAACTTGCAAGACGTTTTCGTCTTGCGAAGCAAGCCCATAGGGAAATTCGTCTTGTGAAGCAACTCAAAAAACGAAAAACTCTTTCGTCTTGCGAGTTTTTCGTCTTGCGAGGCATTCGTCTTGCGAGGTACCACTGTAATAGAATTGTTTTCATTTCATTTATTTATTTCAGCCATTTATACAGTGCTTCACCCCTTAGGGTTGCATCCATTGCTAGTCCTACTCACAGTAGACCCTGAAATCTCTGAAATCTTCCTGGTAGGGCTGAACCTATGGCTCACCACACCTATGGCTTTCCCTGGACTGGGATAGCCCAGCCTCGGTCCATGCATAGTGACCTCCCTCTTGGACAACTGCAGGACACTCTACATGAGGCTGCCCTTCAATACTGTCCGGAAACCAGCTAGAGTAGAATGCAGTAGTTGGTGAGTGGGGCAGTCTGGTGGGATTATGTGTTTTTAGCAAAAAGAGTTTGTGTCACATCTAGAGAAGCGGGACCATTCCTGTACACCTGAACAGCTTAACAGCTGAAGACCAGTAGGGAAGCTTTGAGAAGTTTGAACATAACCTGCAGACCCACAATTCCTGTAAACATCGCTAGCAGATTCCGCCAAGACTTGAAATTATTTCCCCCCTCTCTGCCTTTGTGGATTATACAGTCTCAGTGATGGTGACTGTGGAAACTCTCACAACCTGTTCTGTATTTACTTCCTTCTTTTCATCATAGTTTTATTTGCTCCCTGATTTGGATTGCTTTTTGTTTCTAATTTATGGACCTACTATAAAGACTCAAAGGTGGGGTTGGTGTGCTGAAATATGCTCAGATAATTTCAGTTAATCATAAGAAAATCACTGTAGTGTGCTCCTTTTTAATTAGTGTTAATTAAACTTAAAAATATTCCAAACCAAGGCCAACAAACTCTATTCATTAAGTTTCTACACTGCCCTTTCTCCCAAAGCAACCCAGGGCAGCAAACGAGGCAGAAAAACAATGCAATTAAAGTAAGTGAAATGATTTTAAAACATTAAGACATGCAGTGCTTTCAGGACTCATGACACATAATCCCATCAGACTGCCCCCTTCACCAACTACTGTGTTCTACTCTAGCTGCAGTTTCTGGACAGTGTTCAAAGGCAGTCTTATGTAGAGTACACTGTAGTAGTCCAAGAGGGAGGTTACTAGAGCATGGACTGAGGCCAGGCTATCCCAGTCTAGGAACAGCCGCAGGTGGTGAACCAAATTTTACACTTACATGGGAGTTGTGAAGGCCATCAGAGGGAGAGGAAGTAACAGTTAGGCCAGGCATAGGCAAACTCGGCCCTCCAGATGTTTTGGGACTACAACTCCCATCATCCCTAGCTAACAGGACCAGTGGTCAGGGATGATGGGAATTGTAGTCTCAAAACATCTGGAGGGCCGGGTTTGCCTGTGCCGAAGTTAGGCACTCTCCACTTTGCCTGGATATACCTCCAGCTGCCAACTACCATTACTGAGAGTAGTAGCAGGCCTTCCATTGTGCTTAGATCTCTTTATTTTAAAGGTGTATACCCCTGCTTGTCATCACCTAGCTCTCAAAGCGGCTTACAGCAATAAAAATATAATCAATGCAACATAAATTAAACCTCAGAAATTAAATGAAAACATCAAGAAATTTTGAAACGCCAGAGAAGCATTCATGATGCAACAGCCTCCTGAAATATGGTTTTAACCAGGTACCTGAAACTCATCGGGGTGGTGCCTATCTGACTTCTAGAAGCAGGGAATTCCAAAGTTGGGCCCAGAACACTGAAGGCACAACTTCTCATTGACATAAGTCAAGCTTCTGCTCCATGGGGACCCTGTTCTCCCAGATGATCTCAGTGATCAACTTGGGGTGTCTAGGGCAAGGGGGTTCTTAAGGTGTCCTGGGCTTTGTACACCATTATCATTTATTTTTAATTTATTTATTAAATGTGTATACCACCCTTCATCCAAGGATCACAGGGCGGTTCTATATTGCAAAATGTGTAACATAGCAACAAAGAAAAATAATACCCACCCCGGCTCCCGTATAAAAGGTCATATGTTGTTTAATTAGCCAAAGGCCTGGCAGAAGAGTGTTTTTTTGCTTGGTGCCTAAAGGAGTCAAGGTCCCCATGGATGCAAGCAATTTTATCCTTAAAACTGCTTTGCAAACAAGTCACAGCGAGCTACCACCTTCTGTCACCTTCTTCTGGAGAGACTGTGAAATGTCCTGCACCACCTGGAAAAGCTCTGCTGGATGGTACAAAGAGGATGCAATGGAGATAGTAAAGTATTCCTTCTTTGCTGCTAGGTAGGCTCAATGACAAGTCCTTGTCAGTGTTTGATTTCCTCCATTATGTTCAAAGAACCTGGAATCTGGAGCAGTAGATCTAGTTCCATGACCTGCAGAATTAGTGCATGAATTTGCTTTCCCCCCTCCTCCCTCCTGTTTCTTTTTTCTTTTGTGTCATGTCTTTTTAGATTGTGAGCTGCTCTGGGAGCTTGGTTGGGCAGAAGAGTGGGTGGAAATGCTTTAAACAAACATACTGGGACTTACTTCTGAGTAAACATGCCTAGGAGAGTGCTGTTTGCAGGATGTTGGACCAGAAGACCCTTTAGTCTGATTCCAGCAGCAAGACTCTGTTTACGTTTGTAGGACTGCCCCACACATGACTCAAGATTTTTTGTCCAAAGTATATGAAGAAAAGGCAAAGCACTAGAAGGGACTGGGCCCTCAAGCCCCATATTTCTTGCCATTTTGAACCCAATCCACTTTGCTGCTATATGTACCTACAGTACATATTGTCACATGGTCCTCGCTTCCCCAAGTGATGAAGATTTCCAGGTGTGCAGGTGCTTTCCAAGTGCTTGCATTTTTTCGGAGGACGGAACACTAGAGACTTGCGGCATTTTGTATTATCAGATTTATTTACAAATGGCAATAAATCAAATCTCCAGAAAGAGGCACACCCAGGTGCTTTCAACGTTTCAGCTCCCTCAGCGCTGCACTCTCTCCTTCTGCTGCAAAGTGCAGTTTGCTTCACTCAGAGACTTCCGCCTCCTCCCCATGACAGCAACAGGAATGCCACTCTTCTTCCTCAATCTCCGATGTCTCTCTCTCCATTCACAACCTTCCAGAACAATCTCAAACTACTTCCTAGGCATTCACTCACACTGGAAACCATTAACATTACTTCATCAAATCCCAGACTCTGACCACGTATTGCCTTGGGAAGCCAAGGGCAAAGGCATGATAGTCCCACCCACAGTAACAATTTCATAACAATATAAATGGAATATATAACATCACAGGGAATATATACTGCATATTTAGGTTTTCCCTCCATTTGTAAATGTAGAATATGTTGCCTTTGGTACAATTTGCAAAAATTATTTATTCAAACAGGCACACTAGAGCCAAGTGGGAAGGAACTGAGGTGGCTGGATGGTATCCTAAGCAATTAGTTCTCTTGTGCAGAGTTATCCAAGTGACTCATATGGCCTCAGACTTCCTATACAGTGTTCTTTTTTTATTTACTAATTAAGTAGTGCACATACATGAAAATAACAAGAGCTCTGTTGAAAGAGTATAGTCAAATGTGAAACACAGTGACAATGGGCCAGAGTCTTTAAAAGCATGATGCTAATCATTTTAAATCAACATTTCCCCTGTTAACTCTTACACATTGTGTATTCCTTGAGGAATAGCTAGCCCCTCCAGCACTGATGTTAAATGACATTAAAATACAACATAGCACATTATAAAAATGCATATACAGTGAGTTAGTCAAATGTGGCTTAAGCTTCAGTACAAAGGATTTTTAACCATATTTCAGGGGAACAGCATTCAGGGATTTTCAATATACAAAATAATAGACTTTGTTAAACAGGAAGGTTATAAATAGACACGTAAGTATTTCCAGGTATTAAAATACATGAAGAACCAATGCTATATTTCCTGGAGACAGATGAGAAGTGGGTATGAAAGACTGAAAAAGTCCCTTTGAAAAGAAACTGTGAATCTCAGAAATAAACTTGGTAGTTAAAAGATTAGAAAGCTACGTGCCTTGTTGCAGAAACCCAACAAATTTCATTCCTTTCCACAAAGCTCACAAGAGCACCCCTGGCACGCTTCCTTGGTGGTGGTCCCTGCCTCCCTCTTCAGGAGCACCATGGTCCCATTCAGTGTTTTCAGAATCAGCATCTTAAAGAGCTAAAAAAGCAGAGACTTCCTTCCCAAGCAAACTGCCAATATATCTTTGGCTGTAACTACCACTTTTCCAAAAAGGAAAGGAGTAACATTGAAATTAATGCCCTAGTCAAGGAAAGAAAATGGCACTTCTGTGAAGTAGAATTAGATTAAAGTTCAAATGAGAAATGAGTTTCCATGTGCAGTTAGGATTGCTGTCCAGCAGCCTCTCCTTCAGGTGTGCTCAAAATGTGGCAGGTGACTTTGCATACTCCTTCCTCTAAAAAAGGAACAGAGGCAGAGGTTTTGCTCACCTTTGGTTGGTTCCCTTGCGAATAAATACAGGGCAGCTTCATGAACAAAGTGTCTGAAAGGCTTCCCTGCCTCATCAGTCCTTCAAGCTGCAGAGTTTCAAGACGCTGGAACATGTGTGAGGAGTTCCTGGGCCTGGAATGATGGCAGTTGTGCTGCGCTTTGATGAATACTCCAACACTCTCTTGAATGGAGTGTATGTCCTGGCAGGCTTTGATGTCTCGGAAGATGTGCCGCTGTTCTCAGTGCTAGGAATGAAAACCAACAGCACAAAATGTTAGACACTCGAGAAATCAACCAATACTGTTTGGCTGATCAAAACCAATGAAAAGGAATCCACAACAAATATAACTCTTTCCTTGAGCCAGTAGAGTGAGGAAAGTCCTTCATGCAGCACAGCTGGTAACCAGAAACAAATCTTCTACATGTTTTAGAAAATTGTTTGATGGTTCGTTATTTGGAGACCTTAAAATATCAAAACCAAATTTTGCATGATGGTTCCTGAGACCAAGGAGCAAGTCTTGATCTATCTTTGGATACATCTGGATGCCATTTTGAATCAAAATGTTGGACTGAACCTTTCAAAACTGCACTGGTTTTTGGTTTCTTGGAATTCCCAAGCAACACTGGGTATGAGGCTGCTAGTTCTTTATTTTTTAAAAAAGACACAGCATGTTGGAAGAATTGCATCTAACATGTAACTTATTGTAACATGGCAGCCCACTGCAGTCCACCTTTAGTCTCCACACACTGAACTGGAAAAGTGGGGAGAACAGTGATGCATGCTGGGAATAGCTCTTCTCCCTAAACCCCAGGGGCAGGTAATTTGACTCTCAAATTTTTTACACTGCAACACCCACAGGAATTGACAGTAACTGGCTTACAAAAGGTTGACCTACTGAGCCCCACAAAAGATGACTTCAATCACCCCCCTCCCAAAGTGTAGGTAGAAGATCTACCTATCATGCAAATCAAGGTAAACAATAACCTTTGGTTCATATGTGGGTTATTAAGTACCTGGGCAAATAAGACAATACTTGTATCATACTTCCTGAGGAACCAGCATAAAAACATCACACCTGAGGCACAATAGCAATCTCAAGAAGAGCTTCAAATGAATTTTTAACTAATAAGGGTAGGGAAAGCTCAGCCTTTGTCTCCTTTCTCCCCTTCTCTTCCAGCCATTCCTTTGAAACCAGACTCCAAAAAAAGAGAACAGATTCTGGCACATGCTTGGAACTTCTTTCTGCACACACCCACCATTCTCCTCTGCTTCCCACTGCAGTCTTACTCAGAGCAACTGAATGTCAGAGCTTGTGGGTACCAAGAGCTGAAAAATCGTAAGAGTACCTGAAGCAGAGGAACTCTGGCCTGGATGCTTGGCCCTAGAATCAACACCCACCCACACCCACTAGTTATTTAGTCATTTGCAACTGCAGGAACTCCTCTGATTCCCAACCCTTTAAATTTACTCTAGTTAGCAACCTCTCTCTCTTTGTCTGTTCTCCACTGGAGATCTCTTTCTCCACTTTGGGGGTTAGAGTGCAGTAGATTATTGGGGGGGGGGGAGCCCAAGGAACACACTATTTAGTGTGTAATTGAACTTCCTTTCCCCACCCTACCTTAATATATCTTGTACTTCAGCATTCAACTCAAGCTCTTGGTGTGAATTCCTGGAACCTGGAACCATGTGCCAGAGTGGCACACGATCAACCCACAGAAAGCATTCCCCTCTCACAAGTCTGTTTAAGGGTCACATGTGAAGTACATGCAAGTCCCCAGAGACACATGCATTCAGAGACTTCAGCATTCAAACTGGAATCTGATTAAGAACTTCCCCCCCAGGAACTAGAAGTTATTATTTATGTATAAGAACTTGCAAAAGACTTTATTTAAACAGATGTTTTACCAGTGATCCATAGTTGTTGGTATTAATTGCTACTTAACACTTTTGCACATGGTTGAAAACTTATTATTAGTATAATATAGGTTGTATTTGGATATTATTGGGTCTCTTTATTTCGTTGTGCAGAAAATACATTAAGCCTATGCCTGATGAATGGCAATTAGCTATTCATAAACAGCGTGAAAAAAGCCTCTTCCTGGTTTGTTTGTTTTACTGGCATTCGCCAAGTTGCTACAAACTGAGGAACATCTGCCACGTTCCCCATACACATTCTTTTGGTTTAGGGCCTTAAGAGCTTTCCTCAAGCCATAAAAAATCATTAATTCTTATTTACTTATAAAAATTAAACAGGAAAAATAAAGGGCTCCATAAAGCTAAGCAGAGTAAAGGTCAATGATAAATTTCCAAATGAACCACATATAGATGCTTTGGCACCTTGAGGGTCCCCAGGAAGCATCACATAAATAGCTGTCACACGGCCTGGAAATTTCTTAACTTGTCTTATTATCGCCGCCTCTAGGCTGAAGCTCTGGAAACCAGCGTAGCTGGTTGTTAATGTCAGAAGGGCAAAATCATAACTGAGTAATCTTATTAGTGCTTCATTAAACTGCTCTAGTGAAATGACTTATTCAGCGTGCCGCTAAGACTTCAGGCTCCTCTGGCAAGCTGAAACACAGCAAGCATATAAAAGTTTATTACGCGTGACAAATCACTGTTCCTCATTTGGCCTTGAAGAAGCACCATTTCACCCACGGAAATGCCCACCTGCCCATGTTCCCCCTCCAAAAAAACCTTCACAATTCCATGAATTTGCAAAGGGGTGGCAGCTGCTTTAGTTGTCTCAGTCTCTCAACGAAGTGGGCTAAAAAGGATTCCCCCTGAATGGATTCAAGCCCAGATACCTCAGTGGAAGGTCACATCCTACTCCAACATCCCTGGTTTCTACATCAGTCCTTGACTGTGACTCCATCAAGTAATCCAAACGGTCTTGTAATTCTTTATTCTGAAACATACAAAATTGACAACTCAATTCTTCAGTTCAATATCCCAGCAGGCCCTGCAATTAATTGTTACACATGCATACTGTAAAGCAAAGGACTTCCCTCACAGAAATTTTCTTCATTAGTATCTTTTTTAATTTTTGAGAGAAGCTCATGATAGTGTACATGACTCCTCCTGCTCCAGGCCCCACCCCTGTTGCTGAACCCTGTTAGCCGTAGAGATGGTGACCAGTCCCAAGGTCACCCAGGGAGGGCCTCGAACCAGAGTCTCCTCCCCTGTCCTAAGTCAACACTCTTAACCACTGCCACTGCATAGCCTATCATTTAATCGCTTTAGATTAAGAGAGGCTTGCTTTATTTATTTTTACCATTGAAGGAGAACATTAAGACAACAGAGGTGGGGGAGCAGGAGGTGTTTAAAAGGAAGCTTATAGGGAATTTCTTAAACTGGAGGTGCAGAAAGTGAGAAAGGAAAAAGATGAAAGCTGGCATGGGAGAGGAGTGGAGAGTGTTGGACTTAGGACTCATCCTTACTGTCATTCAGTGTGGATAGTTAGCTTCTTGTACTTCCATTAATTCTCTGTTGTTCATATGACATTCTCCTCCAATAGCTGCCTTCCCACACATTCTCCTCTCTCAATCTGGATTTTCTCTTACCCTCTCCTTTTTTGAGTGATTTGGAGGAGAGCGTCCTATGGACAGGGGAGACTTATCCAGTGCTTCGCTACCTTTCATGTCACAGCTCCTATGGGTTCTGACAGGTTTTGCAAGTGGGAGCAATGAGATGCTAACACTCTGATCTAGCTTCCGGGGTTTTCCTGGAAAAGCTGTCGCTCAGCAGTAGAGCCTCTGCTTTGTGTGCAGAAGGCCCCAGGTTCAGTCCCAAGCATCTCCAGGTAGGGCTGGGTGAAACCTCTTTCTGAAATCCTGTTGAATTGCTGTTAGTCAATGTAGAGTGTAGACCAGTGGTTCCCAATTGATGGTCCACGGACCACTAGGCAGTCCGCGTAACTGACCCAGGGGGTCCGTGGCACCATTCACGTAACACAAACTACCATAGTCAAAAACATGGAGTCCATGGATCGGCTTTTGAAAAACAGGAGGTCCACAAAACTTAACCAATTGGGAACCATTGGTGGAGTAGACAATACTGAGCTAGATGGAGAAATGGTTTGACTCTGCAAATGGCAGCTTCCTGTGTTTTCCCCTCCCAAATCTAACCACAAATGTGAAAAGACGTTTCTATTAATTTTCACAGGCTTCTCTTTACATCTTACTGCTCATCTGTGCAAAATACAAATATAATTTTTTTTTATTTGTTGAGTGCCTGAAAAATAGGTGTTTCACAGAACATGTAGGAAGATAGGTGCTGCCTAAGTAGACTTGCTATCTAATACAAACCACAAAACCAACCTACAAGTTAATCCAAAAGTAGAAGGCAGCACACACCATAATTAAAATCTAACAAAATTAGTTGTGATATAGTGTCTAGGAATATTTTAGCTAGACATTGGAAAAATATTTCATGGTAAACTTAGATCATTCATACAAAAGTGTATGGGACATTGGCCTGGTGGAAAAACTAACTAATAAATTATGGTTGTTGAAGGAGCAGAAACAAAAGGATAACTTCACAACAGTTTGGCTTAATTTATTATGTATGCAAGTCTTCCAGACAATAATCAATCCCCCTTATAACATATAGCTCTACATGGTTACAAGAGTGGCGTGCGGCAACATATTTTGTAGGAGAACAGTTAGGGCCAGAGGCGCCAGCTTGCGAGGGCGATGGGGCAATGTCGTACACGTGAGCATCACACCTCCCTCCCTAAGCTGGGCAGAAGCTTCCTGGGCTTTGGGAAGGAGGCGCCAGGCTTTAATACTTTAATTTAATCAGAACATTTAGGGGACTAGTCTAGTCCCCTAACAGTCCATTGACTGCACACCACTGGGCTACAGTGATCCTATAAAAGGAAAAAGTATTGGATTTCCATTTCCTCTGCCCTTCCCCTCACATTCACATTCACACAAACACATCCTGGTCTGCATTACCTAATACAGGAAGCACTTAGTTCATTATCATCCCTGCTCCTGACTCACTCAAATCTCTAGACTGCCACTCAAATACAGCTGACGAGTGTACTCAATTAATAGTGTATTGTTTTCTGTTTATACATTTTCTATGGTTCCCCCCTCTTTTTTCTTCTTGTTGACACTTGATTCTTACTAGTTATAATATTATGCTGCCTCGATCAGAAATGTTTCATATTTGTTTTTGAATTTTCCAGATTGAGAGTATATAAATGTTCTGCGTTGTTAAACTTTTATATTATTAAATTTGTATCTATATTTGTACTGGGCTAACAGAACTAGCAGAGTTTTGAGGCATTTTTACACTGGGAAAGATAATTGGCTAAGTATCAGTTAAAAACAATAACTTTCAGTAATTAGCCAAATATAATCCTTACCTCTCCTTCAAGGAATGATATTTTTTCTAAAAGTTGTAATATAAACAGTTCCTTTTGCTTCATCTTTCGCTTTTGCAGCTCAATCTATGAAGAAAAGAAAGAAACTATGTAAATGCAGATAGGAGGGAGAAGCTCTGTTACTAAGTAAGTTCCCTACCCGAAATTAGATTGTACATATCCATAGGAATGATTTCCAGAGGGATAGCTGTGTATCAGTCTGTGCAGCAGCAAAAACAAGACCCATGAAATACTCCATTCATTGGAACATGAAATTACTCATCTCAAACTTTATAGCTAAGCCTGAATGTTTTTACAGAATGCAAAAAGGTGAAATTGTGATTGTCAAACACATAAAAATGTAACAAATGGCAATGGGGAATAAGTTTCAGGGTTCAGAGCACTAATGTTACTTTTTATTTTATTTATTTAAAATATTTTCTTCCACCCTTCTGTCATTACAGTATTCAGTGATGTATAAAAATCAAAACTATCATGAGATAAATCCTAATAATAAAACTGAACTCTCTCACACCTACAGAGTTGTTGTATATATGTGTGATAGCCCCATATATGCTGTCTTGATCTCCTTGTGGTAAGGGGGCAAATACAAACATGCTTATATCTCATGCACAAGCACATCCCCTCTCACCCCAAGAAATCAATTTGTTATACCCATGTTGTGCTGATGACAGATTATACCCCGTGTCTGCACAAACTAACCATGTGCTCATGGGCATAGCCAAGGGGGGCAGGGGGGACAGCTGCCCCCCCAATCAATAGAAATCAATACAAATCTGAGGTTTTGCCCCCTAACAAAAGCCTGCCCCCCAAAAAACCCCATGCATGTGTTGCTACTGCACAATGTGAGACTACTCCATGGCTCCTAAGTCTCCCCTTTCATTTGTGCTGCTCTGCCACTGCAGATGTTTTCTTTCACTTCTCTGCCGGGCAAAAAGTCATTGGATACGGAGAAGGGGAGACCTAGCAGCAGAGAGGGAACTAAAGGCTACTAAGATGATGCAGAGGCAACGGGCAGAGGGGAGGGGTCATGATGGTGGGCAACAGGGACACCCCAAGTTATTTTAGTGCCTGCATCAGCAGAGAAACCAAATGGCACCCTCACGACGCACTAACAATGATTACACCGTGAATTTTTAAGGGAAGTCAGGACATAATTTAATAAAAACCCCACACAACCAGTGAAATGAGCAGGAGTTGCACAGCGGCACTGCTCTGCGCCCGTGCATTTCAACTGAGCTCACGTCTTGGTGGTTTCCACCTCAAGGCTCTGTCTGGCACTCCCTACTAACGTATGTGAGAAATCGCTAGGAAACAGGGAAAGCCCTGAAAATGTCCAGGAAAATGACATTCTAGGGAATTAGACAAAGGAGGAAGGGTGTGTGTGTGTGTGTGTGTGTGTGTGTGTGTGTGTGTCTGTTTAAGTCCCTGGAGAATTGCATCAGTGTATGAAGACAGGAGAGGCAGGCAGCATGGCAGGAAATGCGTCTGCACATGGAAGGAGGCAACCAAACAAGATAGTGCCTCTTGTCAATACCTGTTAGGGCTGGTACACAACATACCAGGATGGGTCCGGAAAACCATACCATGGATGACTAGACAGTAATTATCTTATTTCATTTAGATTAAAGGCAATTCAGGGCAGCTAGGTACAATTCCTTATTTGCTCCCACGACATTACAGTCATCACTGTATTTGTTTACCTCCAATCACAAACAACTATTTATATACCTAAGCAAGCAAGCAAATAAAAACAAACAAATAATAGGATGAAAATCAACAGAACTTTAAAAAGAATCCACACTAAATGTCAAAATATTAAAACTCTAAATTAACTGAAGATAAACTGACCTGATTCGAAAATTGTAGTATTCCAATAGCAGCAAATGCTTAGCAAGTTTAAAGTCTGGGTGAATAAAATTGTATTTACCTGACAGCTAGAGCTAAGAGGAGGCACTAGGATTGTGGACCAAGGGGGGTGTTCCAAAGAAGGGTGCCAACACTAAAAAGACCCAGTCCCTGGTCACCACCTATCTAACTGCAGGAGACCACTGCAGGCAACTATTTGGAACTCGGGGTTGGGGGTGGGGTGGAATACTTCCTTTATATCTGAGAGGCCTATTTAGTATTTTCTTTATATTTCAGAAACATTGGCCAGTCCAAAGCCAAGAAGCATATCCAGGGTTCAGCTGTTGAAGTATGTTTAAACAATGGAATTCATTCTCACAAGATGTAATGATGACCACAAACTTGGATGGCCTTAAAACAGGATTAGATAAATTCATGGAGGACAGAAGCAATGTCAGTGGCTACTAGTCATGATGGCTGCTGTACTGCTTGTTTGCTTCCTAGAGGCGTCTTGTTGGCCACTGTGAGAACAGGATGTTGGGAGTAGATTGGTACTGGGTCTGATCCAAGAGGACTTAAGTTCTGGGATTTTTACAGCAAATGCCTTAAATTGCCAACAGAAGATGCAGAATTAAGAACAGGAGGACTGGTTAGACCCCCTTTGAGCACAAATGACAGATATAAGCACACTGCACACCTTTTTTATCCTGTAATGATTATCCTAATTTTTTATCCTTTAGTGATAGTATTTTCTATGTTTTTAGCTTTTTCTAGTTTACCTGTGTAAACCACCTAGCATCCCAGACTGGGAAAAAGGCAGGAAATATAATAATAATAATAATAATAATAATAATAATAATAATAATGGCACATTAGCAGACTATGTGCTTTATGTACCATCTGCCACTCGTATTGAATGTGAGGTAACAAAGACAAGTGCACCTATAAACTTCCCTGTTTGGGCAAATAAATTCAACAACAGGGACTGTGAGCCAAAGAAAATCATAATAAATCGCTTTTACTACGTCACTGTAAGAGAATGGTAAAATAAAATCACAGCAATATAAACAGGAATTTTCTATAAAATGTACACCTAATTAAAAAGATTTCTGAATGGCACTCACCTTTGCTTATTAAATATTTTTTAAATAAATAAGATAAACTGCAGCAAAGGGATTGTTTATTTTAATTAGCTCTTGAGAAATTTTGGTTTCTTATTCAAAATAAACCAAATTCCCATCTAAAACTATCACTACACTTACACCCACATGCATAAAATGTGTTTAGAATGCTATGATTGTGTAACTAATCTTTTATTCAAGTTAATACTTTTAAAATAGATGTTTAACAAGTCCACTGTTTACAGATGTATATATAACAAAAAGTTTGAGCCAAATGAGAAAAGAAGAAATGTAACAAGAAGGACATTGATAAAATGAGAGTATTTTTCAAGCAAAATTTTCTATCAGCATTGTTGCTTCTAGAAACCTAAAGGGAACTACCACTCATATGCGTTTATCAGCTACCACTGAAATGCACTTACAGAAGATCAACTGCTGAAGCATTATGTATATAATGTGTGCTATTTACCCATTTCTTCTCAAACAGCAGAGCTTAAAGCAACATACAAGCAGCCACTGAAATACGATGAACGTCATCCAGCAAAAGTTGAGCACTTTTAGAAGTCCTCCTGATTTTATTTGGAGAGTCAAGGATTTACCTAGCCCCACTGCAAGATATCATTTTTATTGTGAATTGATAATTATTTGTGTTCATGATGGCATTGGGACAGTTATATGTGATCCCACTTTCAATATACTCTTTGTGCACACAAAGTTTCAGAGTGGACAGGCTGCTTTGTTTCAATTTGGTGAATGTCTCATAGCTTCCTGCCGGAATTCTGTAACTTTTTATACCACAAAATTCAGATTTACTTTTTGACCTGTTTTTGTTGTCAAAAGCGCCCTTCCAGACAGCAATAATGTAGTAACATTGGGGAAACATCACAGAACAAATAATAAAGCAGAATGATGCACCACTGATGCTCTATAATGGGATCATTGACATGTTGCAGAATACAGTGCCCGAAACAAAACCTGGAGGGACCCTTAAATATTTGGGAGGATCATACCCAATGGAACCAGTGTAAAATCCCATGGCTACAGATTAAAGAACATTAATACAATTGATAGAATCATGGAAGAATTGCAAATAAACATATTGGGAAACATCCATTGATGTTAGTGCAAGAGCAAAAATCATGCCGTGTGCAAGAAAAGGGTTATATTCTGTTAGTGTTAAGGTCAGCTAGCCAAGAGGGTGATGGGGGAGGTGTTACTTAGCAACTAGGCAGAGTGGCATGATGCCCTAATTGGCTGTGTAGTTCTGAGGGAGTTTTTCTCTATATGTTTGGTTGACGTTCTCCCTGTTATGTACTAGGCCTGACCTAAGAAGTCAAAACCTTTCTGTTTATTTCTTCAAATTCATCAGGAATTCTTTTCTTTCTTGATTTTGCCAACATTATTTAAGTGACCTTGCTAACAGTCCACCACTTGTGCAACAGTGGACATCTAGTTTCTATTCTCCCCTCTACAGCCTCCAGATGCCCCCAAAATTTGCTCTGTGTGGTCCCCTAGTTCTCCAGAGCAGATTTTGGGGATGCAGGGGGAGGAGAGAAAGGAGAGGGCCCATTGGGTGAGCTGATGCCGTCTTGGGCCATGTTGGAAGGACCTCACCTTCTGTGATTGGGAATCCCTTTTACAGCGTGATAACAACTAGTGGAATAGTAATTGTCTAAAGCATTGTGCACCAGAACCTGTCGCTCGACCAGGGGATGCGTTCAAAGAGATGGCAACATAGCACCAAAGTCAGCTAAGAAGGATTGCTTCTCAGCCTCACAGAAACACACTTTGCCTTCCCAAAAATGACACATAGCCTGGGTTTTAAAAAGAAAGAAAATGGAAGCAGTTTAAAAGTATTATAAAACATTTATTAAAATAAAACTTGTAACACAAAATGTTGCTGCTACATAATAGTATTTTTATGCAGTTAACACTGCATAAAATAAAAGTGCACTGGCTGATAAGGTTATTGGCTCATCTTTGCATTGTTTTGATAAAGCATTTTAAAAACCAGATTAATACTTAAAACATTTAAAGGAGCTTGACACTTTGCAAGATCTATTAAAGTGAAACAACCAACCCATATTCCTAACACATGAAAAGATAATGCTGCATTTAAGTTCTATCGACAAGAATAAACACCAGCAATGGCAGGAGAGAGTGCTATTGGGCACTTCGCATAACTGGGCTCCAGAGATCTCAAGCCACTCACCACCAGCATCGACTATGTGCCTTCAGTGATTCAATTGAGCATATGGTACCATCAAGCACATTTCACAGTATAATATGAAACAGGGCCAATGTTCAGGATTAACAGAAAAATGGGGTTGCTGCCATTAGAAGTGAGCAGAGTGGTGTGTGAAATTATGTCCATGTAACTTGTAAGAAGAAACAAAAGCTAATTAAAAAATGAAAATGATTTCACTTCTATGTCCTCCCCTCAAAACACATCATTTTTCATGACAATACTTCCTTATCATTCATTCCCATCATCTCCTGTTATTTCAATACCTCTCTTGGACAATCTCTAATCCTCCTTTCCCTTTAAGGCCAGAAGTCCCTGTTCTTCAGGATGTTGTCCATAGGCATTTCCTATAGACATTTCCTCCTTCTGGTTATTCCAGGAATTATAAAGCAATATCATTGTCATCATACACTATGCAGTGTAACAGAGGCAAACAATATTGGCTTTCATAGAAGAGGAGCATAGATGAAGCTGCCTTATACTTATAGAGGCTTTCCAAAGTCTTAGGCAGAAGCAAACCCAGTATTTCATACAGAGATCATTTTAACTGAAGATGTCAGGAATTGAACCTGGGGCTCTCTGCACACTGTATCGCTGAGCCAAGGCCCTCCGCCACATTGTTCATTTGCTTTTTGTGTGAATATGATGTTAGATATAAAAGACACCAGAAACATGATTGTATGCAAGAGACAGAAAGTGCAGTTACAGAATGGACAAATTATATGCAAGAAAGATCAGATTTCAACCTAAATACATTCCATTGTTTATTAAATCCAGTAAAATAAGGCTGACTCAAAAGTAGGCTTTTAAATAGTGGAGCCTTGGAGTCTGAATGTTTCTGTTTGTGCCTACTCAAAAGCTGTCTAGAGTCTAACCTAACCAAACTGGAGTGGAGTTTCCCCAAGAGATTCACAAAATTCTCATTGCCCAAACTTTCCCACTGAGATTTATGATTAGAGTTTAACTCCCTCTTATGCCCTTTGAAAATTCCAGTCCATTACTAATATTATTATTTACTCTACATAAACTTTCAGTAAAATTGTCATTTTGCTGAGTTTGTTTTTACAGATACTATAATTCCAGTCAATTATACAACAAGTTAGTGCTCTACTATAAGTACCTAAGTAATTGGTTTTGGGAATATATTGCACAAGCATTGGATTGGAATTAGCAGCTGGTACAGTTCTGAAATTTGCTTTTGTTCCTGCATTACAGGTGCTCAGAACTGACATCCCTACCACAATGTAACTTTGTAGTTTATGGCACACATTTCTCAGATCCACCAAAAAGTTGAGCCCATGACCTCTCTGGTTCATTGTCTTCTTTTTTTAGTTGCTTAATTCAGTGTTCAAGTAACTTTTGTGGGAAGGAAAAATATGCAACATCGCACAGCTTGCAAAAGCTTGAGTTTGTATGAACAGGGCATTTAAGAATTGCTTCTTCTACAGCTGGGTTTTCAAGTGCCTGTTAAACAAACATTGTCATCATACCACACTGGAGTTTTCGAAGTAACTACAGGAATCAAGATTCAGTTTGGCCTGGGTATATAGGGTAACTTTACAGAACGGATCAGAGAATATTCCTTGGTTGTGGTGCATCCATGTTATTTCTCTCCATCGTTTTGTTTCAGGTAGTCACCATTTATCATCTTCCAATGAATCTGAGACTAAATGTGGAGAACAGCTCATGTGCCATGACCTAGAGACAGTTCAATTCAGTTGGTTAGGGGAATGTCACTCTAAATCTGTATTCTGCAAACAGCTCCTTAACCAAGGGATATATTTCCTTTAAAAAAAAAAACAAACCACTCCTTTTTGGCTCATTCTGTAAATTCCCATCTATCAATCAGCACTGCTTTGACAATTACCCTCTTCCTATGATGAGAGAGAATAGATGGCTTACTAATGAGGGTGTTAAATGTGGTTCTGTGTAATCAGCAAAACAGCGACTTTTTTGCTCTTCTCCTTTCTATGCTATTTTGTAGCACATGATTTCTCAAACTAAAAATGTACTTTTTGTTGCTTGGTCAAATTAGCTTTTTACTTAAAGGTTTGTTTTACTCCCATTTATTTTGCATGGGCTTGGGTAAAGCTAGATTAACACATTTTCCAAGAAATATCAAGAGAACAATGCTGTCTTTTTCTATTAGAAGTATATTTTTGAGCTCTCCAAGGGAACTAAGTACAGGAGTGGTCTGGCAGGGTCACCAACACCAAATCCTGAAAGAGCCTATCACTTTGCTATCCTCCACTCTTCTTCCTGATCCTTCCAAGGAAAATATGAATACAGCTGGGCTTCCAACTAACTACTAATCAGGATGTTCATATTTTAGACAGCTGTTTCTATATGAATTTCTGTAGAGTTAATGTAAAGTGTATGAACAAGAGAATCATATTTGTGTAGCTTGGCAGCGGCTCCATTAATTTCCAGATGCTGTATGTGCAGGCAACGCAAAACAATTACCACAAATTATACCATGAAAACAAAATGTTTGGCCACAGTAGAGGGGAAACAGCATTTCTCACGCTTAAAGCTTGTTCTTAACAGAGCCGTTGCTACTTCTCTGTAGTTCCTACCTATATCGTTTCAGTAATGCCTGAACCAGGGAGGTCACACAGATGAGATGTATTATGTCATTACTTTCCAGCCTTCCAAGAGGTTGGCAGGGAGAGACAAAGAGTTAGTACTGGCACTGCAAGTAACAACGTTATTGGATCTCTGCATGTAATCTCTCATATCCAAACCTTACTGGAATGGTGTAGGAAAGTAACTATGATAAACAGCACCTTCACTATAGGGGCTGGTCATTCCCTGAAATGGAACTTCTTGAAGATTGGGCCATCATGACATTTTTTCAAGGAACATAGACCAAATTCATACTCTGAATTTCTCTTTTTAAGGTCTGTCAGATCTGTTTCATCATCATCTGTTTCTTCATCCATCCATTAATTCCTTATTATTCACAAATGGCAGGTTACAACAACTTTTCCTACAGTGAGCTAAAAGATTTCTATCCCTGTTAAATATCACACATTCAAACATACAATTATTTTTTCTAGTCTTGGCATAGTGCATGGGTAGGCAAACTAAGGCCCAGGGGCTGGATCCAGTCCAATCGCCTTCTAAATTTGGCCCGCGGACGGTCCGGAATCAGTGTGTTTTTACATGAGTAGAATGTGTGCTTTTATTTAAAATGCATCTCTGGGTTATTTGTGGGGCAATTCGTTCATTTTTATTTATTTTTTCAAAATATAATCCGGCCCCCCACAAGGTCTGAGGGACAGTGGACCGACCCCCTGCTGAAAAAGTTTGCTGACCCCTGGCATAGTGCATGCAGCTTAATTCACTCCCTTCCTCCTCTATGCTACTTGGCTTTCTTCATTTTAGAATGTAAGTGACAGCAACACCTGCCAGAAACTCTAAGAGATTTTACATATAAATTAGTTCCTATAAACTAGTTTTTCAGGTTTGTTATTTGTTTGGTTCTACTTACATATTTACAGCCCTGTACAAGCATTAATTATACACAACTGCTCAACATAAAGACAAAGCTGATGCAAATTATAAATCACCTAATATCGTTAAGAGGTAAACAAAAATGCTAGGAAATGAAACTTGGAGCACAAAAGTGAAGAAAAGGGTAACCACAAATGTCAAGGGTTACAATACTTGGGCATTAGTTTAGAAAAAAGTGGGAATAAAGTGGGGCGTGATAGATGTGCATAAGATTGTGCACAGTGTGAAGAATGTGAACAAAGAAAAAAACTACTCCCTCTCATAATACTGAGCTCATAATACTCTAATAATACCTGAGTTCTAACTCAGGGCCATCCAGTGAAGCTGACGGTTGGAAGATTCAGGGCAGAAAAAAGGAAGCACTTCTTCACACAGCAAATTCACTTCTCCAATGGCCACAAAGTTCAATGATTTAAAGGGGGATTAGACAAATTAATGGAGGGTTTTCAGGCTATCAGTGGCAACTGGTCATGATGGTTGTATAGCCACATTCCATGAAGTTGGTTATTCTTTCATTTTAAAGGCAAACCCCTCCTGTGCTACCAAATAATGAGAGAGAAGGAGAGAGGGAGAGGTTGTAGAGTTGCTGGTACATGAAGAACTCACATCAGCATCTGATGCCATTTTTTTAAAGCAAAGTGTGGTATAACTGACTTCATTTCCTCAAACCATCCTGAGAGGTAGAGTATTAACATTCTCATTTTGCAGATACTGCAAGGCTCAGGGCAAAACTAGGCATGACATTAACTGCATGAATGTTATCAGTGCTTTATCAGTGTGGCTTTTGTTATTTAAATAGCATGACCATGGAGGTTGGGGAAGGTTCTGCTGAAATAAAAATAGCAGCTTCAGAAAGTCATTTTTTTGTTGGGACGGTGGCACGGAAGAGAACAAGGTTGCTCAAGCTTCTCTGGGGCTGCTATATACTATTTACTTCTACTTGATCTCTCAGCTGCTTTTGATACCATGGGCTTGTAAACCGCTGTGATATATTTTTTATGATACAGCAGCATATAAATATTTTTAAAATAAATAAACCGCAACAACAATGTATTAACTGAATCTATACAATTAACATAATGCAGTGGTTTTCAACCAGTGTGCCTTGGCACCCTGGGGTGCCTTGAATGATGGTCAGGGGTGCTGTGGGCAACACTGTCCTCTGTCCCTCCCTCCCTCCTTCTTCTGATGCCCTCTCGCATCTCTACCTCTCCAAGGCTTCCACAGCTGTTTGTTGAAGCCCTGGCTACAAGCTTGCAGGGCAAATGCTGCCTCTGGGGCTGGACAGGGGGTGCTGGTTGCCAGGAGCTGAAGTAAGCAAGCAAGCGGGCAAGAGAGCCCAGCCAGCCAGTCCACCAATCCTTGCTGTTGGGAATAGACAGACAAGTCCCAGGCCCCTGTGGGGCAGTGTAAGGAGGCACCTCTCTTTGGGGCAGGGAGGGCAGCTCAGAGACAAGGGATGGCAGCAGCAGCTGCTTGGAGGACTCCCAAGGAGAGGAGAGAGAAGAGGAGGCTGAGGGAATACTGCACAAGGTAGGGTGTTCGAGAAAGGGTGAGAGGCTGCCAGCTCTTCTGGCAAGGGGTGGCATAACTGCGCTCCTGAGCTCCACAGGGGGTGCCACAGAAAGAATGTAGTTGGTCAAGGGAGCTGTGGACTCAAAAAGGTTGAAAACCACTGACATAATGTATAGTTTGGCCCTCAAATAAGCATAATGGCTTGCACAAAGCCAGGCTCAGTTAAGATGAAAATCTGCTGGACCATATCAGCTTTCAATACAGTGGTACCTTGAGTTAAGTACTTACCGTATTTTTCGCTCCATAGGACGCACTTTTCCCCTCTTAAAAACTAAGGGGGAAAGTCTGTGCGTCCTGTGGAGCGAATGCAGGGGGGAGGCAGGCATGAAAAGCCCCCAAGAGCCACACACAAGCTTGGCACGACTCTTGCAGGCTTTTCCCTAGGAGGGAGAAGGGTCTGACACGGCCAGTCAGTCCCTTCTCCCTCCTCGTAGAAAAGCTCGCAGGAGACGCGCACTCCTTAAAGTGTGTGCAGCTCCTGTGGCTTTTGCGGGAGGTGGGGGAATTGCCATAGCCGCACGCAGCCTCTCCAGCCGGGAGAGGCTGCGCAAGGCTAAAGAAGTCAAGGCAGTGAGCGCAATCCATCCCGCTCGCTGCAGCCGGGAGAGGCTGCGCAAAGGTAAAGAAGCCAAAGCAGCGAGCGGGATGGATCGCGCTCGCTGTTTTGGCTTCTGCCATAGCCTGTCCGGTAATTCGTTCTGGAGGTCCGCTTTTAACCTGAAACTGCTCTTAACCTGAAGCACCACTTTAGCTAATGGGGCCTCCTGCTGCCGCCACACCACCAGAGCACGATTTCTGTTCTCATCCTGAAGCAAAGTTCTTAACCTGAAGCACTATTTCTGGGTTAGCGGAGTCTGTAACCTGAAGCGTATGTAACCTGAAGCGTATGTAACCCGAGGTACCACTGTACTTTGAGCGTGCATTTCTGGAAGGGTGGGGGATGAAGGTGGATGAACCACCTTCATGTGTGGCTGGGCTTGATATGCTAGAGCAGAAGCGACGGTGGAGAAATACACTGTGTTCCAGGTGGTTTCATGGCACCAGGAGGATTTCGGAGTCTTTGGGTCCAAGCCGCTTTGTGGAACACCAAACATGCCCCCTTTTTGGTCCTACTGACTGGTGCTGGGTGGGCCAAGGCGTACCTTGGTGACTAGATCCAATCCTATTTTGAATCTTGGTACATCCTCCAGGGACCATAAGATTGTGCCACTGTTGTATTTTGTAATATTTGTCGGTGTCCAATATTTATATGTTGTGTGAATTAATTTTATTTGCACTTTTGTACATCACCCTATAACATTTTGATGAAGGGTGGTTAAGCAATATTTTAAATAAATAAAAATGCATTTCCTGTTTATCATGAACCAGAGTTAGCCACAATCTCTGAATGAGGTTGCTAATCACACTAGGATTATATAACAGGACAGGATGCATAAAGTAGATAAAATTAACTCTGGTTTAAATCTAATCCAAAGAATACTTGTTTGAAATAGAAAATAAATAATGACTAGTTGGACACTACTTTGTGCTGGCATTTCTTATCCAAAAACCTACCAATGCAGAGATCCCAAATTGCTGCCTGCTTAGACCCATTAGAGGTCAGTTTGGCTCTCACAAACAACCATGTCAATTCAGAGAAAATGGACACAGAAAAAACCATGATGCACAACATGAGGTACATTTTCAGTGGCAGGGAGTATGCCAACCCTTTCAAAGACAAGCACAAAGAAGCCTCTACAGCAGGCAGCAAAGGGAGGTGGGAAGCTGATTTGCTTATACTAGTATTTTTGAATATGGCAGATAACGGGCTTACAAATAGGAGAATGTAACAAACAGATATCTTTCAGTTGCTTTACAATCCTCCATAAAACTGTGTGAGCCTTAAATGTACCTTTGTAGCTGTGTGATTTGTGCTCAAACTGTATTGTGACGGCCATTGGCTATAAACAATAAAATCTACTGACATTAACTTCATTAGCTAGAAATTATGTTTGCATTTCATGTTCCAACTGCCACATTGGCCAAGATCATTAAGAAAACAGCAATATTTTTAATAATAAATAGTGATGGTGATGATAAGAGGAGGAGGAGGAGGGGAAGAAGAAGAAGAAGAAGAAGAAGAAGAAGAAGAAGAAGAAGAAGAAGAAGAAGAAGAAGAAGTTGTTGTTCACAGACCGTATTGTCTGATTTCTGGTATAACGGTGATTGGTCAAAGTGAAAATTTAAATTAACATTTTAAAAACATTTTAACATGATTGTTCTTGAAAAAATATTTATGATAATTACATCTATTTGATAATATGTTTCCAATCTCTGCCTTAAGAAAATCTTCACATTAGAATATTAGGTTATTCAGAGTAAAAAATAAATAAAAATGCCACAACTTACTTCCTCAACCATGTGCTTGACTTTCTTCTGTTGGCAAAGAACCATGTCATCCAGATGTTTGATTCGTTCTCGCAGACTAGCTGTAACCTCCTCTAACTGATGTGACCTAACAAAAATGTGAATACTAAATTAGTAAATTTTAATTAGTAAGATATAAATCTGTAGAATAGCTGCTTCCCCAACACTGTATCAAATACTTTAAGAAAAAAAGGTCTGTCAATGATAAAACCAATGACACATAAATGGGAAGTACAGAATCATAGAGTTGGAAGGGTCCCAAAGGTCATCTAGTCCAATTCGCAACATATATCTACAAATTCATAATTGTCTTCAGTAAGCCAACTACCACCTGCCTTAGATGATCTTTACCTTATAGAAAGGAAGCTTTTCATCAGTTGCAAAGTAATCTATTTTAGAGTATGAATCAGAGGAGGTGGAAGATTGAGAAGCAATTTAATTTGAAAAATTGGTGGAGATTTTAGAATTTAATTTTAGAAAATAATTTGTTAAATGTATGCATGGTACATTTTATAGGTAAAAGTAAAGGGTAAAGGGACCCCTGACCATTAGGTCCAGTCATGACCGACTCTGGGGTTGCGGCACTCATCTCGCTTTATTGGCCGAGGGAGCCGGCGTACAGCTTCCAGGTCATGTGGCCAGCATGACTAAGCCGCTTCTGGCGAACCAGAGCAGCGCATGGAAACGCCGTTTACCTTCCCGCTGGAGCGGTACCTATTTATCTACTTGCACTTTGACATGTTTTCAAACTGCTAGGTTGGCAGAAGCAGGGACCGAGCAATGGGAGCTCACCCCATCATGGGGATTCGAACTGCCGACCTTCTGATCGGCAATTCCTAGGCTCTGTGGTTTAACCCACAGCGCCACCTACATCCCCTGGTACATTTTATACTTGGCCACAATCCCTGGAAGGTTTTAAGTGGCACATATCAATAATCCTATCCATCAGCATTTCATTTGGGGACAAAACAAACTCACTTCACTCCAAGTGAAAGTTCTAACTTATGTATGTACAACAAGGCCAGCCCAGGACATTTGCTGCTTGATGCAAAACAGAAAATACCCCCCCCCCTCTTTTTTGCTTCCTGAGGCAACTGGAGACAGCCCAGGGAAGCCCTGGCATGCTGAAGGTAGCAAGGGAGCAAAAAAATGGAGGCTGGAGATGAACAAGTGGTAGTGGTGGGGTGTGGCAGTGGAGGAGGAGCTGATGTAAATAAGAACATCAGAACAGCCTGTATACAGCGGAACTGGTCAAAGGACCTGTCTAGCATTCTCTTCTCACAGTAGCCAACCAGATGCTCATTATGGGAAGCCCATATAACCTGAGTGTAACAGCAACGATACTCTCCCCATTGCTTTTTACATCATTTGGTGTCAGCCACATTTTGTTGACATGCCTTACCTGTTCAGAGGTGTGTGTCCAATTTTAACAGAAAAGTGACCATACAAATGAGGGAAACTGAACCCTCCCCACTTTGCCAAAGGCCTTTCAGTCAGTCATTTTTCTCTCAGCACAACTCATTTCTGGTGCTGGAGCCTGGCCCAAAGATAAGGTAAAGGGACCCCTGACCATTAGGTCCAGTCGTGGCCGACTCTGGGGCTGCGGCGCTCATCTCGCTTTATTGGCCGAGGGAGCCGGCGTACAGCTTCCAGGTCATGTGGCCAGCATGACTAAGCCGCTTCTGGAGAACCAGAGCAGCACACGGAAACGCCGTTTACCTTCCCGCCGAAGTGGTACCTATTTATCTACTTGCACTTTGACGTGCTTTCGAACTGCTAGGTTGGCAGGAGCAGGGACCGAGCAATGGGAGCTCACCCCGTCACGGGGATTCGAACCGCCGACCTTCTGATCGGCAAGTCCTAGGCTCTGTGGTTTAACCCACAGCGCCACCCGCGTCCCACTAGGCCCAAAGATAGGGAGATGGAAGGTGGGCAGGTGTGGCTAGGGAGAGTTGGACTTCCCACCCACCCCACTTGCATACCCCTTTTAATGTTAAAATTAGACCAGTCTATCTATGAATGGGGCAGACGTGGCTGTCACCATCATGTATGCTTTGGGCCAGCGCTGCAGCTTTTCAAATCTTGTCTTGCCCGCCCTTTGAGTACATTCTGGAGCATCTGGGCTGTGTGATGTCAGCTTTTCAACATTGCAATGTATCACCAGTCAAACATTGCAAACTGGCGATACACCACAAAGCTGAAACAACAAGAGCTGCATTGGTCCCAACCCACAATGCACGGGGTGAAACTGCTTTGGCTCTCACCGCAGGAGCTGAGGCGCTTTCATGAGGCACCCATGAGGTGCTGGGGACCACACAGCTTGTTTGTGCTGCTCAACTGGGGGGTGGGAAGGCTCCTGCCCCCCAGCTGAGCGAGCCCCAAAGTCCCTCCTGCTTGCCTGCAAGCAAGCAAGCAAGCAAGCATGAGGAACCTTAGGGCTTCTTTGTATAGCTCGGCTGGGGAGTGAGAAGGCTTCACCCAGCAGTATATCACGGGTGAACCCGCCACTACTCCTGAGTCCCTCTGCTACCAGCAGCCCAATGTTGAAAGCAGCACTGGTGGCAGAAGGACTCAGCAGCGGAACTGGTTTCTCCTGCAGTATGCTGCCGAGTGAAGTTGCCATCATGGTCTGCCCCTCATACCGGTCCTGGGCGATACATCAACACATTGTCCAGGCCTGCTTGACAGAGTTATGTAAAACTGTCCTCAGTTCAAATTTCCTCACAGATTTTCTCCCCGTGGCAGATTAGGTGCTCCTCATACAACAAATGCCTCTGTGCCCACCTGGAGGGGCTCCTGCATGAAAGGCCCCTTCAACATGTGGATACACAGACAGACTGGATCCCTAGGGACTTTGGTGTGTCTGATCCAGCTCTTCTTATCTTCCCATTATAAATATTTCCTGTCAAATAATTTTCCTGACTGGAAGGCACACCTCTGCATAGTTTTCTTAATTGCCCTTCTCTTTCTCCATGTTTTCCAGGACTTGAGCTCCTAATTGTTATCGTCACCATAAAAGCTGTTGGGCAAAGAAAGTATAAATGGTTCTCAGAAAATAGCCCACAAGGTATCAAAGAAAATCTGGATTTTTAGGGAAGAAAGAATGTACATAAAATTCTCAAAGGAAATACTGTTAGTGATGCTCTTCTGCTCAGTAATGAACATTCTCCAAATTAGAAGATGACCTTTAGTCGGGTCCTGTAGACAAGTGAAATGCCTGAGACATTTTAATGCCTTGAAGAAAACTTTAAGGTCTTCCACACAAAGACGACTAAAGGAACTTTTTTTTTTTTACAACTGAGAATCCATGCATGCATATTACCAGTAATAGTAGGTGGGGTGGAGCCACAAAGACCCCCCCCCACCATCAACATCACTACAGCTTACCTGGATGGCACTGGGGGATGGCAGTAAGGTCAGTGATGCACAGCAAGACCACTGGATTTTCTTTACAACATAACCTCAACTTTGCAGCCACCCTCCTCCCCACCAGCCCTGTCCAGGTACACGGCAGTGATGACCCCACCATAGCAATCACCACTGCAAATTACTATGGAATAATTGTACAGGGCTCCTTCTCTATAGAGAATGCAGATAGTAGCAGTATATATGGCATGCTGGGAATTAAAAAAAAAAAATTCTAACATTATATCATCCAAAGTTAATTATCAACTACAGTTAGGGATAGTTTATGAGCATCAAGAATCCTAGAAAGAATCAAGACCTCACCTTTGTCTGCCTGACTGACTGTGAAGGTTTGCTCCGTTAAGTTGTATTTCATATTCTATGAGTTGCTTTTGCAGTTGATGGCGTTCCTATGTGGGAAAATACATTTTTATATATTTCTGTCTTTTAACATGTAAGAAATCAACTACAGTATACAAAACACTTTTCATTGGAATGTACACACTGCTCATAGAGATCCAAACACGTAGACTAAAAAAAAACAAGGTCCATTGACTCCTGAGCCCAGTTCTTAGTGCTCGTGCTTTACCTTTAAAGCTGTAAATGGTTGGCACAGGGGAGGTGGGGCTTTCAGCAGCACAGCAGAGACAAGACAGATAAGGCTTCAGTTGGGGCTAAGGGCTGGTAGAGACAACAGCTAGTAGAACTACCATAGCAAGACCCTGGGAGTTCTCCACGACCCTAGACTCCTGTCATGGCCTTTTGAAAGGACACCATCAAGCTTCCCCCAACAGCCCCAAATTCTCACAGAACAGGACACCTTTATGAATGGCTATTTTTCATCCAGCCCTTCCAAACTGATGAAAACCACCATAAAAGGTTGTTCTAGTTTCAACACTGTTACTTCTACCTCCTACTTGGGTTGCCCAGTCATTCATGCCGTCTTTCCCTCTGCACTAAACACTGTACCTGGATACAGGTAGTTGCTTAGCCTCAAAATTCATATTGAAGAATGAGACCTGGTCTACATATGCATCAGAATGAGGTGATAAGAGTGGATTGTACCATTTCAGACTACAAGTGGGGGATATAATTTTTGAATAATCCCTTACATAAACGCCTCCAGGCACTGCCACCTTATCCTCACATCAGGGCCAAATTAGAAATGGAACCAAAATAGAGTCCAGGAGGAAAAGGTATCCGTACACTTAGAGAGCCTTTGAGATCTTTGAATGAACTGATGTATTTCGGTCTGACCAGAGTGCAAACATATACAACAACAGAGAGCATACAGATAATAATAGATTAAAATTAAGTTTTATGAGCTGATACACGATAAATAATTCAGATACAAAACAGCTACAATATTTAAGTTAAAACCTTAACCACTAATTTAAAACATATTAAGACACTGGCTGTTAGATTCATTCAAAGCTTATCCCCTTAATTTTATAGCAGCAGCACAAAATTTAGCCACTTTTAAGGTAATCTCTGGTTCCCTATCCTCTATTAAGTATTTTAAGTAGCAATCATCAGTTCTGCTTGCGGTTTGCTGCATGACTGGAGTCATAAACATAGAACGTACAGTATAGCTTTGTAATAATGACAATGTAGTAGGGCATGAGTAGCAGTTTTGACTTCCTTCAAACCATATAGGCATATTTGCTCTGAATATGGTTTGCCTTCAAATATGCCCTGCAGTAATGCAGATGGAAGGACATTGAATCTGGCAAGGGTAAAAGTCTTCTTCATTCTCTCTTTGAGTTGTTATTATGTCATAATTTTCAAAAACTGCACACTGCCAATGCACATTAATGGATCAGGTATACAGGCATATGTTACCAGCATAAGGTGGGTGTTTCCCCCTCTCAGCTATGTGAACACTAATCTTCTCTTCTACGGAAGAAAATTCCTATGCTCATATTAATTGCCACTGTGGTGTTCCAATATTAATTAAATCCTTTGCTTGATGAGTTCCACACACACACACCCGCATCTAATTGGAATTGTAAACTAGTCTTCCAACAGCAAAGAAGTCGTGTTTCAGAATGTGATCCTCAGCAACAACTTCAGGCTATAACCCCCCCAGCTTGGAGTGAATTGTACAATACATCGATGAAAATGGCTGAATTGCACTGACCACGAGGACCTTCTTCATCTTCCTCCACCATCAGAGATGCAGCAGCTGACCACAAAGGAAAGGGACTTTTCCATTATGGACTCTGAACTGTGCAATTATCTCCTTAGAGAGGCGTGCCCTCCCCCATCACTGCCTGCTTTTAGACAGGCAGTGAAAAGTGTACTTTCTAGAGAGTTTTTTTTAGAATTGTTGCCTCCTTGAAAGATATTAGCTTGCGGCAATTTGTTCATTTTGATATTGGCCTGGTTTGCACATAATGCTAACTCAAACCATGGTAACTCAAACCAAATGCTAGCTCAAACCAAGCCCCACCGCACTATATGTAAGGGTCTGGTGACTTCTGTTTCAGTGTATCTGATGAAGTGTGCATGCACACGAAAGCTCATACCGAGAACAAACTTACTTGGTCTCTAAGGTGCTACTGGACAATTTTTATATATTTTGAGTATGTCAGACCAACACGGCTACCTACCTGAATCTAGAACCATGGTTTAGAATGAACAAGCAAATGTGTGGGCTCCTGGAAAGGAAATTGCAGCTGCTTTGCTCCTTCCCAGTTATGTTGTGGTGCTATGACGTGGCTTGATTGAGCATGTCCTCCAAAACTGAGCTCATGATTGAGACAGCTCTAGCCAACCAGGAGTTGTAACCAAGGCTTTCCTATGGTTTACTAATCACGGTTTGCCTGGAAAGCTAAACCACAAGCTTGGGTTCAAGCAATACATTACGGCAGACCACAACTTAGTGCACCACCAAAACAACTGGGGAGTAACAAAGTGGTTGCAATCCTGTCTCTGCGTGGCCACACCTTTTGTCATTCATGCTAAGACATAGTTTGGCTTAGCAGCATGTATGAACGCTTTATCTTATCTATTATAAGTATGTACAAAAAGGTGTGTGTCTGAATCAATAAATTAAACTAAACTTTCAAAAATATGGTCACATATGGGAATGTGCAAGTCTTATAAAGTAAACAGGTTTGGCATTGAATCACTAAAATAAAATGTTTAGATGTGTGAGAAGATAGGTCTACTTCATAGATTTTCTAGCTTACATTAAATTCAAAATAAAATCTTGTTAAATCACATTGAGATATAGCCATCATCTCAAAACTAGCAAGACATTCACCCGGGGCAAAGTCCATGAAAAGAAAAGGGCAGGGCAGGAGACATAAGGAAGCAAGAGGAAATCTGCCACAACTTGTTCAACAGCAGTACTATGAATGTCACAAGAGGTATGGGGGCAGCAGGCTTGCTGCAGTCACTTGTAAAAACATATTTGATGTTTGGCTGTGATTTTCAACAAACAAACTCAATATTGAGCCAGTTGCCGTGTGGCTGCAGAAGTAAAAGGAATGGCACCCTAACCCCTGTGATGGGCAACCTATGGCTCTGCAGAGGTTCTTGGACTCCAGCTTCTTTAATCTCTCACCATTAGCCATGCAGGCTCGCTGCAGCTGATGGGAGCTCAGAGTCCAACAGCATCTGGAGGGCTACAGAACTTTCCTCCCCCTACTCTACCCCCTGCCATTAACTCGGAGGACTATGGGCCACTGGAAGGCTGTGCCTCCCCCCTGCTCTCTTAAGAAAATTGCCACAGAAAGAGGAAGTCTGGTCTAGACTCAGACAAAGGCCAGGGAATGAGTAGATGTAGGAAGCCTGCTTCTTCCGCTCTCTGCCACAACGGAACTGTGTCAATTGCCCTGACAGCTACTGGAAGAAGAAAGTTGACACTATGGCCAAAGGAGCAAAGGGCCTCAGCATTGGGGGTGGTATTAATGTGCTGCAAGTTGCTTTGGATAACATTTAATCAAATAGTGGTATATACAACTATATTTATTTATTTTTAAAAAAATTATCTGTGCACATAGAAATGGAGAATAAGTGTAAAAACAACTGTCCCTAATTGCTATTTTATATACGAAATACTCTCTGTACCACAACAACTGAGGAAACTTAAACAATCTTTGTATTTTTGTAAAATGGATGAAGCAAGCACACAGACAATTTACTGTATTGAGGAATTTTAGTGTACACACTTACATCTTCCATGCGCAAAATAAACTGATCCAGCTCGCCAATTCTTTGGTCTTTTTCTTGTAAACTCATCTCAGTAAGTCTCATCTTCTTATTTGCATCTTCAATGGCTGTAAGTAGTCTATTTGTTTCAGACTGTGAAGAAAAGGTTAAAATAGGCAGGATCAGCAATAAGCAGGGTAATGTCCTAAAGCAATGTTCTATCAGAAATATATCTCTGCTTCCAATTCTCTTGTCAGCCTCATCCCCACTCTGAAAATCTTCTCTCCCAGACCCTGGAGAAAGCTTGGAGCACAGGAAGCGGCTCTATCCTGACTCAGACCATTGGTTCACATAGTTCAGCACTGCCTATTCTAGCAGTAGTTCTCCAGGGTTTCCAGCAAGAGTCTTGCCCAGCCCTACCTAAAGATGCCAGGGATTGATCCTGGGAGCCTTCTGTATGCAAAGCAGGAGCACCTTCACTGGTCTACAACTCTCCCCCTGAAGGGCAGTAAGCATCAGCTACCAGAGTTCATTTTGCAGTCACATAGTCCCCCATGATTCCCAGAAAATCCAACTATGTGAAAAGCTATAGCTACAACAAACACACCCACTTTGATCCTTCTGACCCTAGAACTACAGGCATTGAAAGATTAATGACAGTAAGCACTTTGGAAATAACATTATTAACTTACTTTTTCTTAGCAAAGTCAAACAAATTATCTTAAAAGCAACCTATTATAACCCAATCTTGTACTTGTTTATATGGAAGTAGAGATGAAGGAGAAATTAAAATCAGTTCACACATTTAAAGCCAAATCTATCAAATTTGCATGTTCCCAGACAATATGAAAACCAAAATGCAGACATCCTTCAAAATTTGCACATCCAAATTTTGTGATATAGTTCTCCAAATAACCAGAATTTACAATAAGACAGTGGAAAGTGTGCATAAAAACGAATATAGTAGTGAAATTAGGAGAAACTGCTTGCAAAAATATGTACATTAGTCAAACTACATACAAAAATATGTTTATTAGGAGAAATTCACACTAAAATCTGAAACAATTTCAGGTGGGCTTTTTAATGGCAAACTGCTGCAAAATGTTGAGAATTGATTTTAAGATTGAAAAAATGAGAAACTGAGAGAACCAATATTAACAAATCCTTCCATCCCTATTTGGACACAAGTTCTGCTGCGTTAAATGGGATTAAATTCCAAGTAAATGTGCACAAGACTAAAGGCATTTCAATTTTCTTCTCTGAAATATTTAGGTTTATTTTTTTCCTTTTTATTGGTTTTACAATATATCCTCACACCACAGTGTACACTGGAAGATGACTTGGCTTCCTGCTACTACACTAGTTGGTAAACTAGTCTGTACATATCATGTACATGTTCAGTTGAAATCAAAACAAAACAAAAACTATAAAAAAAGCATGTGTCCATCACTTAGCCTTGAGGCAACCCATCAAAACCATTTCCTCTTTACAAGTGGATGGACTAGGCACAGCTATGCAGCAAAAGGCTTGCTGAAACTCACAACCTGGGGTTTCCATGTTCTGTTTAGCGTAAGACTCTCCCACCACCACAATAATACACAACACAGGAAAAAGCTTCCCACGTACTATTAGAGTTTCTTTCTCAAGTTTATGTTTTTGTTCTTCTTCTCGTAACTTCTCTTCATATTGACTGTATAGTTTTCTGGTCATCTCTCTCATTACTTCTGCATTTGCTTCCTGTGAACATTCTACCTATTAAAAAAATGAGGACATTTCTCACAGCCAAATGAAACATGTAAGACAGAAAGCGAAAGGAATATATTGGCAGAAGAAAATCAGATGCCATAAAGCAGAAGCTCAAGAAGTTGTCCTAAGACATATTATGCCTGAAGCTGAAAATCCAAACCCCCTCCACCCCCCAGCCTTTCAACTGAGGTTGGTTGGCCATCCATCATGGATGCTTTACTTGAGATCCTGCACTGCAGGAGATTGGACTAGATGACCCTCAGGGTCCCTTCCAAATCTATGATTCTATGATCCAACCTGGGACACAATCCTGAAACCACCAGAGAGTTGCCTGGCACAGGCCTCTTTCAAATTAAAGGGACCTATGCAGGAACACAGCTCCTGGTCACTTCAATGGGACTGGCACCATATATATATTACATTTTATCTTACTTTTCGGCAGAAAAAAGGCTCCCAGACCAGCTTACAAATACCAAGACTATATATACTAGGCTTTCACTCTCCGCTTTCGCAGCCTACACAGCTGTTCCCCATCATAATAGAAAACAGAGTTGCAACTAAAATTCATGAACACTACCAACAAAAACAAGGGGCAGGAGAATGGGCAAGTTTTGAGGTAAACACATCCTGAATTCTGTGTCAATAAATGAGTAATGATATAACATTCCACAGATACTGCCTTTCCAACCAGTCACTGTTTTGAAAAGATTATCACGTTCCTCATGCTGTGAGGCACTGCAATTTCCTTTTCCAGGCGTCATCAGCAGTAGGATCCTCCACCACCCATGCACTGTATTGCCTCAGCTTACCTTGAGTTTGAGCAGCTCGTTTTCAACTCTGGCAGTTTCCAGCTGTTTCTGCTTTTCCTTCAGTTTTTCCATAGACTGTTCATGTGTTTGTTTCAGATTTTTTATTTGGTCTCGTATAACTGTATTCTCCAAAGTAACATCAACTAAAGTTTTCTGTGAAAATATTTTTTAAAATACAAAATTAATTCAGTTGCTTGAAAAACTGGGGAAACTTGAAAAAAAAGCTTCCTGTTTTTTTCTCCCAGCATTCCCTCCCGACCCCCCATTACTCCTTTGAGAGGGATGCAAGGACCAGACATATTGAACAAACTTTAAGATCAGCCTTACCAAGTTTGTGCTGTACAAGAGACCCACAAATACAACAGATTATTTGTAGGACCCAGTTCTATGTAAGATTTCTGAGAGCATGGGTGGAGAACCTTCAGCCTCTCCATTTGGCCAGCAAAACCATTTTGGCCAAGCCATACCCCTCTGACCTAGGTTTGATGTCATATATGACGTCAGGTTTGAAGCAAGTGAAGCCCTGGCTCAGCCTAAAGGTGTTTGCAAGCACCACACACCAGCAGGGCTGGGCAATATCTGGTTTTCAACCTCATAAGATATCGCCAGCTAAACATCATGATGTAGTGATATATCATGATGTCTAGAAAGAAGGAAGAATGAGGAGATAAGGCAGGGAAGGGAAAAGCAAGCAGCCAGCGTTAATTCCTGGATGTGAACTTCAAAGCGGTTTGAACTAACTCAGTAGGCAGCCCTTCGTAGGCAGCCACACAGGTGATCAGTGACACTGTTCACAGGTTCTGCCACTTCATGGCAAGGTTAGGCAGGCAGAGTGTAACTGTCAGGGTGCTGCAAGGTGCCATACATGCCGAGTAGCCACAGGGCACTGCTGGCCTCCTGGGGCACCAGCCTCCCTGAAACCGAGGCCATTGGCGGCACAGCCTCTCCCCAAAGCTGGTCCGGACCTGCCGCCAGCTCTGGCTCATATTGATGGTTGCCTGCTGCCGGACAAGCGGCAGCTACTGGGAGTCACCCTCCAGAGCATTGGCTTGTGCCATGCAAGGAGCCAGAGGCAGCTCCATTCTGCCTTAGTGCTAAGGTGCAGCAATCACAGCAATCACAGCCACCAGCACGTACCAAGCACACAGCTTCAGAAGCAAGGAAGAGAAGCCACTGCTGCTTGCCATGTGCTCTTGCCGCTGCGGGCAGGCAGGTGGGTGAGTGAGTGAGCACACGCAAGAGGTGGGCGCAGGCACAGCTGCCACCCCCAGACCCACTCAAGCATCTTGGGAGGGACCTTCAGCAAAACACTGGTGACGCACAGGAGTGAAACGCATGGTGCTGGCATTCACGATTTTTTGCTGGGTCAGAAATTCCAAAATTGTTACCACAATAAAGACTTCAAACTGGTTTTGTGCGATGTATTGATAAATCCCCTAGCCCTACCCACCAGTTTGGAACACTCCTTACAAAGCACTCCTCAAGACTTGCAGAATCCTTTGATAGGGGCTTTGAATACTGTGCATTTGCCCATATGGTTTGGTTTCAAACCCTCTCAACAAAAAGGGTTCTCTGATGTCATTTTGATATCAGGAGATTGAAAGGTATGTGGTCCCTATCCACTTGTCAAACTATGCCCACAGAAAGTGGGGGAATCCAATAAAATTTCTCCACCCCTGCCCTAGGATTACTAGTGAATAGGGAATGGTGATGAGGAGAGGAGAATCTTCTGGTGCAAATCCATCCAAAAATAAACCAAGAAGCATTATAGATTACTGTGAAATAACAGACTACCAAGCATGAAATGCTGGCTTTAAGACCAAAACACAACACATTACAACACAATACAATACATTACAACACAATACTTTAACACAGTGGGCTCACCACTTACACGAGGGTTAAGCTCCCGGGGTCAACATGCAAAGGCAATATTGTACAAAGTCAGGAACCCCTTAAACTGCCTCCCTGGGAGGCAGAGGACTGCTTACTGGGCTCTGGAAAAGCTTCCAGAGCACTCTGGGACACTCCCAAAGTCCTCAAACAGCCCAGGCTCAGAGGTGCGAGGGAGGTTCCCAAAGCCCTCGCGCCTCCTTACCAAAGCCTGATAAATGAGGTGGAAAGCTGCTCATCAGGCTCTAGGAAGGAGGCACATGGGCTTTGACAGCTTCCCAGGACCCTCCTGCAAGCTTCTCAGATCCCTGTAAGCAAGGAAAAGCCATTGGGTGTGCAAGTGGGTGGAGAAATAAATAAATGGATAGCAGCGAACATCGAGTTTCCCCTGCTCTTCATTTATTTATTTATCCCCCACCCTCACACCCACACATAAGGTTGCAGTAGCATAAGTAAAGCAAACTTAAGTTGTGGGCCCACTGCATTTTATATTAATTTATCTTGCAGAAAATGACGTAAGCACTTAACTCTAAAATGTAAGTTATGTGCTTTAATTCACAATGCTTTTCTACCACTGGATATTTAAACGAACAGAGTCCTAGCTCTAAATGCTTAACTAATTGTTATTTTGGCCTACCGATGCTTTATACAACTGACGCAAGAGCAGTGATGTTTGCCAACATAATCATGTATCTATGGTGACCATACTATCAGCAATTTACCTGCAACTCAATTGAGGCTGAGGTCAACGAGTTATTCATTTCACTGAAGCTATTCAGAGCTGCAGAGTGCACTTCTATGTGATTGTCCAATGATTCTTGTTGTGCACTTGATACCTGGAGAAATATAAGCAAGATTTTCCCCTTAACTTAAGATAGCAGGAACTGCAAGCTTACCAGTTGTTTTGTATTAAGGTTACCTGTTTATACAATGTGTTTTACAGGCATCTATGGAAATACATGTGCTCCATCATTACTTGTCACAGTTCACACTTTTGCAAGGGCAAGTAAAGTTGTGTTCTATGCTTGGCAATGAAATATGTCCTGGCTGCCGTTAAGAGTCCACTAAAGCTGTCCCAATGCACCTTCCTCAAAAGAAGCGCCAAAGGCATGAATCATCTTTGACTTCGTGGTTCCTGCAGAACAGTATCCCATGTTGTATGGCAAAAGACACTTGAAACTTACAAAGCTTCAGAAATGATGTGTAATAATGCATTAGTGGGTGGCTGTCCTAGAGGTCACATTCAAACAATATTTGCACTTAATACTGCTCTCTGTATTGCGGCCCAAATATCTATTTTTATAATATTCCTGTAAAAATGCCCCACAATTTACAGATGTTAAAATATTGATCACAAGGTGCATTAAGCACCTGACCCAGAATATCTTCAGGGCAAAATACAAAATGGCACTATACTGACATTGCAGCCAGATATATACTAGCATAGATGTATAGAGAGAGACTATATAAGGAATCCAGGTGGCCTGTGCTTAATGCTTTGAAGGGAAAAAACGACAAATCCAAGACAAGAGTGAATGTAGAGATCTGCTTCACTGAAACAGAAGGGAGGATATTGCATACAGCAGCAAAATCTGAGAGAGGGATACAGCACACTGACCAGCATGCGTAATTTTGATCACAAAAACACACTACCAGAAAACCCCACAGTAATACAAACAATGCCAAGTAAGATGAAAGATCTAGACTTGCCTACATCCAATGAGAGCCATGTCTAGATGAAATGTGCATGGACTGGAGGCACTCCTCCATAAATATGTGAATTATTCCACAAAAAGCTTACTAACTAGTGGCAGCTAGGCCAACAGGGTGTACTTTGGAGACATATGCAGGACAGAGAACCAGAGAAACACAGACAGATTTTAAAGGGTGGATTAACCGGGGAGGACAAAGAAAATGGAAGCATGAAAGCACCCTATAGCCTGTATTTCCACGCTAAGCTAAAAAGAGTGAAGGAACAGTAGCTACATTAGGCAGAGACACACTGGTTGTGGAAGTAGTCCTTGCTTCTGACTTATTCATGTTTTATAAACGTAACCATCTTTGAGCATCAGACCAATGTTGTATCCAATTTTGATGGGAATAAAATACTCTTATTCATTCCACCCTAAACAGTATCAACGTACTGAGAATTCAGTAATTATTAAGCTTATCACTTTTGCCACCTTTAAAGTACATGAGTACTTACTGCCAGTTCATTTGTAAGCTCTTGGATTTTGCGTTTCATTTCATCATATTCGCCATACATTTTCTTTCTTACTTTTTCCAATGTTAATCTTACCTAAGAAAATAAAATAAAATATATAAATCAAAATATTGAATCTTGCTTCCAATTCTGTGTAGATTATCATTTCCACAGCCCAAACATATTGATCTATTTATAGTGATAGCCAGTGCTTTTTTTCTGGGGGGATGCAGGGGAGATGCATACCCCTAAACATGTTGTGAATATAAGTTTGGTCTCATTGAGGGGCAGTATTTCAATATAAGTAGGAAAATGAGAGTACCCCTAAACATTTTTTTAGAAAAAAGCACTAGTGATAACCAACTAAATCCAATACAGCAGAATCCTATTTTTATTTTTAATGAACAGCATCCTGTACAGAAAATTCAACTCACATCTCTTATATATTTCATTTCTTCTTTCAGCTGTTGAGTTGACCATCCATAAACCACCATTTCTTTGTTATGATTATCATCAGATCTACGCACCACACCATACACCACACCGTGCGATAAGTTCCCTGCAGACAATCCATTGGGAACCTGGTAGAGTTGCTATATAAAAATAAACAGACTTGTGTTACAGTCACTCTGAATTTCAAAATATTTTAACAAATCTGGAGCAGCTAACAATTCCCAAATACTAGATGCTTTCCTTCACCATTGTGAACTCAATTAAGAATAGTTATGTGTATATTTTCAAGTAAATGCTTTTAGAATTCTATTTTTAGGGTTCCGAAAATCCCATGAAAAATAGAGATGGCGACTACAAAGGTCAATTAAGCTTGGTACTGATCATCTATCTAAATAACCAGTAACTTCTTGAAGCCCTTGCGCTAAATGGTTCACATCCACAGAGGCATTTTAAAACCAATTTAAGTATAAAGCCTAAAGTGTCAAATAATTACATAAAGTCACGTTGTAATACATGTGTATGACCAGACTGCCTCAGAATTCTGACTCATCAATAAAAATACATTGTTTTGTTTTGAAAGGAGGGGGAGCAAGCATATGCAATTTGAAATGGGTGTGTCGCCACACTGAAAAACAGTTTTTCATTTCCTGGGTTAAATATTTCCTTTGTTGCTTTGGTATCAGCCACTCCCCAACCCTCATTATTCACATTGAAACATCCAAGAATTATTTCTGTGAAATACCAAAGAGCAAAGTAGTTTGAACTGGGAACAACTGTTTTAGAAGTATGTACTCTTCCAAGGACTTGAAGACTGCACACAGAACAAGAAGTTCTGGCAGAATTCTAAGTATCGCATTCTCCCCACGTGCACAAAATGGGGGGGGGGGGATGCTCTATATTAGTACAGTGGTACGTTGGTTTAAAGGGACACGGGTGGCGCTGTGGGTTAAACCACAGAGCCTAGGACTTGCCAATCAGAAGGTCGGCGGTTCGAATCCCCATGATGGGGTGAGCTCTCGTTGCTCAGTCCCTGCTCCTGCCAACCTAGCAGTTCGAAAGCACGTCAAAGTGCAAGTAGATAAATAGGTACCGCTCCGGCGGGAAGGTAAACGGCGTTTCCGTGCGCTGCTCTGGTTCGCCAGAAGCAGTTTAGTCATGCTGGCCACATGACCCGGAAGCTGTACGCCGGCTCCCTCGGCCAAAAAAGCGAGATGAGTGCCGCAACCCCAGAGTCAGCCACAACTGGACCTAATGGTCAGAGGTCCCTTTACCTTGGTTTATGAACTTAATCCGTTCTTAAACCAAAGCATTCTTAAACCAAGGTGTGCTTTCCCATAGCAGCGGGGGACTCAATTTACAAATGGAACACACTCAACAGGAAGCAAAACATGTTCTTATTCCAAGGCAAAGTTCACAAACCAAAACACCTACTTCCGGGTTTGCAGCGTTCTTAATCCAAGTTGTTCATAAACTAAGCTGTTCCTAAACCAAGGTATCACTTTACTGTCATGAAGAGTTTTCACCTTCTACAGTCGTACCTCGGAAGTCGAACAGAATCCCTTCTGGAAGTCCGTTCAACTTCCAAAAGGTTTGGAAACCAAAGCACGGCTTCTGATTGGCTAAAGTAAGCTCCTTCCACTCTGCAGTTTTAATCTGAAATCTTAGGCGCAGTACTGCACTCAGAGCTCAGAAACTGCTCACGCTAATGAAATTCCCTGTTGCAAAATGCAACTAGAACAATGGGAGTTTTGAACAATGACAGGGAGTAACAAACGGGGGGAAATCTGTCAGGAAATAACTTCCAAGGATGTGTGTGCTAAATCAAACACAGACATATTTCTTGCACAGCGCACCTTAGAAATCATACTTTTCCATGTCGAAACCCTAGGTTTTGCAAAAGTTCAGTAGACTGTCATTTATCCTCCTTAAAGCTGCAATCCTTATAGGCAATAACCTTGGAGTAAGTCATTGAACTCAAAGGTAGTACCCCTTTGAGGGGTACCCATTGCTTGCACAATGACATTTGGTTATGCAAAGGAAACTTCAGTTTCCCCTCCTCTCCCCATAGCCCCTATATCTGTTCTGGGGGTTATTCCAACCCTCCGGAGGGGATCTGGAGAGGTGGGGGAAACATGAAGAGGAGAGGAAGGGGAAGTGCCATTGTGCAAGAAAATCAATGTGCTACCAGATCTATCTACTTGGATTCTGCCCAATAGGACTTACTATTGAGTAGACATGTATAAGATTGTACTACAGGTCCCTTCTCTTTCCAAAGAAGTTGGTGAAAACTGAAGATATTCAGCCCAGCACAATGGCTACCTCACTACAATCCTGACTTTAGATCATTTCTAAGTTGAATAGCACTGGCCTTAGCACAAAGATCCCATGGGAACTCTGCTGTTTACTTCCCTCCATTGTGAAATGTGCCTGTTTATTCCTATCCTGCACTTCCTGTTCTTGCAACATCTGCCATTTCTTCTCTTCTCTCCCCTCCCCACATTTTGTTTACCATCTAGGCTGATTAAGAGTTCTGGAAAACTTGAAACTTGCAAACTTTTCTGTAACGTTTTGATTGATTTAATAAAGGTATTGCCCAAATGTGGATTTGCGAGTTTTTCCAATGGGCCAACACTGATCCTTTCCCCTTTTGTATGTTTTAAACTAGTTACTGATCCCTCAGAGGACTTTTACTGCTGCCCTGACTGCTAAATGTTTGACAGTCTCCTGGTTCACACATAATGCTAACCCATGGTTTGTTAAGCCAAAATGTGGTTAGTTTTAACATTAACAAAATGTGGTTTGTTTCCGAACCCAACAGCATTCCTTAACCATGGCTTGTTTGTCCACCTCATCTCAGACACTCACCAAGTTACAAAAGCATGAGACATCAGTAGCTGGAAAACCAGGCAGATGGCCTTCTTGGTAGTGGCGCCCTCCCTGTGGAACTGTCAAGCTCCCTTCAGATGTCAAGGAGATAAAGAATTAAACAACTTTTAGAAGACATCTGAAGGTAGCCCTGTTTCAGGAGGTTTTTAACACTTGATGTTTTATGTTTTTAGATATGCTCTAAGCCGCCCAGAATGGCTGGGGAAACCTAGCCAGATGAATGGGGTATTGTTGTTGTTGTTCTTGTTGTTGAAACAAACCAGTTTGCCTATGAGATGACTTATAGGTTATTGAATAAACCATGGCTAAAAGAAACCATGGTTTATATGCAAATACAGCCAGTAGTCCATAAGGGCCATTGTGAAAGCTTTCCAACCATGCCTGTTAGCTTACATCTACATTTTAAAAATCATGCTGGCCCGGAGCCAAAGAAGCAAGAAAGGAAAATCCACATCCAAAGTTAACATTTTTCTTTATCACTCTTATAGACACAATGCCACATCACAAACAGAGTTTTCAGATACCTACAAATATAAAGGCAGCTGAGCTGCAGCTTGGAAAAATACGCAAAAGCCTTGTTCTATGCTTACAATCACTGACATACAAAAAGCTTATCAATGGAAGAGGGTTAGCTTTCAAGCCACAAGCTTTGAAAAATACTGTTCAAAATGAGGCATATAAGCTTTAGAACATTTGTGAACATGTACTTGGCAATAACTGAAACAGGTTTTAGAGGAAGCTTCCCAGCCTTGCCTTATTAAAAAACTAAATCCTTCCAGAGCAGATATTAAGCAGAGCAAAGGTATATCTTTTTATGCGCTGGTAACTGCCAATGCACTTTCCTTAGCAATGTCACACTAAGCATACATAAAAAAATGCCATCTTTCTCTGCCCTTTTTGTTACCTCTCTATTGCTTTTCTCCCAGAAACAGAAATTAGTGTCCTGTCCCGTCCCCAACGCATGAAATGGAACAAAACCTTCCCCCTTTCCTTCCTTAGCACTCTGCTACTCAAAGCAATCTTATTCATTTTATATTTAAACCACCCTTTATTAAAAATCACAGATGTTCTTCCAGCTTAGCAGCATCCCCAGAAATGGGTTATTAATTAACAAGATTTTCAATTCATTTTTTAAAGAACCATGCTCTACAAAGTGCCTCACAACATATATAAAATATAAAGACACATCCAAATATTGGGGAGAAGACCAGTGAGAATATTCCTAGATGCAACTGAGCACAAAAAGGTAAGACAAGGGCGGGGGCAAGTTTCACCCAGGTCAAAGATCTAGCTTGGCGCGCGTGCACAAACACACACACACCACACACACTTGCATACACATAGATACAGGCTCGGAGCCTCAATGACGCCGCTATCGAGGCTTCACCTGGGGCAAAAAATATGGCTAGCCCCCCCCTCCACCAGCTATGGCTCTACCTCCCACACATTCAATTTCATGTTAAAAGCAAACGACACATAAACCCTTCATATGTTCACAGGACAGACTAGTGGATAACAATGTTGCTGCCTCATCACATTTAGCTTGGCCGGTGTGGCTTTTTAGTAACTTCTTGCCCATGGCAAATAAGAATTGGTGACAAGCATAGAGAAAGAAAGCTGGTTCTTTTTTGTTCTGGCTGTTGTTGTAACACATTTACATGGACAGACAAGCTAGTCATTGTTTTATCTGAGCTAGCAGTTTCTGTGAACTTATTTGCAAGGCTGTCTTCCATCACAGACAACTCTGGCATCTCACAAAACACATTTAGTCATAAAGACAATGAGGCATGTAATGGTTAAATAAAATGTGCTGATCAGCTTACAACAGTTGTTTGGCAGGGTCATCCAGTTGGTGCCACTGAACCACCAGCCTGACACTGTGCCTCAAAAGAATGAAGCCCAGCCCCATTTCAAAACCTACCTTGGCATTTATAGAGCACAGCTATTTCCATATGGCCTCGTGAAATTGTGGGTGTGATGATAATAGAGCTATTACTAAGCTTTTGACGTTGCTTCACCTCTTTGTGAGCCTCACTTTGCAATGAAGGCCATGGGGGCAGGGAGAGAAGAGTATCACCTGTGCCTTGCACATTCAGCACCATACCCATTTCTGCATATAAAAGTTCTTATACGCAAGTTCCCACACTGGATCTATGAGTGTAGGATTAACTCTTTCCTTCAAGCACCCCAGTTTCAATTACACCCCTCCAGCTACTATTTTTTTCATTGCAGGGAAATGCATACAGGTGCATATGGACACCTGCATGTTTCTTCCCATGGGGCAAAGGACAGATGGAGAGGATTTAAACCAAGAAAGCACCACAAGGAATAAAAGTAGGGGTAGGAACCAAAAACCTCCCCCAGATCCAATCGGGGCTCCCACAGGAAATCCTAATTACCAAGATCCTAATTACATATTTTCTGAGTTGCAATTAGTTGTGCCCAAAAAGTCAGAAGATGCTGACTGAAAATTTATGCTACAGTACTAACACTGGTCAGGGCCCTAACTGAAAACTCTGAGGATTTACAGCTGTCAACTGGCCAACAGCATCACCAACAGAAGGTGTAGCACAGCACTTGTCTGACAACACAGCACTGCAGCCACATCTGAAGAGGAATCGTGGAATTCACAGCTTTTAATTAATGTTTAGAGACAGCACAGATACGGGAGGGAATTTAAAAATTGCTGACTGAGCTGGGGGCACAGATTGGCTTTTCTGAGCAGTTAAGTAGATGGCTTTTATCAGAATATTGTTTATAATGATGATTTTATATTTTGCTGTAGAATGTTTTGGGATTGTTGTATTTATGTATTACTATTTATCAGTGTAAATGATAATACTTCATGCTCATGTAACATATTAACATTCTGTAATATTTACAACAGTCCTATAGTATAGAATTATTATCCCCACATTACTAATCAGGGACTGGTGCGGAGAGAACAATAGCTCCCTAAGGTCACTAGTAGATTCATGATTTAACCACATTTGAACTGGCGGTGACTCAAATCCCTCTATTAAGACAGCCATAACAGTTCTGAATCCTAGGTCTTAAAATCAACTACCCTCGCTCCCTTGCTCTTTCATATGCCTAGAATTGCTCCCATTACACAGGTGTAAGTAAGAGAGATAACTCTTACTTACTTCACATTCCTCCTTAAAACCGACTGTTTCCGTTGGCATAACCACCTAGTTCCCATGTCCTGCTGCAGCTCTGCTTGCTTTTCCTTCAGAATAAAGTTGGCCAGCTTATGCATGCTTTTTAAAAAGAGTGAACAATGGACCGTATTTTTCGCCCTATAGGACGCACTTTTTCCCCTCCAAAAATGAAGGGGAAATGTGTGGGCGTCCTATGGGGTGAATGCAGGCTTTCGTTGAAGCCTGGAGAGCGAGGGGGGTCGGTGCGCACCAACCCCTCTCATTCTCCAGGCTTCAGGAAGCTATCCGCTAGCCGTGGGAGACGCAGCTCTCCCACGGCTAGCGGAGACCTTGCCGGCACCCAGAAGCTTGGGACGCGCTGTGCTCAGCATGCCCCAAGCTTCGGGCTTCGCGCAGCGCTCCGCTCGCCGTGGGAGAGCCGCGCGAAGTCATGCGGCTCTCCCACAGCTAGCGGATAGCAGCCTGTTCTGGGGGCTGGGGTCGGGGGAAGCTCGGGCTTCCCCCGCCCCAGCCCCGCACCTGGGGGGGAAATAAACTTTTTTTTCTTTATTTCCCCCCAAAAAAACTAGGTGCGTCCTATGGGGCGAAAAATACAGTAATATGGATATGCACTTTGGTCTTAGTTTTTCCCCAAAAAGGAAAAGGGGGGGGGGGGAGATGCCTTCCAATAAAACAGTTGGTAATTTTGTAAACCACCAAAATTTACTCCATTTGCAAAATCTGTGATGTGTAGTGCAGATTTCTAGAACTTTTTTTCAGTGCATACCAACAGACTCATCTGATTTTTTTTTTAAGATGGATTAATATTTACAGGGGTGAAGCAAACATCAGCAAAATTTCGTTAACTTACCTTTTTTGTCCTTTCAGTCTTATTTTTAATTTCCTGAGAAAGCGAGTTTTCTTCAGGGGGCAGGGTCAAGCGTAGCCGACACACGTTTGCCTAGAAGAAAGACAAAGCTCTTCTTTCAGTATATTAAAAACATTACTGTCTTTGTGAAAAGAATGAAAAGTAACTTTCTAAGGGATAGCTTGTTTACTTCAGGGAACAAGAAAAACAGACGTTTTTATAACAGAAATTATTAAATACTGTTGAAAGACAAGGGTCAAAAGCAGGGCTATCTACAAGCAACAGTTTTCTCCATAAGTCAAACTCATTCCATGGCAAATGGAATTATTACTATAACAATATTCTCATGGACAACAGGTATTTGCAAATTTATTTTTAAAATTGAATAAATTTTATTAGATTTTATAAAGAGTGATACAAAGATAATTATCAAATACCCTTTTATTCAAACTAAAAAGTTAATCTAAGTAAAATAAAAACACAGACCCAGAGGAAAAGAAGAGGAAAAGATGAAAAGAAAAGGAAAAAAGAAGAGAGAAAGAGAGATAGAAGGATTAAAACAGAGAAAGAGAAAAATACTTTCTATAAACTGCAGCCTTTAAACCCAAATGTCATTATTTCTTTTTCACGCAAAAAGTCTATGAGAGGCTTCCAGTCTTTAGTAAATGTTAACAATGACTTTTTTCTTATTAAACATGTCAATTTTGCTATCTCAGCTAAGTCTGATAATTTTAATAACCATTCCTCCATTGTTGGTAATGATGAGTCTTTCATCTTTTATAAATAGAGACTGCACTAGGTGGGGGGAAAGTTAATAACAGTATACCAGAGAAAATACATTAAAAATCACACAGCAGTGCTGGAAGGAAGAGCCTTACTCCTCTGAAAAACTTTGTTTCTCACTGCTTTCATTTTGGTGAGCAAACATTTTGAAATGGTTTTCAGTATATTTTTTCAAGACACAATAAAATAAACTGAGAACACGTATTGTGATACTGTAACACATGGGTAGGCAAACTAAGGCCCGGGGCCCAGATCCGGCCCAATCGCCTTCTAAATCCAGCCCGCGGATGGTCCGGGAATCAGCGTGTTTTTACATGAGTAGAATGTGTCCTTTTATTTAAAATGTATCTCTGGGTTATTTGTGGGGCATAGGAATTCGTTCATATATATTTTTCAAAATATAGTCTGTCCCCCCCCCCCCCCCGCAAGGTCTGAGGGAGAGTGGACCGGCCCCCTGCTGAAAAAGTTTGCTGACCCCTGCTGTAATATTTACAGATGGCATAAAATAACACGTTAAGATAGGGGTGAAGGAACTTTTTCATACTGACAGCTAAATCTAGACAGTCTCCCAGGGGCAACATGCCAGTGGTGGGTGAGACCAGAAGCAAAAGCGGGAAGAGCAATGAATGGAAATTTTACCACTGTACTGTAAGGTAGTTTCCACATACATTCACAAAGCTCACTCTGTCCTCCATCCAAATAAGCAAGAGACATTTTGAGAGTTCAAGGACATATTCCAGGCAAAGACATTATAGGGCAGCGCAAAGTAGGGCCATTGAGTGGTGTGGACTGGAGAGAGGGGCTGTGAATAAAGAGATAATGTAGAGGAGAAAGAATTGCAAGAGCCGGATTGGAAGGCCTGAAGGGCCACATTTGGCCCCTAGGTCTGAGTTTTCTTGCCCCAGTATTAAGGCTTCTTGGGATCAAATTTTGCTTGACATTATGTTACTGCATGAGACGTGTTAACATTCCACTATTTTTATTAAAATTGAACCTATGAGTGTTGCTTTGCTACATGAATAGAGATAGCAAGTGTTCCAAAACATAATAATGGCTTTGTAATAGCAAGTGTTATCAGCTGATCTCAGTTTTCTGTCCCCTACAGCATACAAAGAATGTGCATCCTGGAATGATAGCAGCCTACACTATCAAATTAGTGGAAAAGCTATTTAGAGGAGGATGACTGTTTTAACAGCCCTTTCATTAGATCTACCAGTGTTTTAACACAGCATTAAAGAGTCAAGATCTTAATCTGGTTTATGAAACATTTCAGAAATAATTTACATAGTTTTAGTTAATGTTTCGAAGTGATAATTGCCAGTATCCAAGATAGCAGCAACATCATCCTTGTTACCTCATTCCTTTCGGGCCTTTTCATTCATTAAGCAGCAGCAAACCTGGGTTTATTTCTGGAAGCACACTTCACAAAGAGCTACAACCAAGCCTAGATTCCTGAGTGTGCAAACACATGATACACTTTTATGCCAACACAAGTTTTATCCCTCTAGTTCCTGCTTGTTTCCACTTCAAACTTCTTAGGTACACACTTAAAAAAAACCATAATATGTATGAATAACAACATTCTTGGTGAAGGACCCAAGCTCTTAGTAGCTAAATCTAATGCCTCTATGCTGACCATTCTCTGTTAATATCAATCTTACAACCAACTTCTCTTCAGACTCAGGAAAATACTGTACGTATTTTGGACCACACTAAAAATAATAAACTGATGCTTCAACAAAACAAATGTGTTGTACCCAGCACACATCATAAGCACACATTCTCAAGTATACAGGTACAAATTAAATCCAATGAGGTTTAAAAATGTGCTGTGAACCCAACACTTCTGCATTTCTAGTCACATTAAGTCAGGGGCGGAGTGGGGGTGGGGAATAGGATTGCAGCTGTGGCCAGGTTACCTTGATATGAATCCAGAAGTATGGATGCATAATGGAGGAATGAGTAACTCTGGAGAAAATTTACAATAGTCAAAGTACTTTTAACTAACAATTTATTTTACATTTGCTTTACTGAACAGGTGTGTTTTGGGTAACTTCTCTCAGAAGGCTAAAGGCAGCCCTCCAAATTCTTTAACCAAGACAGTAAAAGAGACATGCAGTTTAAGACATGTGTGGTGGAATTTATCACTGCAAGATGGGTCACTGGTTTAGGCTATGTTTACATTTGACCTTAAAATGCAGCAAAGTTGTTCCCCCTTGCTGCATTTCAAGTTGCATTTTTACTTGCAGAACACACCATTACCTGTTTTGTTACTTACACACACACACACCCCAAACTCCTATTCAGTAAAGCCATAATCTGTGCATGTGCTGTCATCTGCGCATGTGCAATGGATGTCTGAAATGTACACACCTCATCCTAACTGGAGTTTACATTTTCAAATCAGATGGAAGTTGGTTTGAGGGAAAATGTATCAAACAGCAATATTTCTCAACAAATTATACGAAGCCTATGCATTGTGACTAATGTCATACGTACTCAGATTCAAACATTAGCATTGGGAGCACACTGGAGCCAGAGAAAGCAGTCATGTGTTCACAGCCTTAGACAACTTGAAAATGGGCTTAGAAAATTACATAAAGGAAATTTCAATCAATGGCTACTAGTGACACTGGGTTCATGCCTTTCAGGGTGGAACTAAAAATGTAACTACAGTACTCAGATCCTTTTCATTATTACTTTTTAAATCAATTTTTCCACCAAAGGGCCTAAGATGGAGAGCACATGTTATCTTCACACCAATCCTCTGAGATAGGTAAAAGTGAGAAAGCACACAACTGGCCCAAGGGCACCCAGTGAGCTTCATCAATAAACAGGGATTCCAGCATAGGTCTCCCCTACCAAAGTCCAGCACATAATCCTCTACAGTACAGATTAATAAAATATTTGCATGGCACCAGGTTGGCCCAACCACATCAGCTGCTCAAAGCAACACTTTGGAGGTGCACAAACAAAACAGCACAGAATCAGACTCTCAAATCCAAACATCTTCAGTGATGCTGCAAGAGATCCTGGAGTGCAGCCACTTAGCAGGTTTCTCAAGCCAACTCACATGCATTCATGTATACTTCCTTAGATATATGCTGACCTTTGAGGTTAATCCTCTTCAATGATACACCCATGCCAACCATAGTAAATTACTTTCTCTACAAACACATATTTTACACCTTCTACATTTTAGGGGAGGTTGCCAACAAGCCAGAATTTTACAGGAATGGCTATTATTTTGTTTCTTTGCCAGAATAAATGTAGAGAGAGAATGCGAAATTCTGAGTTTGATGTTTTCATTGTTATTTCTTTAAAATGACACCTTTCGGAAGAAGGCAGAGCAATCTGCACATGCTCAGAAACAGACATGATGGATGAGACCATGGTGAATCCAGCAGTCTTGTCCAGCATCCTGCTTCCTACAACAGCCAACCCGATGCCTCAAGGAAACCCACCAGCACAGCATGAAGACAACAATGCTCCCCCACTGTTGCTCCCTTGTATTTGGTAATCTGTAGTAGACTGCTTCAAGTTTGGAGGCTCCAAAAGGTCATCCATCTATTATTAATTTACAAAGCCCTAAACAACTTAGGTCCAGGTTACCTCAGGGATCACCTGAACCCTTATATCCCAGCTCGATCATTGAGATCACCTGCAGGAGCATCGTTGTCAAGGCTCAGTTGGCAAGAAGAGAAATCAAGCCTTTGGTATCACGGGCCCAATCCTGTGGTACACTCTACAAGAGAGATTCAGCAGACACCTTCTGTGCCAACTTCTAAACACCTACTGAAAACTTTTCTGTTCCCCCAGGCCTACACAAACAGTTAAGAATGCCTCTCTCCACAATGGCTAATTGATCTCTGTTTTTAACGTTTTAATGTGGTTTTTATTGTATGGTTTTGTTTTACTGCTGTAAACCACTTTGGGCTTTGTTTTGGTTTTTCACATAGTGGTATATACGGTAAATATTTCTATAAATAAATAAATAAATAAAATAGGCATTTCCTCCTAGGCCTCTGTGAGTTTGTCAAATTGCCCTTCAAAGCCACCTGAGCCACAGACCATCAGCACGCCCTGTGACAGTGTCCTGCTTTGCATGTCATATAAAATACAGTTTAAAACAAGCTATAGACCGTTTAATGTGAAACAGCAGAGTTCTGGGGCCAGCTCCTCAGAAGTCCTAAGACGCTCCTCCCACTGCTCAACCCTGGAAACAAAAAGAAGCCAGAGTCTGGTTTGTGCCATCTGAGACAAGGTGCGTCTTGAAAGAGAGGGGGAAGCTTGTCTGTATCCACTTTCTCCACAAAAGGCATAACATATTATACACCAATATCCATATTTCCATCTTAAAGCTGTTGTGAGGGACCAAAACATCCTACTACTTCTTTTCTTTTTTTTGAAAGTAAGTATGACGCAGGATAATTCAATCCGTAGAGCAAGAGACGCTTAATCTCAGACTTGTGGGTTCTAGCCCCACATTGGACAAAATATTGCTGTGTTTCAGGGGGTTGGACTAGATGACCCTTGTGGTCCCTGGCGCTGTTGTCTAAACCACTGAACCTCTTGGGCCGGCCGATCGGAAAGTCAACAGTTCGAATCTGTACGATGGTGGTGAGCTCCCCACTGCTCTGCCCCAGCTTCTGCCAACCTAGCAGTTCAAAAGCACACAAGTGCAAGTAGAAAAATAGGTACCACTGTGGTGGAAAGGTAAACAGTATTTCCTGGCACTCGTCACAGTGTCCCGTTGCACCAAAAGCGGCTTAGTCCTGCTGGCCACATTACCCGGAAAGCTGTCTGCGGACAAACACCGGCTCCCTCAGCCCAAAAGTGAGATGAGTGCTGCACCCCATAGTCGCCTTTGACTGGACTTAACCATCCTGGGGTCATTTACCTTTTACCGTACCATACCATTCTATGATTCTATGGTAAAGCAAGATTATCCCTTTTATGGAGCAAGGGCATCTTGGCACAGGTAAGGGGTACAGAACAAAACCACCTTGGCCTGCCCTTCCTCAACCTGTAGCCCTCCAGATGTTGCTGGACCCCACCACCCCATGAGCCATACTGGGTAGGGCTGATGGGCGTTGGAGTGCAGCAACCCCTCGAGGGCAGGGGTCCTGCCTTCAAGGCATCCAAGCCCAAAACAGCGCTAAGGAAGGCATGCGGGGATCAGCGGCTGAGGCGGCTCCCATTTCCCCCGAGGTTTCGCCTCGACGCCCTTCCCGCCTTTTTTCGCCCCTGAGGGAACTCGCTTCGCGCATGCGCCTCCTGTTCCTGAGGTAAGTTGCGCCCCTGCCTCCGACACCTCGCAGAGACCCGCTCGGGGCCGCCGCTTTGGGGTCTCCCTCTCTGCGCCTGAGGGGAGCTTCCTTCATCGCCGTGCGCTGTTTCGTTGCCCCGTCCCCGCTCACCTTTCTCTGAGCAGGGCCGCCCTGTCCGTCGGGCTTCTTCGGCGTGGTGGTGGTGAGGGTCAAGCCCGAGCTGTAGCGCAACATCTCGGCCGCCTTGGAGTTGTGCCTCGCTCCGCTCCGCTCCTCTCTCCGCCGCACACGCCCCGCGCCGCCTCCCTACCGCAATGGCCACGGGCCACTGACAGCCTCCTCCTGACCCGGCGGGCGTGGCGGGCAGCCGCCCGGCCCGGCCAGCCTCTTCCCCGCCTCCAGCCCGCCCGCCTGCTCGGACGGACGGACGGACGGAGCGGAGTGAGGAGGCGCGCTCGCTCGGGCGGCCGAAGGGCCCCCGGGGGAAGGAGAGGCGAGTCGACCGCGCCTCAGAGCGGCTCCCAAGGGAAATCCTTCCTGCCAGGCGCCTCAGGCCTCCTGCTGACAAGGGGACAGAAGGGGGGGGGGGTGATCAGGCGGCTACTGGGTTCGACAAATCGGTTTTTCAACTTTTAATTCGACTTAAAACGGAGCCTTGCCCTCCACGACAAACGTAGCGCTCTGGAAAAAACCTAGGAGTGGGATTCCTCAGTGAGATTCCAGAAAAACAGGAGTTTTGAGACGCGACGCAGCTGGGAAATTTTAATCGACTCAAAAAGTTGCTTGTCCAGTAATCAAGCAGCAGATTTGTGGTGGTGTTGTTGGTGGTGTTTTTATACAAGCTAATAGGTTAAAAGGTTTGTAAAAACATAACATTCACAAACAGCAATTAAAATAACTTCTCCCAAATATTCATGAAATAAATATTATTTTTAATCATTCCTGTTGGTAGCCAACAGGAATACATGGTCAGCATAATTCCACCCTTATTCTCTGCACATTTTTGCCCTTGCCTGGCCAGGCTGAATGCGTTAAGGGAGCTCTCACAAATGTTGCTCCTCTACTAGATTTTAAGAAGCATTTAAATTTGGTTTCAGAGCCTCAAATAAGGGGGGTATAAAAGGATCTATAAGTACTTTAATAAAGCTGCAGTCCAGGAGCGGTGGGGCAAGATAGCTACCTCGGCATCCAAAGCCCTATGACAGGGATCACTAACCTATTTCAGCCATGGGCCAGTCCACCATCCCTCAGACCATGTGGGGGGCCGGACTATATTTTTTAAAAAAAACAAAAAAATGAATTCCTATGCCCCACGAATAATCCAGAGATGCATTTTAAATAAAAGGACACATTCTGCTCATGTAAAAACATGCTGATTCCCAGACCATCCGCAAGCCTGACTGAGAAGGTGATTGGGCCGCATCCGGCCCCTGGGCCTTAGGTTGCCTACCCATGCCCTATAGCTCCTGACCAGAGCAGAAACGGGGGGCAATAAAACTGATTTTGGGCAAATCTTGGCTCACTAACCTTTTTAGAGTTATTTGAGAGTGTCAGGTGATCTCATTGACATTACCTGGACTTACAAAATGGTTTTGACAAAGTACCTCACCAAAGACTTTTGAGTAAAATTAGCAGTCATGGAATAAGAAGTCCTCTTGTGGATCAGGAATTGGTTAAAGAAGTAGGAACCCGAGATAGGAAATCATTTTCCAGGGGATGAGGGTGGGGAGGAATGGGTGTGCACCAGAAAAGGTAACAGATACATGGGTACCTTTGGATGCCATGTTGAGGACCCCAGCCCCAACTGAAAGGGGTTCTTGGTTTCAGAAAGATGGAAAAGACTGAAGATCATAAATCCAATCAGATTAGTCAAAATGAGACAAGCAACAAGATCCTTCCATTGGTGTACAAACAGTCTTTTGATTTCCAGTCTAATATTTTCTGCAGCCAAATTGCTCTGAATGAAGCTCTATGATAAATGCAAGAAAAGCATTGTGTTTCTAGGGGTCTTATCATTCTACTCCAATCTTTGCTAATAAAGTAAATAGACAAGCAACCCTAATTCCTTTTGTTTGGTGCTCATTGTGACTTTGTTGTCTAATTATAGATTTCGTTCTAGTGTTACCAGATCAATTTTTTCTCTTTTTGATGTTCCACACACTGCTTTTTTATAGGGGTTAGAAATGTCTTCTTCCTCAACTCTGTTCTGGCACAAATCCAACATTTACTCAAAAAACTTCACAATACGCAGAGGCAGATTGCTTAAACATATGCACGTGTCATTTAACAATGTGCAGTACAGGAATAGCAGCATTGCTGCATGAGGGTTAAGATTCACGCTTACAATATACATTGAGTAATTAAGCCAGATGAAAGAACAGAACATGGCACACCCTGTATCACAGTTAACAGTGTGTGTAACAAATGAAACGGATGTCAATCATTTAGGGCTATGATTTCCTATTCTATCAAATCCAAAATGTGATGACCAATTACTGTTGAGGAATGAGAGGAAATTGCAGAAGAATAAGAGATCTGAAGTCTGATGGTTCTGTAGGGCACATCAGAGTATATCTTGGATGAGACACAGTCAATATCAAACCACTTTAGTGCTTAGTTGCAGATTATATAATCAGTTGAAGGGGTTAGATTGTGGATTAAAATATTTATTATTAATAATACTTTTAATTGGACAAAAATTAATTATGGACAAAAATATTATTAATAATACTGTCTCAATCTGAAACTTTCAAATTTGCTTCAAATGGGCACATTCAGAACTTATACATGCTCATTTCAATAACACTAAAGGTGCTTCCTGGTTGGAGTGTGTGACACTGATCCAGTTTTTCTTTGTGTACACATGACAAATTAGCTGTCATACATTTCTGTTTACTTCAGTCATGGATATTCATTTTTGCTCTGCAGCTTCTGTCCACAGTAGTGGATGGGACTTGATGAAATGAATTTGTAGGTTTCTTTGTATTTCAACCCCACAAACACTTCTTCCACACCCTCCACTTTTTTCTTTTCTGGGTATATATACCTGTGTACATGAACAGTGCCAGATCTGTACTAATGTTTGCTATAGGGGGTAAAACTCTGCCCTGCTCCTCACTCTACCTGGTTGTGAACTCCAAGCAACAAAGAATTTTATATAAATCCTCCTCCCATGAATTTGACTCCCATTAATCCTTTTAAAATCTATTTGAGCTAGAGGGCATCACCATCACATCCGTTGGCAGTGAATTCTGTTAGCTAATTGCACAGCATGTGGATAAATTATTTAATATGTATACTGCCCTTAGGAGTATATGGGGCCTTAGGGGAGGGGTAGTACTCCTGGTGGGCACATGTTGTGCTCCTTCTAGGGTAGTTCGCCCATCTTTGGTCCTCAACCTGCACTCGGCTCTCACCTGTGGCTTCTATAAGCTGTCAGCATGTGACAGCGGCCGCACCCTGGGAAATGGCTTTGACTGGCCAGCTAAACCAGGTGAGAGTAGCCAATGGATCTCAAACCCTTGGTGCGTTAGGGACTTCCCATGCATGCTAAGACAGGCTCCAGCGGATTGAGTGGACGAGACCAAGGTGGGTCTAACAGTCAAAAAAGCAGTTTCTGCATGTGCTGTAGAGGAAAGTGAGGGGCAGATTGGGCTCGTCAACGTGGGAGGGTAGCCCATCTAGGAGAATGAAAAAACTGATCCAAAACCTCTGCTGCCTTATGAGATATCTTCAGGATAGGAAAAGGCTAAGGAGTAAATTCAATACAAATCAGAGTGGAGTCCCTAAGATGGTTGGATGGTACGTTGTATGTCTCCTTCCAGCAACACCTGCAGTCAAGCTGGTGCCAAGCTCTGTTTTCCATTGGATCACATCAGCAAGGCTGAGAGTGGGGGTCTTGTCATCTGGCAGCCCAGGACCTCCATACATACTTCCCAGGCTTGTGCAGCAGGGAGGTCACTGGTGCTGCTAACAGTGCTTTGACCTCATCCCTGGAGGTGCACTCTTGAGACGGACAGATGCCAACCAATACCGCCCTTCATCCAAAGATCACAGGGTGGTTCACTTCTGTTTAGGACCTATTGCCTATTAACTTAATTGGGTGACCTTGAATTTTAATAGTGTAAGAGTGCAAGAGAAATGTATACACTTCCTTGTCCTATTAAAAATTTATTTCTAACGACTGAATATCAGCATGGAGAATATGCTTAGAAGGAAGAACTAGAGACCTGGTGACCAAGTGACTTACAATTATTCCAATAGGAGGGATCATTTTGTGATAAGTTCTGTAGTATGTAGCAGCACCCATCATTTAATGAGAGGTCCTACTCTGGAGAAGACATGGAAACACACCCAGATTTCTTAGTTAGGTGACCTCCTGAGTAGCTCTTCCTAGTATTTTCAAGTATCATCCATTCTGTTCTACAGTTCAGTAACAACCAATATTCTAAGATTTTCCGATTTAAATATGTCGGAGAGATGCTAAGATCCAGATAATTTTCAGACTAAAGCTTTCAGAGTTTGAGACGGACCTTCCAAAGCAGACACAGGCAGCTCTGTCTTCCCATGGTTAAATTGAAATGTGTTAACTGAAATCAAGAGGTCCAGCATCAGCCTACTATTCACACAACACGGATCCATCGTTCTAGCCACTAGTGTTGGCTTAATTTATTTTTTTTAAAAAACGATGAGTCCAGGTTCAGTCATAACAATGTTAAACCATGACTTAACGCTCAACGGAGCAGCAAGGTACACAATCTTATTTCCCGGAGACCACACATTTGTCATGGTATGGCTTAGTGTGATGTGTTAAAGGCCATGTATCATTTTTAGGAACTGGCCACAAGTCAGGCTATGAAACTTATTCCAAGTGAGGTTGCACACCATGCTTTGACTTAACCATGGTTATGTTACCACATAAGTTGTATGTCCTATGAGGGTGGAAGCCTTCAACAACTGTAGCTTATCCTGATTTCAAGTATCCTTATTTCTTTTAACAATATTTTTTATTAGTTTTTAATTACAATAATCCAATGATAGCCTCATTATAACAATGCCAAATTATGATACAATTACTAATCCCACTCATTCAAATGCCAAATTACCGGTATATAATTTAGGTGGCCTGCGTGCTAGCATTGATGGTTTGATTATTTACTTTGTTTCTGCATTCCAAAATCTTATTCATCTCAATTACATTTCAGTCAAAATAACAATCCCTTATACGACAACTGCAATGTTAACGACATCCATTTGTCTTGACACATTAAGTGATTTATAAATCTATAGGTGAAGCATTCAAACTATCTTCATTCCTCTTGTGTGTGACAATTATTCTGGCCATAGTGTTCCTTCCTGTCCTTGTAAAATGTTTTATCAATCTTTTCCCAGCCGTTGCTGCCCTCCATCATGCCTTGGGCAGAGCTAATATCCCATTATTGTTTCAGAAGTCAAGTATCCTTATTTCAAGACATTGTTTTAAAATAAAATCACTTACTTTATACTCAGTGATATGTTGCATAGTGGGTCATACCTGGAATAGACCGCCTGGAATCGATGGATGTCTGTTTTAAGCTCAATACAGTAGGCATATTCTGAGGCTGACTTAGTTGGAAACAATGTTTTGCATCGTATTGTTTTATATTCCTTTTTTTCCCTCCCCCCCCCCTTTTTGCATTTTCTTTGGCCAGGAATTATGTTCTCTTGTTCTCACAACAGCTTGCCAGCCAACTGCTGTAGTTGCACAACTGTCTCAGTTGCCTTGTTACCTCCTACCAATCTGCAAGCCCAGGTATGCCAAATGGGAGAAAAAAGGAACCAAACATCAAATGCAAAAAGATGGTCCATTAAGTGGGTCTCATCTTGAAAGGCCCCATCAATCCCCCTCTCCACTTTTGTCACATTTTAACTACAGTGGTACCTCGGGTTACATACGCTTCAGGTTACAGACTCCGCTAACCCAGAAATAGTGCTTCAGGTTAAGAACTTTGCTTCAGGATGAGAACAGAAATTGTGCTCCGGCGGCACAGCAGCAGCAGGAGGCCCCATTAGCTAAAGTGGTGCTTCAGGTTAAGAACAGTTTCAGGTTAAGTACGGCCCTCCAGAACGAATTAAGTACTTAACCTGAGGTACCACTGTACTACAGTGGAGCCCTGGTTTTCAAACGTAATCCGTTCCAGAAGTCCGTTTGACTTCCGAAACATTCGAAAACAGGATCAAAGGGCTGGCAGCAAAGTCAATGGGAAAAAATGAAAAATGCACCTCAGAAGTCATTCGAAAACGGAAGCATTCACTTCCCGAGTTTTCAGCATTCAGCTTCCAAATTGGTTGGCATCCAAGACGTTCGAAAACTGAGGTTTGACTGTACTAAACCTCTCCTTTGACACAGGACATACTGTTTTATGCTGTGCTATTTTCTGGGGATACTCAAGGCTATGCTGTACTGGCACTTTTTTTCTAGAAAAAAAGCACTGCTTTGATGTAGTGTTACGACAGCTCCACTGCTAACCATGCCTGGTTTTTAAACAAGTTTTTGAAAAAGAGGCTTGTAGCTACTTTGCTCCTGGATTAAAAGGTTACCACCATTTTTGTTAATCTCAGTGCAGGCATAACATGGCAACATGCTTAATACTAAAAAGGGAAGGAAAAAGCGCAGGAACCCCCAGGATGCTTCCATTCTCTCATTGTGAAGAGATGGAGGGAATGTTATTCATCCATTAGGCCTATTCCTGTTGACCCATTTCCATGTTGCTTATATAAAAGTTCCCACTGAACTGTCTTCCACTCTGCCACCCTTAACAATGCTCGAGATCCAACTCTGTTTGGGCTACCACTGTCCACCGGGTGCCTCTACTCTTGAGAAAGAGGGTGTTGGAACTGCACAAAGAGACTCCAAAATTGGATGATATTTAGCCAATGTAATTTTATTTCAGAATGACTAGTCCTTTACAGTTTAAGCATATCTGGAGGTAGCTGCCAGAATTATTTGATTTCCCACCTCCCCACACACAAATGGCTTGAGTGAATCAGTTTATGGGCAGAGTCCACAAGGAAATTTCTCTTGCATGAATCCTTGTCATGAACAGGGACTTTGGAAGGGAACCTCCTGGTAGATTCTGCCCTATATTTCTGGAAGGACAGCTGAACACCAGTGTAAAATAATGTCTATATGATAGTTTCAGAACAAACATAAAACCACAAGAGGTAGCCTCTATTGATTGTCAACACAATAGACTTCCAGTTTCTTTTTCCCTTCTAAAAATGCTGCCCGAGTATGGTGCAATCTGCCTCCTCCTGACAATCCTCTCGTTGATGCTGATGGGCTGGAACGGAGAGAGAGGACTGAAAAGAACATTGGCAGGAACCACAATACCTACTGGAAATCCTGCACACTTACAGCACAAGTTATTCCTATTAACCTGTATGTACAGATTTCTCTTTGACTTGAGGTAGAAAACCCCAAATGCCACCTTGCCTCTCACTCATGAACATCAGGCACCAGCCACTAAGAACTTTTCCTATGCAGTTACATTGCCACGAGATACTGTGCTGTTTCATAATTCAGATTTGTTTTCAAGGGATTTGCACAGTATAACCTCCCTAATTGAACAGAAATAGTTGCCTCATATTGAGTATCATCTAGCTTAGTATGATTTCTCTGATGGGTAGTGGTTCTCCAACATCTCAGGTGGATTTTCCCCCCAGCATACCTGAAATACCTATAACAAGTATTTTGAAAGTTCTTTACACAGTGCATAGTTAAACTATGAAATTCACTCCCAGAAGAGGTAGGGACAGTCACTAACTTGGATGGCTTTAAAGGAGGATTGAACAAATTCGTGGATGATAAGGCAATGGTTCATGGTTCTCCCTCCACTGTGGGGAGCAGAGTGCCTCTGAATTCCACTTGCTGGGAATCACAGGCGGGGAAAGTGCTGTTGTGCTCAGGTCCCACTTGTGGGCTTCCCATAATAGGCATCTGGTTTATCCCCATGAGAGCAGGATGCTGGACTGGAAGGGCCTTTTTGGCCCAAAGCAGCAGCGCTATTCTGTGTTCATATGGCGGGGTTAGGGACTGAACTGGGCCCCTTCTGCATACAAAGCTGGTGCTCTGACTGTACCTAGAATTCCCTTTCCATTCCCTACAGCTGCTGCCTTGTAAGATGGACCAGACTATTCTGCCAATCAAACTTCCACAGGAAAGCCACTTGGGTGCTTTCAGATTCTTTCAGACCTCCGTGACACCCCAATTCCAGTTCTCTCGAAGCCTCTACCTGCCCCTAGGAACTCTTAGCATGAACGTCAGGCTACAAAGTCAGCGGCTGCAGCAGCAGCACTCCAAATGACTCATTTGGTGCCTAGGAGCTGCCATTTCTAACGGGATCTTCAGTGCCTGGATTTGATTTTGCTTAGATGATCAAACAAACTTCACAGACTGATGTCCTCCCCTGCCCACTTTCCTTATAGCCCTGCAACTCATCTAAGGCTTCTTCTCCTATTAAAGGGTACTGCCAATTTGGGGGCTGTGGGGAATTTATTAATGTATGCACAATGGGAGGCATTATGGAGGCTTAATTGCTTTTATGCAAGACTCAAGCCATACAAACACTGCTCTACCTGTTCCAATACAGAAGCAAAGTTTCCTTCATCAGGAATGGTTTCTTACCCTTCATTTTTAATTGGTATCTTTGTTCCCTTAACAGTGCTGCTGTGGACCCATATGCACATTTTTTTGCTTCCAAGATTTTCATTGTTATTATAACCAAAGTTACTTAAAATTCCAAGTACACTTGAGACATACTTGTTTTTGTTGCTAACTAGGCAGCATTCAACTCGAGTTCATTCTCAACATCTTGAGCAATGGATTTCCAAAACTGATTAACTCCTCAAAGTTGGCCACCTACTATAATTAACATAATTCTCATGTAATTCAGCATTCATCAGTATAGCAGTTTGATGAATCAGGATGCTTCCTTTTGTAGAATACCAAAGCTGCATAGATGGCAATATGGCATTGCAATAAAACCTGTGTGTGTGTGTTTAATCCTCGTTAATCTGTTCCCCTCCTGACGATGTCAGACTGCAGCTCCCATTAGCTCCAGTTAGCATAGCCAATGGTCAAGAATGGTGAGGGGAGCTGTAGTCTAACATCATCAGAAGGGCCACAGGTTAGCCTCCCCAGTGTACACAAGAGCATGTTTATAAAAGCCTGTAGATAAAATGCAAAGTCAGGGTGGGATAGCTGTTCCTTATACAGTATGCTTGTTGTGCAGCTCTTTGTAGTCCACAACAGTAGATCTGGTAAACCATTTAGAACAAAGTGGCTTGTATTAGCTTCTGGTCCAAGACTGGCCATGTACACATTAGCAGCTTAAAACACTGTGTGTTTCAAGTTGCATTTGCATGTTGCTGTGCACACCAGAGATGGGATGGACCTGATGCACGTTACCTGTTTGGTTTTCTGTGCCTACAACCCCTTCTCCCCTCCCCAGAAAATCCTATTCACGAAGGTGTCATCTGCACATGCACAATGACTGTCTCAAATGTACACACCTCAGCTTAACTGCAGCTTAAATTTTCAGAATCGGGATGGAAGCTGGTTTGAAGGAAAGGTATCAAACAACAGTATATCAGTTTTGTCAAAAACTCTAAGACTCATATAGATAGTGGCTAACATCATGTGTACCCAGCCTAAAACACCAGAAGTGGGAGTGCACTAGAGCTGGAGTAAAGAGTCAGGGATTCTGTACCTGTAGCAGAAAATCACTTCACCTGGTTCTTTTGCTCTCAAGTGCTTTGCTGGGTCAGAATGAAACAGACCAATTGAAAATAGGGGGGCTTTGTTGAGGAAAAAATAAGTTGCAAATCCAGAGGAGAACCGTTTTTTCTCAACTCATTTTTCATGAACAGCAGAGGATTTAGATGTGAGAGAAGCTCAAGGCACCACAAACTGCTGTACTTCCACATGTCAGGAAAGCCTTGCAAAGATCCATGGGAGCTCATTCCTGTGGAGGTCATTGCTCCTGGGATGCAGACCTAGCTCCCAAAATTCTCTTTCTTACTGAAACGGCAGGATCAGTATGAAAGACACAGTGAGTGCATCCACACACTCCTGAAAACCAAGGACTGGGAACTGGAATAGCAGCATCCATTGCTTCTGGCTCAAAACTTGCTCTTTATGTTCTATGAGCCCTGTGAATAAAAGCTTTTCTAACCCTCCCACAGAGTCTTGCTTGCTTGGAGACCTAAAACCTTGCTTGCTGAATACTAGGAATGTAAGGCATTTTCTAGCTGAAAAATAGTATGATATTTCAGCAGAGATTTCAGTACTTTGCATGTGCTCTATAAAAATGGGAAGCTTTACAAAAATAGCTATAGTGTGATCAATTAAAACATCTAATTTAAAATATGTACATTCTATACAGTTTCCTCTAGTTACATCAGTTAAATACCCCTTTTCTCTCTTTTAAAAAAATCTAGCATCCATGTCAGATGGATGCAGTTTAACCATGCTTAGAAACAGAAGGCGCTGGCTCCTTAGGACACAATTTTAGCAACCATCCTATTTCTGCTGAGAAACGTCATCCTAATTTAGTGGTGCACTCTCTATGGCTGCAGGCAGCTTTGGGTTTGGAAAGCAAGTCCTTCGTGTTTTAGGCTGTTTATTTCTGAAATATCTCAAGTCTGAAAATGGCACACTGTGGAGAGAGATATAAATGCCAACCAGCACCGGTATTCCTGCAGCCATTGGCTTCCAGAGTCCGTAGCTCATTGCTTTTCAACAATGAAGGCTGAACATCCACAACTCATGGAACAGCTGAATTTTTAGCTTTTGATATCATCGTCCTTTAAGAATTTAAATCCTGAAGGTGCTTCATAAAGGCTCTCCCCATCAGTGCTGAAGTCGTCGTCGTCATCTTCAAGGTCATTCAGCATTTTACTAGAGGTCTTCTTGTGCCTACTAAAGCAAAAATATATAAACAAGTTAGTGTGGCTTTATAAGCTGGCTGTCAACATTTGGAATGCTTTCATGATGTATTTTAAAGACGCTGGTTGATTTGAATGAGCCATTCCAATGCCTACAAGGCTAGGAAAATGGGTGCAACTGTCTCCTCCACAGCCCTGGGGGGAAACACCAGAATGAGCACTGCAATCTTGGGCATGTGCTCCTTTCTGCAAAGTTCCTCTTTCTCCGAATGTTTACACAAAAATAAGCTCCTTGGAAACTCAGCAGTGAAGGTTCTGGCATGACACTTAAGTCCTACATTTTTTCTGGGAGGAATTTGAGGGAAAGCTCCAAATTTGGACATTTTAAACTAGTTCCCAGCGGAGGGCTGAATGTTAGGGTACGGGGAAATCCAATCCAAAGTGCCATGGAACCCCAAAATTATAAACTGGAAGGGGCAGGGACAATCAGCTTGGTTATGGTTTCCAAACAAAGATTCTTAGATCCAGAATGAGGAGAATGAGTTGGGTCATACAACCCATGAGCAAGGAGCCAATGTGGCAAGTGGAGCTGTGACTTTCCAGATCTTGGGAAGGGTTGATGAAAACCTTTCTGGGTCCCAAGGCTCTTCCTTTCCCACCTGAGTTCCTTTTTGATTGCATTCAGCTGTCCTTGCAGTTGGTCATTCAAGTCAACTTGCTCTTCCAGCTCCCTCTGAAGCTTTTTCTTGGTGCTCTCAAGCCTATCTATTTCTTCTTCTGCTCCCTCCACCTGGCGTTTCATTGCTTTCAAACGCAAGCTCAGCTGAGAAATAAGAAGAAAGGGGCCAGTTAGAGCTTGGGAGGACAAGGGGTCATTCATCCTCAGCAACCCTTGATGGAGGGCATGGAGCCTATGTGAGCAATGGAGTAATCATGGGAAATGCTATTTTTATGGACTAGAAAGCTTAAGCTCAAAGCCTTTGCCAGAGGTTGGGAATTGGATCCAGATGAAGGACCTGCTCTAGAAGTGACCAACCCTCCATGGGGTCCCTTTGACCGAGTATGTATGAATGTATGCATTTTACCCTTTGGAAAATAAATGGGTCACTAAAGTGGAGCATATCAGATGCTGCTGGATTGCAACTCCCATCATCACTGGCTGGGCTGGCTGGACTTGATGGGAGTCCCAGCCTCTGAAGGACACCATGTGGGCAAATCCCTGCTTCAGAACAAGAGAAGGCATTGGATGCCACATACAAGAAAAAGCAGAGGTGTACTCGGTGTTTTTTTCTGGGAGTACAGAAGAGTATGCAGTACTGGCACACACATACCCAAAATGCTAAAAGTGTGGCACTTACTGTAACAACTTCACGGTGACTACCAGCGCTCTTTTTTCTTAAAAATGGAAGCCATTTCATATTGTGTGATATTTGTTATGGTTTTAGTGTCTTTAGTGAGTTCCTGGGGCGGCTCACAGTCCCAAGATGAAGGGTGAGCTATAAACTGAATAAAAGTAAATTTGGGGGACAAATCCTTGGTAACTACAATAGCCCAAGAGATGCTTTCCTTCCTTACCTGGTCCTTTTGATCTGTCAGAGAGAGATGCTCATCGTCCACTTGCATCATGACCTCCTTAACTTTCTTTTCAAGCCGGCGGTTACTCAGCTGGAGGTTAGCTCGATCCCTAGGATAAGAGAAGGGCATACTCACAGACAGCAAGGTAAGAACCAAAAAATGTTCCACTTACCTGGGAGAAGGACCTACAATTGAAAATAGATGACTCGGAGTAGAATGCAACATGGGTACTTAAGCCCTATAAATCAACCTCAGTTAGTGTAAGGGAATGTTCCTTAAAAATTCTGCAAGGTAGCATCGTACTCCTGGGCAGCTTTCACACATGACATCAATTGCCCCACAGGGCTGTTGGTGCAGCTCCAGTAGCAGGGGGACATGTTTCCATTTTTGTGGGAATGCCCCTGACATCCAAATTTTGGAGTGGTGTTTTTGAAGTATTTTTATTTTTTTTAAATACCGTATTTTTCGCCCTATAGGACGCACTTTTTCCCCTCCAAAAATGAAGGGGAAATGTGTGTGCGTCCTATGGGGCGAATGCAGGCTTTCGCTGAAGCCTGGAGAGCGAGAGGGGTCGGTACGCACCGACCACTCTCGCTCTCCAGGCTTCAGGAAGCTCTCAGCAAGCCTTGGGAGCCCGCGGGAGTTCCCGTCGGGCTCCCTAGGCTTGCGGATAGCAGCCTGCATCTCAAAGCCTGGGGCGCGCTGCACAGCACGCTCCGGGCTTCGGTTCCCCGACCTGGTTTGGAGGCTGGCGGTGGGGAGAAGCGTGCTTCTCCCCGCCGCCAGCCCCACAAGCTTGGGGGACAGCGGGGAGGTGCAGCGCCGCCATCCCGCCGTTCCCCGACCTGGTTTGGGCTTCAGGCAGATATCTGCAAGGCGTGGGAGCCCGGGGGGAAGTTGCGCCAGTCTCCCAAGGCTTGTGGAGAGCTGCCTGTTCTGGGGTCGGGGGAAGCTCGGGGGTGAAATTTTTTTTTTTCTTTATTTCCCCCCTCCAAAACTAGGTGCGTCCTATGGGCCGGTGCGCCCTATGGGGCGAAAAATACGGCACTCCATCCAAGCTTCCCCACAACTTGTCATTTTGAACTTATGGGATGATCAAACAGCAATTTTCAGATCAAATTAACTTCTTATATGGATGCAGGGTACAAAAAGAACTTATTTGGCCCAGAAATGAAATATATTACTGGACTTAAACCTTTTGTTGTGGAAGAAAAATATGTCGACTGGCTATTGCAGAGAAAATAACCCACGAATTACATTTTTCTAAGGGTAAGGAAGACCTGGAACACTTCTGTATCAAAGGCCTGTCTAGACAAGTGGGAAGGTGGGAAGTCTGCCAACCGGGGCATGGAGACAACAGCCCTTCCGTATGGTGTGTCTCCAGCATGAGATATTCTGATGTCCACTGCCAGTAAGTATGGATGGTCTGCTTCTACTACCTGTTCTTCTTATATGTGGCTCTGCTGTTGTGTTATTTTTATTGGATGGGTGGATTATAAACTTTGTATTGATTTGAAATATTGTAAGCGGTACCAATTTTGAAATAGGTTCAATTCTTTTTTAAGCTAACAGAGGTGGTGGGTCTCCAGTATTTAGATGAGAGGCTTGTTGCGACTCTTAAAATAGATGAATATCTGACTGGGACATGGTGTTCCCTGGGTGGTCTTGCAGTCTGCTTTACCTCTCTTCATTCTCCAGCCGCTCCTCCAGTTCCATGATCCTGGTTTCCATCTGAACCAGAAGCCCTTCTTTGCTGGACTGGTAAGAACCTTCAAGGTGAAAAATCCGGCTTTTCAGGTCCTTGTTCTAGAGTAAGAATATACAGAGCTTATTGAGCAGGTAAGTCTGTGGACAAATCAGCACTGCAGCACGGGGCCTAGGCAGTTGCATGCCCTAGACTTTTTGACTGGCGAATGGCATCCATCTCTTCTCCCCAGTTAATATGAGTTACACTCTGTCAGAAGAGTCTCTCATGTTGATTAATGGAAACCTCTGAAGGGACTGTGGCCCACTGCTCAGATCTGACCTTCGTGCCTTCCAGGTCTGATGCAAAGTGCTGTGATAACCCTGAAAGCCCTTAAGATTCCTCAGAAAGGATCAACAATTCAGATCAACCTGCCTATGCCTAACAGTCTGCTTCACAGGCCCTGCTTAGGTTGCTGGGCACACGGAACAGGCCCTTCTCTTGAGTGACCCCACATTTGTGAAATTCAGTCCCACGGGAAATCAGGGAAACTTCACCCCTTTATATTTTGAAATGGGCCTTAAAGACCCATCTCTTTTGGTGGCTTTTACTGGCTGGCAGAAACTGTTGTGGATATGGAAGTTATAGATGTGAAGTTTCTGTATTTCACAACATGTAGTGAAAGTCTTGCTGAAGATCACGGGGGCCGACTTGAATAAAATACTGGGGGGGCCTAGCTAAGCCCCGCCTCACATAATCAATCACAATACACAGTGCACACAAACCCTATTTGAATGGCAATGGCCATCAACCTGGGGGGGAAGTCAAATACTTTAGGGGGGGCGGAAGGGACCTTGGCCCCTAGGAGTTGACTTCTATGCTGAAGCTACACAAACACAAGGAAAATAGTGGATCCTTTGGAGAAGGAAAAACACACACGTAGGGATCATCCACATTTCAGATACTGCCGCACTTTTCAGGCACAGATCTGCATTTTAAAGCTCTTTGTCCAAGCATTTTCTGTTTTTGTTTTTGTTCCAGCGCTTTCCTCATGAAAACCCATGTTTTACCACTGAACTGGAGCAAAATGACAATCTGCAGAAAACTCGATTGCCATTTTCTCCAATTCAGCAGGCAAACGCAGGGAAAGCGCTGGGCCAAAAAAGAAACCGCTCGGACACAGAGCTTCAAAGCCTGGACCTGCGCCTGGTGGGACAAAAGGATGTCTGGCTAAGCCTTTAGTTTTGGACAGCTAAGATGCATGTCCACCACTAGGTGGCACTCTGCTCCTGAAGTGTTTAAGCTGGGATGGCTATGGGTGGTTTTTTCCTGTGTAATTTCCAAGAGAAGAGGCACTGGTGTCCAACCCTGCTAGGAGGCAGCTCTGCTCCTTAACCCTGAAGGTGTGGGCCTAGGCAAGCCTTCCCCAACCTGATGCCCTTCAGCTGTTTTGGACAACACCCAGCAGCCCTGGCCAGCACAGCCATAAGATTCTGGGAGTACAGCTGTGGGTGTGGCAGCCCAAACTATCTGAAGGGATCTAGGCTGGGGGAGGCTGAGGCAGGCTCTGGCCACTCCATGGCACTGGGAGTGCACTCAGTACACAGTCTGGGGCACTGCCTGCTAACATCCATATTTCCCATTGTCCGGTCCTGACATCAAACACCCCAAGCCTGAGCACAAAACAAGCCGCAATCCTTGCCTGTCTCTCCAGCGAAATCTTGTCACATTCCAAGTCTTGCCTCGCAGCCCTTTCCTGAAGTAGCTCACTCCGCATTTGCTCAATCTGTAGGTGATAAGCAAAAAAGAAAAGAAAAAAGGCTGAAACCTCCAAATGGCAGCAACCTAACAACACGTCTTAACACTCTCCTCTACAGCTCCAGGCAATGCCGTAGAATTGCAGGCACTAAGAAGAGACCTGCAGGTGGGTCAGACCCAAGCGGGCCTATCCAGCCCAGCTTCCCACAGGGGTGAACTAGGGGCTTCCTGAAAGCCCACAAGCAAGACACAAGGGCAACAGCATGTCCCTAGGTGTGATACAGTGGTACCTCAGGTTACAGACGCTTCAGGTTACAGACTCCACTAACCCAGAAATAGTACCTCGGGTTAAGAACTTTGCTTCAGGATGAGAACAGAAATCACACGGCGGCGGCAGCGGGAGGCCCCAATAGCTAAAGTGGTACCTCAGGTTAAGAACAGTTTCAGGTTAAGAATGGACCTCCAGAACGAATTAAGTTCTTAACCCAAGGTACCACTGTACTCGGCAGCTGGCCTTGCCTTTGATCCTGAAAGTAGTACACAACCATCATGGCTAGTATTCACCCACTTGGCCACAGCTAAGGGCATTTCCAGTCTGAAATGGGCAGAAAGGGCACAAGTGGCAGGAAGGGCAGAATGAATATTAGTACAGTGGTACCTCAGGTTAAGAATTTAATTCGTTCTGGAGGTCCGTTCTTAACCTGAAACTGTTCTTAACCTGAAGCACCATTTTAGCTAATGGGGCCTCCTGCTGCTGCCACGCCGCCGGAACACAATTTCTGTTCTCATCCTGAAGCAAAGTTCTTAACCCGAGGTACTATTTCTGGGTTAGCAGAGTCTGTAACCTGAAGTGTATGTAACCCGAGGTACCACTGTATGAGGATGGATGAGGATGGGAAAGAAAGGAGCATCAGGCTTGCTCAGGGACTGCCTTGTGGAAAAAGAAGCCAGATGGGAGGAAAGGAGAAACTGTAGCTCAATGTAGCCCAGGACATATTTTGGAAGAGGTCCCAGGTTAATCTCCAGAAGCATCTCCAGTTAAAAAAGCTCAGGTTGCAGGTAATGCGCATGGGACTTTTCTCTGCATGTGCCACCACTAGAGAGAGCCTCCCTGCCAGTCAAAGTGGGCAGTGCTGAGACGAACTAATAGTCTGGCCCGCTGTAAAGCTGCTTCTGAAGGAAGGGAGCTATTTCTGACCCAAGGGAGCAGTGGGGAGGGCAAAGACCAAATGGTGGGTTTGGGTGAAGACAAAGGGGGCTGGCAAAGGAGGAGCTTAGCCACAGAAGTGGGGTCAAGAAGGGGCATGAAGTGGGGGAAGTAGAGCTTGGGAAAGCAAAGTCATTTTCTTAGGGTAAAAATCACAGCCACACAAACAGCGCGAGAGAGATGGAATGAGATACTAGCCAAAGATACTAGCGCCATTTAATAGGAAAATGAGGTCAAAGAGGATCCCAGTGGAAGGTTCAGTTTGGCATCATATCCAAGACACAGGCTCAGTTCCCTACAAAGTGTCCATCCCAATGTGCACCAAATTCCAAATGGCAGCATATGCACTCCATATGCCCACACATACACACCCCAAGTACCATGAACTTCTGAAACCAATGTTGTCGTCTGGCCATTGGAAGATCTTGTTATGGAATGCCCACCATCCCTACTTTCATCTTTTACAAGGCCCTTTTATTGGGGTCATGCAGAAAACTCTGCTATAATTGCTTCAGGAGGCCCAGACAAAATGAAAGAAAATTCTGAAGGGGAGGGGGGAATTAATGAGCAACTAATTAAAGGTGCAGCTTTTAAATGGATGATGTTTGTCAGTGGGCTTGGATGTAGCTGGTCACAGTGAGGTTCCAGACACTGAGCTATTGTGTCCTCTGTGTGCTCAGAGGCTGTGAAAAATGTGGGCGGCCATCCCTGGGTCTCACATTAGAGATGGATGTAGGACAGCAAGGGGCACTGAGGTGATGGATGCTGCTGCTGTGGTGGTTGAAGGATGCTTCTGTGTAGAAGGGTCAACACAGAATTGTCTATTGGTGGACATTTCCCCAAGGGCTGCCTGTGGTGCCAATCTCACTGGGCCCAATGCTGGGGGGTCTGAAGCAGGGGTCTCCTCAGGGTTTACTGGGCTTCTCTGAATTGCAACCCTTGGTGCGGCTCTCAAGGGGTGTTAACTGAGCTGTGGGCCACGGGAGGGTCTTGTTCTTCCTTGGTGGAGAAAGTGCTTTGGGGGGGGGTACGCATACCCCTAAACATTTTGTGAATCTAACGGGAGAAGAAACGAAAAATGTTTTAAAAATTACTTTCTTCTCTAACACAGTGAATCGTCAGTTTCGTTGCTACCCCCGATGGCGGCCTCATTTCCTGTCACGGTGTTTCCGGAGTCTCACACGGAAGCGAGCGTTTAATGTGTGAAGTAGGAGTTGGAATCTAGCACGGTGATTGGTCAGTTTCGTTGTTACCACCTCTAACAGCGGCTTCCTTTCCTTTCCTGGTGTTTCCTGAGTCTCAGATGGAAGTGAGCGTTACTGCGAGCTGTCAGCTGTGTAATATGAGGTAATGCATGTTCTTTGTACTTTTGTCCATTTACTGTATTTATTTTCCCCAATTTGCACTATTGAATGGTGACTTTCTTGAGTCGAAATGAGAGTACCCCTAAAAATTTTTTAAGGAAAAAAGATGGGTGGAGAAGATCAAATTTGGTGAAGGATCTAGGCAGGGGTCAGCAAACTTTTTCAGCAGGGGGCCGGTCCACTGTCCCTCCACCTTGTGGGGGGCCAGACTATATTTTGGGGGGGAAATATGAATGGATTCCTATGCCCCACAAATAACCCAGAGATGCATTTTAAATAAAAGCACACATTCTATTCATGTAAAAACACGCTGATTCCTGGACCGTCTGCAGGCCGGATTTAGAAGGCGAGGTTGGGCCGGATCCGGCCCCCGGGCCTTAGTTTGCCTACCTTTGATTTAGGGGCAGGTTCCTGATAGCCCCAGACTGGCACATCTTGGCCACTAGGACAGAAGAGACATGGGCCTACTGTGCTCTTCTGAATTTTTTATCTTCTCCCTCCCAATGCATCAAAGATGTTCAAATTCTGTGACAAGCACAAGCATTAACTGCACGGCTTCAGGTGGCAGCTGCTCCAGCTGGAAGGGAGGCCCATTGAAGAGCAAGCACGTCCGGTCCAAGGGGCCTTTATTAGAGAGCTTGGTGCTTTGGGTCTGTTTCTGGACAAGGCGCAGCTGCGGAGTTCGTTGTCAAGGAGAAAAGTAATTTGATTTCTAATAATAGCCTAAAGACGGCTGCAGCCGCTGTCTTCCGTCTCCCACTGGACACACGCACGTCTCACTAGTCCTCGAGAGGGGAAAGCCAGGAGAAAATAAAGCCTCAGCCCTCCCTGTTTCCTGGGCTGCCTGACTCAGCAGAAACACTCAGCTGCTCAATAAAGGGAACTAATGGAAGCATGGATGCCTCTCTGGCCCAAAAAAAGCCGGCACTTCCCACATTTTCATCTGCCTGCTCCACGCACCTGCGCCAAGTGAGGAGCAGGTGTGCAGCATCCACTGGGACTGCTTTGCCCAAAGAAGTGAATGACAGCCCTGCCAATGTAACTTCATCCTTTGCTCATTTACTGTGCTATTGCTATGGAAACAGGCCCCTCAAGAGAAGCTGCTCCGGAGTCAATTAATTCATGTTCAGTCGGCTTTCTTTCTTTGGTCGTCCGTCCCCCGGCCCCAGTTGTTAGTTGCTGCAGGACGAGAATGCATCCAGGCAGTAGGGGAAGAAGGGCTGCTCTTGAATGCTGGCCACTGGCACAGTGGCATTGCCAAAGAAGGCTCTCTCATATCCATAGCTGGACTCGGGTTCAAGTCACCCCTGCAGGCTTTGCAAATAATAATACAGGATTTTGTTCCTGCTGATAGTGTCATCCTCAGCATTGATTCTGGGTGGCATCGAGGTTTAGGGACTGAGTAAACAAAATGACACAGAGACACAACTGGTTCTCCCATCTCCTTACATTTTTGCAAAAGCAAGCCGCATGTTCCCTTCTCCTCCTTACACCCCAGCAACACAGTGGGCATAATCCAGGGAACACAATCCAGGGCCCTGGAGTCCCACAATCACATTTCAATTATTTCTTTCCTCTCAAAGCCACCTGAAGAATGGGGCTATGAAGAAGCTACAACTCTCACCTGCTGAGCTGGAAGAGCTGCCATTAACTCCAAAGCAGAAATGTGCAGCTTCTCAATCATGACGAACAGCAGTTTAAGGAATTAAATGCCCCATAAAACTTAGGCAATATTTTCTATTTAATGCCAATCACTCTACAGATTAGTCTCCATTAACTTCATATTAAGAGAGCTTGCCAGCAATGGGGGAGGGGAGTTTCCTGGGTCACCCAAAGGTTTGCCAACTTTTCAGTCAGCCCCTGCTGCTGTCACTTCAGCAGCAATTCGCAAGTGGTAATAACATTTAGCTTCATCCATGCCATGGAAATGATACCTGCACATCGCCACAGCCCAAACCTTTGTTAAAGGCACAGGGGCAAACCGGGCTGGGTCAGTTGGCACCCTTAATCAACGATGTTGACCAAAACAAACCCATTATTAGTCCTTGCTTTATTGTGAATGTTTAGCAGACCCTGAAATAGTCTCCTGGGAATCCATCCTTTGGCCATCCTAGTGTTGACTCAGAACAAGGAAAACTTTGTAACTCGTACAAAATTAGGGGCTCCAGAGCCTTTGGGAGGAACACCTATTTTGCCCTGACCCAACACCCTGCCTCCCGACTTACATAATATGCTGCTGGTCAGAAAGTTGGTGGTTTGTGTTTCTTTTAAAACTTCTCATTAAAAACTACAGCTACATCCCTTGAAGGCTACCTCCACTCCATGATCCCAGGCACAGAATGGGCTGCAACATCCCCACTGAACACTGGCATGGTCTGTGGGTCCAATAAGGCCAACAAGGGCCCCCTTGCCCTACCCCCACAAACTGCTGCATAAATACAAACAACTTTTAAGCAGGAGAGAGGAAGGAAGAAGAGAAGGCTTGTACATGCCCAATTCAAACCAACAAGAAACAGGGATTCATTGCCAGCTGATGCTGCTGACAGAATGCTGGACTCACATTCCTGGCACGGCCCCCAAACTCACCCTAGGCCAGTCCTACTCTCCCAGTGCCACCTGCCACACAGAGAAGCTGCAAGGCTGACACAGGGCAATCGTCTTGTATGCTGTCTGGAGGAGAATGTGAATGGAATCCCTAGAAACACAGCTGAGTAGTGGCTGGTGGGTTGGGCCCAATTAGAGAACTAAAGAGGATTGTCAGGAATCTTAATGTGCTCCCTCCAGCCAGAGCTGCCCAGTGGAGAATTCCCCCTGCTCAGGTACCTGCTCTCTGCACCTGCTGATCCTTTCAGACAAGATGTCTGAATTGTTCCGCTCCTCTTCAAGCTCCAGTTCCAGCTGGGACATCTTGTACTAAAAGAGATGACACAACATTGGCTCAGTGGCTGAGAGTGGGAAGAAGGAGTAGCAGTGGGTGACCAAGGCAAACTCTGGAAGATAAGAATTCAGGACTAGACACTGGGTGAGGACCAGTGTTTTTTACCAGGAAAATGGTGCTGGTACTCACCGTACCACTCAAAGGCGCGCCAGCCTTGCTCCCAAAAGAGGTGAAGTCCCACATGCGCCCCTACAGCAGCTGTAGCATCTCCTCTGGCGACACAGCCACATGAGGAGACAGGCGTTGAGGCGGGAAGAGGAGAGGGAAACGGCGCCTGTGCGGTGGGACGAGGCACCAGAAGCGCCTTCCCTGCATGGCTTCTTTCCCTCAACCCCTTCCTTTCCGTTCTCAAAGCTCATTGGCTGCTGGCACTTCCCGCCTTTGCAAATCATGCCCCCAATGGCTTGCAGAGTTGCCAGTCACTGCTCTCCACTTGCCCACCCAGAAACCAGCTCTCAGTCACCTTCCATATAACAGTCTCTCTCATTGGTCAAATCAGAGTGGGCAGAAGAGGCAGTGGACTCACAGAACAGCCAGGGTGGAGGTTAAATTCTGGAGATGGGATTGGCTGAATAAACTGCCATGATGACAACAGCAATGACAACTATGATGTTTGTCACGGCAATGCTAAGAAACTAGAGGAAGTGGGAAGCAGGGAAACAGGATCTTGGAAACACTTCCAAGGTGCAGAGGATTGAACAGCCCCCAGTCATTGCTCTCTTGCTTTAAGCTGTTGGAAAACAGTGGCGGTGCTGCATACTGGCATGGAGCAACAGGGGGGAAAGCACTGGTGAGGACTGCGCTCCCAAGTGTTTATCTCAGGAATGGGGAACCTGTGGGTCACCAAAGGTTTATTGGGCTCCAACTCTCATCAGCCCCAACAAGAATGGTCTATGGCCAGAGATTCTGGCAATTATAGTCCAACATTAACTAAAAGGTCACAGGCGCCCATCTCTGGCTTGCGTTGATCATCATTCAACATCTCTCAAGCTTAAAGGAATCAGCAATTAGATGTGAAATCCCCAAAATAAATCTCTGGGGCAGTTCCTTAGGGCAACCAGAGTTTCATTCCCCTCAGCCATGATGGCAGCATCACATGAAGAACCCCGGAAAACCAGAGCTCCACATCTGACACAGCCCACAGGGTGGGCAGCTTTTCCCAGGCCAAGGGCAGTCTTCACAGTTCCCCTTCCTGGAAAAGGGGTCGGTGATGCCTTGAGGGGCTTCTACATACTCCAGCAGAGCCGTGAATGCCAAAACATAGCTTAGCTGCTGTTTTATGATTCTATTACCATTTTACAATTCCTTTTTGTTTTATATTGTCATCTTTTTGTAATACTGCCTTGGAAACAGTCTTTGAAAGGAGGTGTGGAAATGTGGCAGGGGGAGAGAAAAGGGCTGGGCTGAATGTACCAGCAACCTCAACGGGCACTTAGAGGGGCAACATTTGATGGAGTGTAAATGGAGCAGGGTGAGATTTGAAACATGCGCTCCCAGAGCCCCTGCAGCTCTGTGTGTAGTGTGTTTTTCTGTGGGTGCTCTGTGTCCCAGTGCCAGGGACAGCCTGCTCCAAGGACTTCCGGGGTGGCGCCATCGGCAATGGCGGATTCCCTCTGAACTGGAGGGACTAGCTCCACGGGAAACGGGTCTTTTCCGCTACGGCGAAGCGGGGACCCATTCAAAAATCACAGGCGGATGAAGCCTGTGACCATGGGACTCGGCGGGCACCTTTAGCGCCCCCCCAACCCGCAAAGGAACCCACTAACGGGCTCCGGAGCGAAGAGGGGGAAGTGGCGCGGTGCTGAGAGTCAACTGCTTCTTCCGTGGAGCGAAGCCGCACAGCCGTTGCCAGAGAGCGCTGCCTTTTTCCTGGGACAATTTGGCTTTTAAAACAACCACCCGTGAGTACTTAAGTTTCGGACAATTGGACTCTAAATAAGGATTTGCGAGCAGAAAGGAAAATTGGACTTAAAAGTTTAATTTAATTTGGCACTGAAACGGGAAGGTCTAAACAGGAAGTCAGCCTTCCGTTTCTTTGTAGATAGATTAAAGCAAAGACACGGCAAACTAAAGTTCTGAAAATCGCTTCTAAAGGATTAACTTTCATCATTTAAAATTGTTGAACCCCCTTCGGAAGCAGGAGAAGAGGGGGGACTTTTTCCGGACTGTTTAAACCTGCAGAAGTGAGTGTAAAGTAACGTAACTTTCCACCGTCTTGATCCTGGAGCGGGGTGTCAGGACTGACGTTTTTTGAAGCTCATTGACCAGAGACAAACGTTTCTGACAGATAGCTAAAGGAAGAGATACATAGTGATTCCATTGTTCCCCTTCGCATTTTGAAGGAACAAATATTGACAAAATATCTGAAAAAGGAAACTTTGTTGTTAGATTTGTTTTTAAAAGAAAAGAACAAGCAGAAGTTTTTCCCCTAGAGGGAGCCTGTGAAACTGTAACCAATTCTGAATCGGGGAGCTCACAGCTGTTACAGATTACGATCGTGGGAATAGACTTCTGACCTTGCAGGACAATGTATTCAGAAGCTCTGTTGAGTGCTTTCTGTAAAACAAGTGCCCTACTGGAACAGCTACATGAGAAGACGGATTTTATGACTGATGCGATTAGAAATTTTGGACAGGCAGTGGGATATTATATAGAGCCCACCCAGGAATTAGATCAGGAGTGTGCCCTGACAGAACAGATGAGGGAAGAGGATGTTGCTGAATCTTGGGCGCCAGAGATGGAGGGCGCTGTGGCCCAGCAGGAACATGAATTCTTGGATTTGACAAATGAACTTGGAAAAAGCCAGATTTGGAAAGATAAAGTTTGGTTGGGTTTGGAAATGGGGGGTTGGATAGACCCCCCTATGCAGGGAGGTTTGGACTTTTCGAGTCTGGCAATGGGCCGTGAGATGTTTGGGGTTGTGGGGGCTCTCAATTTTGGAGGGACTTTGAAACATGTTCTTAAATACCACATGGAGCTTAGTGTGGACTATGGAATAGGGGCTGATTTGTCGAGAAGGGTCAAAAGCATTATCAAGCTGGAGTTCCCAAGAGTGAAAGAAGTAGGAGATAAAGGAAAATATAGCTATAAATATGAAGAAGAGCTGCGGAAGGGACATGGAAGAGACTTAAGGGCCTCGGACATAAGGTTACCAGGTTAATGCGCTAGATTGATGGGATAGAAAGGACTGACAAAACCCGGGTCCAGGAGGAAGAGACGCTGGATGAAGATTGGATTGTTATTTCTTTTATTATGATTGTTTTATAAAATTGATGAATGTTAGAAAAATGTTGGAACGAAATTATTTGGCTTTAGCAAAAATGTTTAAAGAATTATGTAAGAATATTACAGTTATGAGAAATTGGTAAAAATAAGATTTAAGTTTTAAGTTTTAAGGTTTTCATACTAAGATAAGAGTAAAATAGATTAAGGTAAAGTAATGACAGAATATTATGAAATATGGAAAGGATTTGCTGCAACAATTAATAACCAGGATACAAAAAAGGGAGGAGGAGGAGGTCAAAGAAAGAAGGTAATGACAGTTAAAGATATGAGAATATTGGTTTTGTTTTTAAATGTTTGTGGTATATTTTTGTTTTTTAATTGTGTCGTGTTATTTTTTGATTTTGATTTTTATTAATCTGTATTGTTTGACTGTGGTTTGTCTTTTCTTTGTTTTTTCTTTCTTTTTTTCTTCTTTGTTCTCTTTTGTAATTCTAAAATTTTCAATAAATATCATTTTAAAAAAAAAAAAAGGGGGACGGCCTGCTCCAGTTCAAATAGCCAGCTGGCAACATGTATTTCCCTCTCCAGAGAGAAGGAAGGAAAGAAACATGTAAGCAAAGGCCAGGCAGCTAAATAGTCTTGTGTGAGACAAGCGAGAGAGCCAATCAAACCGAACCTCATTGGCCTCTGGTGGTGCTTATGGAAAGGAGCTGGAGCTGGAGTCAGCCCATCTCCCCATGTTCATCTTCCTGGTGGTGTCTGAAAAGGTGACTCAGCTCTCTCCCACCCTCCACCCCACTCATCTCATCTACCTCCATGATCTTATCCTGTCTTGCTCTATCTTCTTTCAAGTGATTTTTGGCCTCCAGTTCATATTCCAGGGCTTTCAAAGTCTGTTCCAGAAGCTGTGTTTTGGTAATAGCCTCATCTTGAGCTCTCTGGTGATCTCGTAATTCTTTTTCCATAAAATGCATCTGAAAGAAGAAGAAGAAATTGTGGGCTAAAGACCCCCCTGGGTAGGAGGCAATCACTAGTCTGGTCTGTTGCAGACAGAGAAACTTATAGGTAAAAGTAAATCCATCTTGCATTTTCCAAGTACAGATTCATGGGCCCATCTGCTATTATAAGCCTGACTTCCCTCCAAGCCTGATTCAAAGGTGAGAAGGGGCAGTGGATCCCCATAAGGCTAACTGCCCACCCCTTGACAAACCACCTTGCCCTGTGCAGGAATCCTGGCCTAGTGTAGCAAGCAATCCCATTTGGGAGGTGTCTTGTGAAAATTCACCTGTCCAGCTAACACTGAAAGCAGCTTAACCATTTTGGGGTACCCACTCCAGTTTGAGAAGAAGAAAGTGGTTGTTGAAAAGAAAGGAACTGGTTACAGAAAGAAATACCAAATAAGGCAGCTCTATTTTCTCAATATAGGGAATCTGTGGCTACATTTGTTAAGCAAAGGGCATTGCCCAGATCAGCAAGTAAAAAAACTTACCCCAGCCTCCTGACAACCTTCCCCAAACTGGTATCTACCAGATGTTCTTGACTACAACTCCCATCACCCTCATCCAGTACAGCTGAATGATGCTAGGACTGATGGGAGTTGTAGTCATAGAATCATAGAGTTGGAAGGGACATCTAGTCCAGCATCCATGGCAGATTGTCATCCAACCTCTGCTTAAAAACCTCCAACGCATCTCAAGGGGACTGGGTTGAGGAAGGTTGTCTAAAGGAAACGGGAACATGGGAGCAAGAGAGGCAAGGAAAATGAAGATCCAGCCGTTTGTGCAAAGCAACAAGATATCTGGACGTTGTGGCTCATTAAGCAAGCCGAAAGAGAAGCACAGCTTGGTACAAATTGCCTTTGGTGGTGTGTTCTGTGCTCATGGACTTTCTTGGGTGACTTTGTGAGCACCTCATGTGGAAAAAGATTATTTTAGTACAATACCACTTCCAGATTCAGAATCTTGGATTTCTGTAAGATCCTGTTCATGGATACAGCTCTAGATATAGTGTGCAGATTAACAATCTCCATGTAATGTTTCCACATGGAATTACTCACGCAGAGACTTTTTTAAAAGTCCAGGCTCTTTCATGAGCAAAGTCTGTTAAGTCAGAACTTGCACTTCTTAACTATTTGTATCAGTGATCTTGCATGATTTTCTTCCAGCCACAAGATGGCAGCATGCCAATGGCTTTTTGGGGAGATAGGTGTGGGATGGGATAAAAAACATTCTAACGAAACCATCTCCTAGTTTAGCAAGCCTTAGATAATAACTCTGTAACCCTAGACAGCAAGCGAAACCCTCCCATCTTCCTGGAGCTTGTTTACATTATCTGTGACCCTTTAAACTCATTATAGGCTTTACAGTCAGTTACTGAATCATGCTGGAATACAGGTTTCTTGTTGGACCACTTTGCCCAGGGAGATTCCTGTGTAAATCATAACATAGAAAATGGCCCATTTTCAAAGATGAAGAGGCCACATTCTTTTATATCCTCCACTGATAAGTTCTCAGATTTTTGTAAATCACTGAAGCTTGCCCAGTGTGTCTGTTCTTACCTCTCTCTTGACCATGGGAGACCAAAACAGGACACTTGCTGGCAAGGACTTGGATGGAGCTAACTCGGGTGAGATTGGGATTTCTCTCACTCTCTCCCTGCCCCCCCCCCCAGCAAAAGTCCACATTGTCCCAGAGAATCAGGATGATTCTTCCAGGCTGAGGAGCCGTTACCTCCTCCTGCATCTTGAGGGACGCCAGGTGGGCCTTTTCCAGCTCCAGGTTTTTGTCTTTCAGCTGCCTGTGTGTCTCGGAAAGCTCCCGGCGATTCTTCTCCTTGTATTCATCAAGCTGGTTTTGGAGCTCCAGCGTCGATGTTCGTGAAACCTCAATGATTTCTGCCATCTAGCAAAAAAAGGAAAGGAAGCATTAGCAAGAAACAAGAAGCAATCAAAAGATGCCCAAGGCAGGCTCTCATCATCCAAAAGCTTTAGGCCAGGGGTCAGCAAACGTACCATGCCTCGGGCTGGTGTCTCCAGCGCCAATCACGTGGTGGGCTGGAGGGCGGGGAGCGCGTGCCCATATGCGTGTGCACACGCTATTTCCGGTGCACTTCTGGGTCGGAGGCGCACCAGAAATAGCTTGTGCGCATGTGCACGGGCCTCCTCCGACCCGGATGTGCACCGGAAATAATGCTTGCGCATGCACACAACGCTTGTGCATGCACACAAGCTATTTCTAGTGCTCCTCCGACCCAGAAGTGGGCAGCTGTGCAGTGCAGCACCGGTAAGAGCAGGCGGTGGGAGTCGCTGCGGGCCAGATAAACGAGTCCCTTGGGCCTTATCCGGCCCACAGGCCTTAGTTTGGGGACCCCTGCTTTAGGCTGAACACAGAAGCCCAAAGAGCAAATCACAGACTGATGGTTTCTCAGCTTGTGTTGCTCACAAATTACAATCTAAAGTGAAAGGTGGGTGGGGAACTTCTCTGGTTCTCCAGATGCTGCTGGAGCCCCAACATCCATCAGCCCCAGCAGCCAGCATGGCCAATGGTCAAGGATGATGGGAGTCGCAGTCCAAAAGCATCTAGGAGAGCACCAGGCTCCCCACCTCTGCTATAAAGTCTTTGAATAGCGCTTGTAGAAACGCAGTGGCTACTTAAACCGTGGAGACTTGGCCTGGCTCTCAGCACTGGTGGGTGAGCATGCAAGTGGCAGTTCCAGGAGTGCTGGTTGGCAATGAGAAGGGCGAGTGAGTGGCCCAGTGGTCTCATCTGGCTTCATGAAATGGCTAATATAATAATAGTTCATTTTGCATTTTTAAAGATAACTCTTATGGTTACACTGAACACTACCTTCAGGATACAAGCAGAAAAGTGGTTCTAAACATTTAAAAAATGAACCCGTAAGTAATTATATCAAGAAAAGGAGCAGTGGGTTGGAATGAAAAGCTGGGAGGAGGAGAGAGAAGGGGCAGTCATTCTGACTAATTCATGTTTAATCTATGCTGCCTTTTTAAGAGCTGGCATAGGTGTGTTTCTTTGGCTGTGCTTGCTGCAGCCAGCCCTGAGGCCACTGGGTTAAAAAAAACAAAACAGCAACAAATGTGTTGTTCTTAAGTTTTGCTGGAAATAAATCACCAGGTTTGCTGACATTTCAGGCCCCAGGTGAAGTGCTGTCTGTTTCCTGCAGTTTTGCGTTTGGGATAGATGGCTGTGTTCCTGCCCCAGCTACAACTCCTGCTCTAAAAGCGCCTATTGATCTTCCCTGGGTCCCAAACATTAAGTGCAAAGTTCACATTTCACTTTCATTTGTACCTCTTTCTCTCTTTCTCTCTAACCCTTTTGTACAATTTGGTCTTTTCTTTTCTCTCCCCCTGCCCTTGATATTTAATCTCCAGCCAGCTCGTACCTCCTTGTGTAACTTCTCAATAGTCTTGTCCAGTTGCCACCTCTCATTCTCTAATTCACTCTTCATCCTCTTTAACTGATCCTTCTGGTTAGCTTCATCTTTCAGCCGGTCAGTTAACTGTTGCAGCTCCTGGTTCAGCCGGCTGACGTCCTTCTGCAGCCATGAAAAAAAGCCACCGTGTGAGATGCTCTCTTGCAATTTTTTTGATCCCATGCACTTAACATTCTTCCAAGAAATGAGAACAAATTGGGGGGGGGGGGAATCCCTGCTGTAACAAGAAACTTAAAAAATAAAATAAAATCAGAGAAGGGGTCCTCTGATTTAAGTTCCCTGGCGCAGGGACCTGGGCTTTTAATGTTGCTCTGTGGGCACAATCAGTATTTTAAAGGTTAAATACAGAGGTTACATTGTAAGTAAAGTACCGCCAAGCACAAATCATGCCCACAAGCACACCTAGCAATTGACTGTGCTGAGCACCAGGGAAGTGCAAATTCAGTGCACAAAACAGACAGTGGTGGATGAAGGGCATTTATGTAAATGTGGGTTCATGTGCTGGACACACCTGCACCTAAAAACCTCACCCTGCTCAATGTGTACAGTTCATATTCTGAATCTGATTGTTTAGGTCCGTCCCCCCCACCCCAGTGTTCACACCAAGCATGGGGCAAATGAGACTCCTCAGCAGCACAAGTAAAGCTAGGAGGGGTCACTCTTATGTCTTTAAAGGTAAAGGGACCCCTGAACGTTAGGTCCAGTCATGGACGACTCTGGGGTTGCGGCGCTCATTTCAGGCCCCAGGTGAAGTGCTGTCCGTTTCCTGCAGTTTTGCGTTTGGCCGAGGGAGACAGTGTACAGCTTCTGGGTCATGTGGCCAGCATGACTAAGCCGCTTCTGGCGAAACCAGAGCAGCGCAAGGAAACACCGTTTACCTTCCCGCTGGAGCGGTACCTATTTATCTACTTGCACTTGACGTGCTTTCGAACTGCTAGGTTGGCAGGAGCTGGGACTGAGCAATGGGAGCTCACCCCGTCACGGGGATTCAAACCACCAACCTTCTGATCAGCAAGCCCAAGAGGCTCAGTGGTTTAGAACCCAGCGCCACCCGCATCCTTTACCCTAGTATAAAAGGGAGTTCTTATAGCTGAAAAGTTTCACACCAGGATTTAAATAGGAGAACAGGGTGCAAAAAGTAGCATGATCTTTGAATCCTGAAGAAAAAGAGCCTAGCAGGCAATGTAGCACTTAACCAGAATACAATATGATGTTAAAAGCTACCACTGTGTTTTTCTCTGTGTGTTTTTAAACTAAATCTGCCAGCCCTGCTCCATTCCAAAACACTCCTGCAGCCCCATGAATCCATCTTTCACAGCTCATTTAACTTCACCATTTGTTTACAAATCCTTGAAAAACAACCAACACCAACTCAGATCTGACAGAGATGGAGGCTGCATGGCAAAAGCATTAAGTGCTGGAGAATAAAAACTGCATGTCCTGCCTGTAGCCCAGACTACCAATGAGATAAAGTTGGAGCAGTGGCGGCAACAGATCTGAACCAGCAGGTCTCGGCAGCAGTTCTGCTGATCTGCTGCTCACCGTTCTATGAGAAGCATGACAGCTTAGAATGCTGCAAAGCAAGTCGAAGGGATACAAACTTAGAAAGCAAAATACGATGCTGATGTTCAACAACTGTGGCAGGAAAGCAATCCTGCTAGTGACACCACCAGGGACACCAGTAAAGGCCAGAGGACATGGAAGCCTAAAGACTCTGCCGGGAGGGCGCAAGGGGACGGAGCAGGCCTGATGCAGGTCTGAGAGTCAGATTTTCCTTTACCTGTGCATCCTCCAGCTGGGCTTCCAAAGCGGTTTTGGCCAGTGCCAGCCCCTGCCTTTCCTCTGCCAGACGTGCCAGGGCCTCTTCCAAGTGCTGCTTCTCTTTCTGCCATAAAAGACAAGGTTATCTTCGAAAAAACTGAGGTGTCTCTCCCAAAGATACAACATTTCAAACTTCTGCCCATTTTGGAACTCCAAAACTTCTGCTCCCGTACAATGAGTCTACATATTCACCTAGTTTGGCTCTCTTTCTTGTGGCACCAATTCTGCTCTTTTATTTTTTTACCCAGCTCCTCAAACCAAGTGAAGGCAGCCCTGTTTAGAGAAGCTTTTAATGTTTGACGCACTATTGTGTTTTAATATTTTGTTGGAGGCTGCCCAGAGTGGCTGGGGAAACCCAGCCAGATGGGCGGGGTATAAATAATAAAATAAGAAGAAGAAGAAGAAGAAGAAGAAGAAGAAGTGGGCTTAGGGCCTCACCACCCTCCCTGCATGCCCCATGAGGGCCAAGGGATTGCCCTCTGAACCCTGCTATTGCAGCTGCACAGGGAGCTGCCTGGTGCTAAGTCGTGCCATTGGTCCACCTAGCTTAGTACTGTTTACACGGGCCAGCAGAGGCTCTCCGGGGTCCCTGGCCCCACCTGGAGATGTCAGCAGAGATCGAGCTGAGGGTCATCTGCATGCAGAGCTACAGCCCTTCCCCATTTATCTTACTCACATCCTTTGAAACCCTCCCTTGACACCCCCTGCCCAGCAGAAGTCAAGTGGGAGGGTGGGGGTTAAAGGAACCACATATTTGGAATATTTTCTATGAGAAGCTTTCCTGGAGTCAGTGGTGATGTCATCTGAGTGATGGGCAGATTTTTTTTCATTTGCCCAGGCAGCCCAACATGATGACTAGGTAGTTTTAGAGTTTTTATGCCCTTTCTTGGTTATGGTCCACTACTTTTGTTACTTTGCTTTCTTCATTCTATTTATTTTTGTAGGCATTTTTATTCTGCCTAATCCATGGTGTCCTTTGGGTGGTTCACAATTTAAAAATCAAATGAATTTATTATTACGGTCACAGACCAGTTCCAGCTCACTTACAATATCAGGAAAAACATAAAACACAACAGGAATACATTGAATTGCCATTGGGTATAACAGAGACAATTCAGATATAGTGGCAGTTAAAAATATATATTAAATCTTGATCACTAAAATATAACCTAAAATTGTCATTTAAAATCACTTAATCACTTTGGTAGTACAGCTTGTTCCCTAAGTTTTATGGCAGTCGCACAGAATTTGACCACCCTTAGCGTGATCTCTAGATCCTTGTCCTCTACCAGGAGTTTTAGACATTGAAGTTCGGACCCATTTGGAGATTTTTGTATAACAGGAGTGATAAATACCGAGCGTATATCCCCGTAGAAACAAAATCAAATAAATATACAATCCACAATGCTTTTAACAAACCAGGGAGTGATATTCAACTAAGTTTTACTCAGGGCAGACCCACTGAAATTAATGGGCCTAACTTAATTATATTCAGTGGGTCTACACTGAGTAAAAGGTGAATCTCACCCAGTGTGTGTGTGTGTGTGTGTGTGTGTGAAGGCAATAGCAGCACAAAGTTAATTTTAAAGTGTGTATCTTCAAGGGTGATTTTAGTTATTATTATTGTGTTGGCATCATTACTGTGTTCAACCTGACACTCTTATGCAGAAGGGTGACTTCTGTACAGTATTTACAAAATAAAGCAAATAAAGAAGAAACCATCTTGTTCAGACTTCACCTTCCTTACTCTGCCCAGCCCCTTGTTACAAGGCCCGCAAGCCATACTGGCTGGGGCTGATGGGAGTTGTAGATTGAAACATCTAGAGGCTCCAGACCGGCAAAGGTCACCCTAAACCCTTCCACTTGTGCCTTTGCTACAGCTGAACATTCAAAGCCACAGGTTTATTTTGGCTTCTAAACATGTCGGCTGTGGCTAAGCAGCGGATTAGTGGATTTGGATGATGGGCAGATTTTTTCATTTGCCCAAGCAGCCCAACATGATGACTAGGTAGTTTTAGTGTTTTTAGTGGGGTTTAGATAATAAAAAAATATATCTGTTATAAAACAACTAATAAACAAGCATCAGGTAAGGAGGGATGGGAAGTCAAGAAGAAACTTTGGATGTTAAAAAAATTGTATATGATGTTAAAAAAAATGTAGATGATGATAAATGCTTTGAAACATTTTTGGAGACTTAATAAATAGGATATAAAAAAACCACACATGTTGTGCATCAATGCTCACCTCATAGCTCTTTATTATTTCCTCCCTTTTCCCTCCTTCTCCTCTCATGCTCTCCAGCTCCTGCTGGAGTTCTTTGCTTTGCTTCTCCAGCTCTGCAATGGCTCCTTCCAACTCCTGGCTCTGCTCCACCATCTTGGCCACTTGAACTTCCGCCGTCCTCTGCATCTTTTCGGCCGCAGCCTTGGCACTGGACAGGGAGCCCATTTTCTAGGAACACAACACACAACATGGGTCAGAAGACGGCAGCTCCAAGATTTTGGTCTGGGCTGTACAATAAGACAGTTGCTGCTCGGTGCTCAACACAGACAGACACACACAGTGTATAGCATGTGCCTCCATTGGAAAGTCACACTGGCCTGTATCTGAAGAGATGGGCAACACTGGCCTGCAGCTCTCTTGAACCTCAAAGTACAGTGGTACCTCGGTTAAGTACCTAATTCGTTCCGGAGGTCCATTCTTAATCTGAAACTGTTCTTAACCTGAAGCACCACTTTAGCTAATGGGGCCTCCTGCTACCGCTGCGCTGCCAGAGCACGATTTCTGTTCTCATCCTGAAGCAAAGTTCTTAACCCGACGTAATATTTCTGGGTTAGCAGAGTCTGTAACCTGAAGCGTATGTAACCCGAGGTACCACTGTATGTGCCTTTACTTCACGGGTTGTACATGGAGACTGGAGGGGGCAGAATGGCTCTGGATTTAAAGTCGCAGAAGCCAAAGTCCTGCTTGCTGATGAATTTAGATGGTCTGACCAATTTGCTCAAAAAAGAGGCAACTTAAGCATTTGCGAGTGGGGAGGAGAGGATATGCTGGGTCATTACAAAGCAGAAATCAGGAAGCTGTTGAACCCTCTCAGCAGGTTGCTGGCACAGACTCCATCTGTTGCCTGCTGGACTTTGTTGATGTATTTGCTTAACACGCAGGCTTGGAGTTAGCAGATGGCCAAGGAGGGTGTCCTGAGCCTTTAAACGCAATTCCATCTTAACAAACACTGTTATAGAAGATCCTCCACCAGCAGATCTGCATCAGCAGAAACTCAGACTAGGCAGATATGAACCAGGAGAGTCCATGCTTCTCCCCTGGGATTCATCATTTGAACCATCTGCCATGGAGGAGGAGGAGACCATCGCATGACATATCTTAGAGAATCAGCATCAAAGCAGGAATGCCGTGAACAGGGAGAGGCAGTGAAGGAAGTGGCTTTGGGGCTCACGTAGTCTGTCTTCTAAATACAGTGGTACCTCAGGTTAAGTACTTAATTCGTTCTGGAGGTCCGTACTTAACCTGAAACTGTTCTTAACCTGAAGCACCACTTTAGCTAATGGGGCCTCTTGCTGCTGCTGCGCCGCCGGAGCACAATTTCTGTTCTGATCCTGAAGCAAAGTTCTTAACCTGAAGCACTATTTCTGGGTTAGCGGAGTCTGTAACCTGAAGTGTATGTAACCCAAGGTACCACTGTATATGGTTTCTATTTTCAACTCTGGTTTGCTGCAAGTCTACTAGGAAGAATATACCAGAGGGCAACAGCTTTGGACATCACTGGGCCCCACAGTGTGGAAAGGCAGGATTTAACAGGAATGGCTCACAATGGACAGCACTAAAACAGCTTCCTTGGCCATTGTCTCTAACCAAAAACGCACAATGGACACTGGGAATGGATCTGGGGTTGAAGAACTGGAATTAATTGACAGATACAATGGCACACCATGGAACGGCCTCCCCTGCGAGGTTGTGGACTCTCCTTCCTTGGTTTTTTAGCAGAGGTTGGACGGCCACCTGCCACAGATGCTTTAGCTGAGATTCCTGCATCACAGGGGGTTGGACTAGATGACCCTTGGGGTCCCTTCCAACTCTACGATTTTATGATTCTCTCAGGTTAGAATAGACTCTGGCTTCTTGCCAGCACCTGATGCAAGGGCCTGTCCCACTGGCTTGGCTAGCACCACTGGCCATTTGACTCCTCCCTTCCCAGAACTGTTCCCATTGGCAGCCTGCCACTCCATCATCTAATACTTTCTAAGAGTTGCTACACAAATTTGCCTATTTTGCTTTTCTCCTCCTCCTTCCTTTTCCCCGCTGTAACGTGCCTATCAGATTGAATGTCATTTTTTAAATTGCATGATTTGTTAGAAAGGCTGTAGCTAGCAGATAGCTAGCAAGATAGACAGATCAGGTAGGTCTGCCTCTGCTGTGGCTGCGCAGGTTTGTTCCAAGTTCTCACAAAGGAGAGCCGAGAGTTTTCTGCTCATTAGCAAACACTCCAGAGAGGGGCCTGCCTTTCCTTTGGCCTCACGCTGAAAGGACCTGCTGAGCCGCAGAGCTCAGTGAATGCAATGCTGAGGTCTCTCATAGCCCTCCAAGTGCTGGTCACACCCACGTTTAGGGACAACTCGAGTGCAACTTCCAGCGCCATCAACCTGGCACACTGGCTCTTGTCATGCGGGCAGCATGGCTTTGCAGCTCCCATGTGGTAGTGGGAGAGACAGAAACGGGAGGAAAGAAATAACTCTCAGAGGGGCTTTCACAAGGTTCTTTGGACGTGCATTCTGCCATGTGGCTCCGTACAAAGATGCCGGTGGCAGTTTTCTAGCCAGACTACAAGAAGGCAAGGGCCATAGGGAGGAGTTGGCACAGAGATGGTACTGGAAGCACCAGTCTTTCCAAACTCTGTCTTACTTTCTATGGAGCATTTTAAATTGGATTAATTGAAACAGAGCAGAGAAGGGAGTGTGTGTGTGTGTGTGTGTGTGTGAGAGAGAGAGAGAGAGAGAGAGAGAGAGAGATCTCCATCCCCAACGTCCTTTGCACAAAACTGAACCCTTTTGGATGGGGAATGACTTTGGGCTGCTGCCTGCTCTCCCTAATGTTTATCAGCTCCTCGATGCCAATTCATCTGCCCCTTTCGGCTCCCCAGAGCTCACCAGTAAAGAGCCATGCTATGAGAACCTATTCCAAGGATTTCTGCTCCCCCCCCCCATGTTATTTAGAATCACAAGGCTGGCAGGAAGGGGGGGAAGGGGGTGTACGAGCAAAAGCTGTTGAAGGCTACCCAAAGCTGTGTGACCGGCACTTAGTCACCAACCGCCACAGGTCTCCAACGACCTTGGCAGCTATGCAAAGGTTACACTTTCGCTCAAATGAGCTGCCCTTTAACCAGTTCTCCCATGCATTGCGGTACAAAATGTTTTTAAGAGGGATTTGTCCCACTGCCACCATCCTGTTATCCTCGGACCAAACACTGCTAAAGGAATCCCATTATGCACATGAAAGTGAAAGCTGAGGGAGATTATGTTGTTCATAGCTCAAGACTGAATGGCCGGGATGTGGGTATGTAATATTTCAAATTAATACTTTGCAACTGTGCATTAACCAACTCCTCGCTGATCACTCTCAATATCTGCTGCTTATTTATAGGGTTTAAAACAAGAAATCCATAGAGATGATCTAGTCTTCACTTCAACCAATATCTCTACCCAAGCTTTCCATTTAAAAAAGAAGCTAACTGTACAAACAAACAAAAGAATATGAGGGAAATATGGGACAAGGAGGAAAATACAGCTCAGCAGAGTCCTGTGCTAAAAACCAGGAGAGGTACGGTAATACCTGAATACAGAATCATTGTTAAAAGGGCACCTCCCTCAAACAGTCTTCCTTGCAGTAGCCTCAATGGAGCAGGATAGGCCTCCTTCTGAGGACGTCCCATAGTTCTGGCACAAAGACATGTCTCGTGTGCCCACTCACAGGACCTCAGGTGGTGGAAGAGAGAGAAGGAAGGGCCTCTGGTGTCCATTGAAGAGTCCAGGTAGAAAATTTGTGGGTGGAGACAGTCCCAGGATTGGAACCAATAAAGATGTTACAGAACTGGAGGATTATCTTGCTGCAGCTAATACTCTGGCAGCTGCCATTTCAGTCTTACGTTTCACATTAGACAGAGAAGACACCTCCTGCTCTATATATCAAAGGACTGCAGGATTTTATAATGCTCTCTTTTTCCAAATGTACCACCTATTTCAATACATGGACTCTACTTGAAAGATCTGTGTATCAGTGTATATGGAAACCACCTCCTAAGGATCCCAACAGCCTCAATCTGGTCTGTGCACCTGCCTCATCTCCCACAGCTGGAAGAAATGTGGGCAGAACGAGGTAACTGCTAGGTGGATTTGTAGCTGGTTGATTGAGTACTCATTGATGGTTCCTCATCATCCTGGGGGAAAAGTGATACAGGGTTCTGTCCTGGGCCCGTTGTAGTTCAATGTCTTTATAAAAATGGGCCGACATAAAGGAGTTCCTAAGAAGGATAGAGTTTGCGGCTGCAACTCTGTGTCAATCAAAGACATAACTCATGTACTCCTTGGGTGCCCATTTTATAACAATCTTAGAAACAATTACATCCATCCATTGTTAAGATCGCAGAAGGGAGGTACATCTCTTGCAGACTTGATTTTTGTTGTCTGATGTAGAGAGGTATATATCCTTTAGAACAATTTTTTTGCCAAGGCTTTACAAATTCATGTAATAAATGAGGAATAGGAAATCATTTATCGTCTAAAGGTCGGGGAGCAGAAATGTAAGCCACTATAAGCAGTATTATTATTATTATTATTATTATTATTATTATGTGTATAATGTAAACACAATAAACTGAACTGAACGTCTTTATGACTTGGATGAAGGAATTGAGGGGATGCTCATCAAATCTGCAGATGACACCAAACTGGGAGGGTGCCCCGGGATGCGAGTGAAAGTCACACGCCGGCAGTGGGAGGCGCCATTAGCGAAAGTGCACCTCATGTTACGAGCTGTTCCGGGTTGAGAACGGACCTCCGGAATGAATTAAGTTTGTAACTGGAGATACCACTGTAGAAGTAACTCCAGAAGTAACTCTATTAAATATCTTCCAGGACAACAATGCAGACGTACACAACAAGGAACTCATAAGTCACTTAATCTCCGCAGCTAGAAACATCATAAGTAGACCCTGGAAAGACCTATCAGGAGCAAACATAGACCACTGGAACCAAAATGTATGGGAAACTGCCCTACTGGAGAACTTGGCCAACATACTTAAACTAGCACGGGGACAAGCAAAGGAAGACACCTTCATCCCAGTGTGGTTCCTCTTCATCACATACACAGCAAAACAAGACAATGACCTACCCCCACAACAACATACAAACCAATATGTCTAACCTGACCAAACAACCACCCCCACATATAAACAAGCCACACTGCAACCAACTGAACGCAAGCAATCAAACTCTAGACCCTCCAACATCTCGCAATGCCAATGAAGATAAATATACAGTGGTACCTCGGGATGCGAACGAGATCCGTTCCAGAGCCCCATTTGCATCCTGAATGGAACGTAAGACACGACGGTGCGTCTGCGCGTGCGCAGGTGGCATTTTGCCGCTTCCGTGCATGCCATCATTTTGAGTGTCTGTGCATGCACGAGTGGCGAAACCTGGAAGTAACGAGCTCCGTTACGTCCGGGTTGCCACGGAGCGCAACCCGAAAGTGCTCAACCTGAAGCACATTCAACCCGAGGTATGACTGTATAAATATATAAATATTGGACCTACCCATCTCTTCCCCCAACCATAAGATGTCTATGACATTAGTGTCTCATACTGAACAATAACGAACCGTGAAAAAGACTCTATGAATCAAAAGTGGTGATGCTATATGTACTTTCCCTTGTGTATTTGTCAGTTTTGTAAAACAAGAACATCTTCAGTAAAAACTAATGGAAAAAAAGAAATAACATGATTTTTTGAAACAAAAGCACATTACACTTTAAAAGAGATTTAATGTTTTGTTTGTTTGTTTGTTTGTTTGTTTGTTTAATGGTCCTGAAAGCCTCAAAAGTGCTGCTACTAATCCCAAATCTAGGCTAAGAAAAGATTCAGCTGCTCGAGTGAAGCGGGGGGAGCATCTCTGATTTGTGTTGTGGCCAGATCCTGGGGGTCTCACCTGAACGGTGTTCCGTACCTGAGAAACAGATAGCTTCTGGATCTGCCCAAAAGCACTGTTGTTTCCTAACAACTTGGGTTACGTATAACAAGAATGGCACATGGGGGAAGCACTGTGTAAGGAACACCATATCCTCTCCCTACTTCCCCCCCCCCCCGCCCTGCACAAACACTAATCAAACATACACAGATACACAGCCTTGGGATACAGCAGCAGCCAGGTTAACAACACCGATTTGTTCCAGATGCCCCAAAACCAACAGCAGAGTGTTTAAAGGCTACACAAAGTTTGGAGTTAGATGCCTGTGCTGGACTAACCTTGTTTTACTGTAATCCCACCCCACCCCCACCACGCTCTGCCCTCCTTCATTTGTGATTCACAGCGGCTCTCCCAAGGGTTAAAACATGATTACTTGATTTAACACAAAGCACAGAATACAAGCCACAGAACCGGCCGTGCAAGATTCCTGCAGGCAAAGGCCAGAATCACCTGCTCACTTATTCAGATAGGCTGAGAATATCTCAAGAACCTAGGTGGAAAAAACCCACTTAAAAAAGGGCCTTCAGTGGCCGGCCGGCCTGGCCTTGAACCTGAGCTTTTCACTTCTGAGACTAATTCCTTGCAACACTCCGTGTGTGCCAAGAAGGCATGGGAGGGGGCACATGGCCTGGCTGGTGCGCCACAACAAGAGCAGCGCACTGCGCTGGTTTGAAGGGTGGGTTTCTTTTAACACAGACAATGGCAACTGGCAATTTTGTTAGGCTTGGTTGCAAAATGCAGCAAGTATTTCTTAGGAAGGCACCTGGGATGACACAACCTCCCACCCCAGGAGCTGATGCCAATCTGTACAGAAGTCAGCCAGCAATACACTGAGAAGGAGAAGATGGGGAGGTGGGAAACCCCCAGGCCAAATGCCAGCTCAGCCACAAACTTGTCAGGCTGCCTGTGGCAAATTGCTGCCCTTTCACCCCCAGTGCCATTGGTGCCACACTAGAGGGCAGAGGCTTTGGGCCCCATGCGGCAGGAAGGCTCTGAGCACCGCAGGGCTGGCTTGCCACATTGAGACATCAGCCAAGCACAACACATTGTCCTCTAAAGAGAGAACCCCTCATAAGACCAAAGCCTTAAATTACTGCACTGCACCTCTGCTCAGCCCCCACCCACTCCATCTGCAAAACGGAGATAAAAATGACCAAGTTGATGTGTCTGCCGAAGCTGGTGCCCTCCATATTTATTGGACTACAATTCCCATCATCCACGATCACTGGCTATGTTGGCTAGGGCCAATGGGAGTTGTAGTCCAACAACATCTGGAGGGCACCAGCTTGGCAGGTCAACTTCAAATTTTCTCCTACATGTGCTTCTACTTTGGTGATCTGGGGGTTAAGAAAGAGAAGAGCCTCGTTAGTGGTGGCCCCCCGTTAAACTCCCTTTTTGCAAATGTATACCCAGCACTTTTGCTGGCCCTAGGGAAAGTGCCTGGCCTATTCATCCTTTAATTACTCAATTCAGCTGTTATTTTTAAGTAACAATGTTGTCTTGCTTCCATTTTTATATTTTGCTACTGTTTCAACCCTTCTGCTAGAAATATTTTAACAAAATACATAAACATAAAATGTAAATGAGAAGCACATAAGGCAGAACTAGGCATTTCTGACCACCTGGGCCTATAGCCAAAGCCAGCTTCCCAGCATCTCTCCCCACCCCCACCCCATTCCAGGTCCACTATATAAAAGGTACCATAGATGGTGTAACTGCAGAAGAAGCCCACAAGACTCCCTAGTGGAGGGCAATATCTGCAGGGGCACCAGTTCTGCAGTGCAACCTAAGAGGCACATGCTGCTCAATGGGCTAGCACAGCAACCAAGAAAGCTATCCACTTTGGTGACCAAAACGGATCCAAGTCTCTCCAACACAAATTCTTCCTCTCCTGCTTCCAAAATGCCGCTTTCCAATGTGTCAGAAGCACAACTCTAGCTGCTACTGCACCCTCCCCCTCAAGTGCACAAATCAATCTGGGCAGATCTGCAACATGGCTCAAAAATTGACTCCCTTGGGAGGTTGTGGACTCTCCTTCTGTAGTAAAGTTGCCCCCAGCCGCTCGCTCCTCCCTCACCTGTCTTTGCTCTCCGGCCAGATCAGGTTTCTTGAGCAGGGCTGGCAGGCAAAGTTACGTTATACAGAAGCAGGACAAAATCACACCGGTAGAGCTGCCACCACTCCCTCTGTTCCGGGAAACCTAGAGTCACAACCCAGGGAGTAGGCTGTACCCTGTTGTTACTGGTTATCCCCACTCCACAAGTTGAATCCACAAACTTGCAGACAGAAGTTTTACGGTAAAGCGTAACTAAGCGTAAGGCTAGGACTTAGACTTTCCCCCCGGAAAGGCACACAAACCCAAACAGTTTCTTATTTAAAATTTATTTTAAAAGAACATAAGAAAACATGCTAAAATAGCAGGCACATCTTTAGTAAGTTACAGACAAGAAAAATAAAAACATTGTGAAATCTAGCTAGCTTGCATACTCACAACTAAAGTACAAAAGAAATAGATAGAGTCCTTTCAAGGTTCCGCAGTTCAAAGGCTTTCGCAGATCTCCAACACAAAGGATGCAAAGACAGCTACTTAGATGGGACATTAGCAGCCGGGCGATTTGCGGATTGCAGAGCGCACTTTCTCAGCCATTTCCCAGGTCTTTTAACCCTGATTCACACGTGGCGTCGGAACCCCCAAAACCAATCATAACTCTTGATTATTTTTAAATTCTCCAATGACCGGCTTGTGAACTAATCAATCTAACTTCTGGCAGCTGGGCCAATTAAGAACCCAGAGCCTCAATCAAAGGTTGTCCTCCCTTCCTTGGCGCCTCTGCAGATGCACATTCCCAGGCCATTAAGGCCAGATAACATCACTAACGGAATGCGCAGAACTTGGACCCAGGTGTCAAGCCTTCCATTAAATCAGGGGTTTCCTCTCCCATAATAAAACTTTCACACCCTGGGTGCCTGTTAGTCTGGGGTTAAAGGGACAGAACTTATTTCCCATGGTCCTTGTGGCTTGTTGGTTACCCACAAGGCCTCACTCTCATTGCTTGACCAAGGAACAACTTCTAAATGATACTAGCTTTACTACACCCTCCCCCCTAAGATGAAATTACAGGGTTAAGTCCCGCAATTTCATCCAACAAAATATATACATTGAGGTAGTTGGACCAGTCTGGGGGGGCAGCAGCTCCCAAAATCATTAGCACCATCCCCCAGTCTGATATTTACACAGTTGCAAGACAATAATCACCAATAGTTTTTTTTTTCAGCTGAGAATTCAGGCAAAATACACCTTAATACTTCATTTAACAGATTGATACATCCTAGACAAGGTATCAGCAACCACATTGTCCTTCCCAGCAATATGTGTGACGTTAAACTGGAAGTCCTGTAAGGCTAGACTCCACCGAAGCAATTTCTGGTTGGATGCCTTTACTCTCTCCAGCCAACAAAGTGGGGAGTGATCCGTTTGAACTTCAAAGATGTTGCCCCACAGATAAGAACGCAGTTTGGTCAGAGCCCAGACCAAAGCAAAACACTCTTTCTCAATGGCTGAATAATTTTGCTCCCGGGTTATCAGTTTTTACTCAGGTAAACCACGGGACGCCAATTTCCCTCTTGATCTTCTTGGAGCAAAACTGCTCCCAGCCCGGTCTGACTGGCATCAGTTTGTACCACAAACGGACGTCTCTGATCTGGGGCCAACATAACCTGGGAACTCACAAGGGCATGTTTTAACAGATCAAAAGCCCGTTGACACTCTTCAGTCCAATCTACTTTCACTGGCAAAGATTTCTTACAACGGTTGGTAAGAGGAGCAGCTAATGTGGCAAAATGATTGACACCCTTCCTATAATAATTTACCAACCCTATGAACGACTGCACATCTTGTTCCACCACGGGGCGGGGCCAATCTTGAATGTTTTGCACCTTGGCCTCTAGAGATTTGACGTTTCCTGACCCCACCCTGAATTCCAAGGGAATCACTTTTCCTTGAGCAAACTGACATTTATGTTTCTTTCTGGTCAGGTTTGGATCTTGCACTCGAGCCAAGACACTCTGCACATGCTTAAGGTGTTTTGGCCACAAATCAGAAAGAATCAACTTAACTTCTTCCAATCCCTCCCATTTTCCTCTGAGCATACCCAAAGAATCTTCTAGGGGTTTGCCAAAACCCAACACAAACTCTGAATTCCTTGAGTAGATTTCAACCAAAACTCCCAACAGATTTTGAACACAGGGATTGGGCAACATGGAATTCCAAGCAAACCTGAAAACATTTTTGCTCATAACATCATCATCCTGTTTCCTAGGACTGAGATTCTGTAAAAGACCCACCAAATTCAATTTCTTCTTTACACAAACATTTGCATCATAAAACATCTTTTGAAAAGCAATAAACACATCATCAGGGTCTTTAAAGTCCTTGAGCTGTGGGTAAAGAAATTCTTTGTCAGCCCCAACAGAGATAAATTCAGTCTCACCAGGGGAGTTTCTGCAGCTTCCCGGCAACCTAGGAGAGAATGACCAAAAAACTCAAAACTTCCTACAGCGGCTTGACTGGGCTGGGCTGACCCCCCTCCTTCTGCTTGCCTCTCAGCTTTTGGTTGATAGGGACCGCTTGCATAGTTCACAGTCTCTGCTACTAGGTTTGCTGCAAGCTGCTGCAACGGAACTGCAGATTTCAAAGCATTTCCCCCCCACAATGAAATTTGCACTAACTTGGGGTTCAAGAACTGGAACAAAAGGATCCCCCATACAATCCTTGGAGGTAAGCACATCAGCAGTTGCAGGTGGGGGAAATTTAATTCCCCCACCAGAATTACTCTTCTGGAAGTCAGGCTGGTTCCATTGGGACAAAACTGAGTCTTTTGATAAAGTCCCGGTAACAGAGTCCATACTTTGAAAAGAAGGCACAACAACTCGATGAACCCTGGGGATTACGTCAGACGCTGAGCAGGGCCAATTAACACAGGGAGTGGCAGTGCGTATTAAGCCAACCCTCCTCCCAACCAATTTCTCAGATACTGCAGTCTCAACAGTCCCAGTAGTTTCGGGAGTTATAGCATCAGGCGCTAGACTTCCACCTTCCCCATCCGGGACAAGATTCTCCTCAGCCCTCAAACCTTGAGGTGTTGTTCCCCAGTTCTCCATCCCCTGTACCTGGGTGGGTGAAACCTTAATGGAACAAATGTTGACTGTATGTTGTTGCTGGTGAACCCGGTATCCCAAATCATTACCAACCAGGACAGGACTTTTACACATCTTCGGGTCATGCACTATAACTAACATTTTTCCTTGAAAACCCATATACGAAATTGGAATAATAGCAGTAGGTTGAAAAATCTCTTTCACCCCATAGGGACTAATTTTCATGGGTTTATCCTGCATTTGTATAGGCATAACCAAATCACGGGACACACTGGTAATATCTGACCCTGTGTCTCTGAAAGAGTTCACAGCAATCCCGTTGACTTCAATGGGCGCTGTAAACTCCGAAATAGCCCACTTCACATGCGGCGCATTTGGATCAGCACTGGTACCCACAGGTCCCACTATAACAGCATTAGAAGTGGCTTCAGCTGTTCCAGGAGCCATAACGTCAGGAGCTGCCACACCCTTCCCATCCAGGATCGGGGTTTCCCCAGCTCCGGCTTTTTGTTGTTCCCCTTCCCAGTCCTCTTCCTGCCGCTGAATCAGGTGCACGGCAGGGGTGGAAGTGAGAATAGGAGGCTTTTGGCTACCCAGCTGGGGGCAAGCCGCTTTTACATGCCCCGGTTGTTTACAAAAGAAACACAGTCCAGAGGTTGGGGACAATTTGGTACGTTCTCCCCCTGCTACAACAGAGTCTTTTGCAGACGTCAGGAAACCTTTGCTTTGTTCCTTAATGGGGGGAGCAGACTTCCCCATTGAAACTGCTGGTTTACACACATTACTTGGTCCCTTGTTGGTCCAATGGGAGCGGTTAAGCCTAAAAGACTCAGCAAAGGTGGTGGCTTCCGTTAGAGTTCGTGGCTTTTGGTCTGCAACCAGACTAGCAATTTCTGAGGGCAGGGAACGCATCAGTTGTTCAATTAATATAAGCTGTTTGAATCCTTCAAAGTCCCCCACCCCTTCAGCGGCAAGCCACAGTTCGAAGTTTTGAGCCATTTTTGCTGAGAAAACTGCAATATTATCACTGAGCCCCGACTTCTCTACTTTTCGAAAAGCCTTTCGATAATTCTCGGGGTGCAATCCATGCCTCTGCATGACTAACTTTTTGAAACTTTCATAGTCATTGAGTTCAGATGAGGGGAGGTGACCCATAAGCTCTGCCAGGTCACCACAAACTAGGGGCGCAGAACAGCCATATACATAGTTGGAGCAACTCCCATGTCCTTGCAAGTTACTTCAAAAAGAGTCAGATAACTCAGAACGTCAGTGGGGGGCTGATATTTCGGGAAGACCCTCCAATTAAGAGTACTCAAAGACAGTCCTGGAGGGGACTGTTGGCGGTGATTTCCCCTCACTGGAACAAGTTCATACCTCGGCGCAGGGTTTTGAAGCGCCGGCCCGTCCGGGCGTACCGGTTCAGCTGCCGTTGCGAATCCACGCTTGGGTCGCTGAAAAAACTCCTCCTCTTCCTCTGCCACATACCGTCGCACCGGCACGTACACCTCTTGAGCTCTGACTGGCGAGTAGACTCTACCCGGACTGAGTGACCGCTGTCTCTCCATCCGGCGGACGTCGGGCGCGCCCGCTTCTCGGCGGCAGTCTCCCACAGTCACCTCCTGCAGCTGGTGCGGCAGATCTTTGTAGTCATACGCCATCCGGCTGACTCTCGGCCCCATCAGGATGGATTGGCCCATTTTTGGATGTTTCTCTCGGCAACGGAATCCACCATTCACCGGATCTCGCATCCACTCCACATCATAACCTTCTGAGAAATCCATCTCTTTAGGCTCTGTGTAAACAAGATAGTTCCCCCTCGGACGTGTGGAGGCATCCACTTCCTCACGAGGCGATAGGGGTTGGGTAACTGGCGTGCCCCTTGCTCTTTCCGCAATACAGGACTCTCGCCGACCCCTCCGGACAGTACTTAACTCGCTGGCATCCACCAGCTCCCCCTCTGATTCAGGGTCTTCTGAAAACCAGGGGGCGGATTCCGCTCTGGGGCTTAAAGCTTGGGGGGGATTGGTCTCCACAGGAAGGGAATTGCTTCCTCCCACCAATCCCCACTGGTCTAATGTCTGCAAGGTGCATTCCTGCGACGACGCGGCATCCATCTCCTAACTATCTCTAGCCAAAAAAATAAACTACCTGTAACTCCCAAAAGATACGTGCCAATTTAAAAAAATTCAAAGTGCCTTTCCGCAGGGAAGCTCGATCCCACCGCTGCCACCATGTAGTAAAGTTGCCCCCAGCCGCTCGCTCCTCCCTCACCTGTCTTTGCTCTCCGGCCAGATCAGGTTTCTTGAGCAGGGCTGGCAGGCAAAGTTACGTTATACAGAAGCAGGACAAAATCACACCGGTAGAGCTGCCACCACTCCCTCTGTTCCGGGAAACCTAGAGTCACAACCCAGGGAGTAGGCTGTACCCTGTTGTTACTGGTTATCCCCACTCCACAAGTTGAATCCACAAACTTGCAGACAGAAGTTTTACGGTAAAGCGTAACTAAGCGTAAGGCTAGGACTTAGACTTTCCCCCCGGAAAGGCACACAAACCAAAACAGTTTCTTATTTAAAATTTATTTTAAAAGAACATAAGAAAACATGCTAAAATAGCAGGCACATCTTTAGTAAGTTACAGACAAGAAAAATAAAAACATTGTGAAATCTAGCTAGCTTGCATACTCACAACTAAAGTACAAAAGAAATAGATAGAGTCCTTTCAAGGTTCCGCAGTTCAAAGGCTTTCGCAGATCTCCAACACAAAGGATGCAAAGACAGCTACTTAGATGGAACATTAGCAGCCGGGCGATTTGCGGATTGCAGAGCGCACTTTCTCAGCCATTTCCCAGGTCTTTTAACCCTGATTCACACGTGGCGTCGGAACCCCCAAAACCAATCATAACTCTTGATTATTTTTAAATTCTCCAATGACCGGCTTGTGGACTAATCAATCTAACTTCTGGCAGCTGGGCCAATTAAGAACCCAGAGCCTCAATCAAAGGTTGTCCTCCCTTCCTTGGCGCCTCTGCAGATGCACATTCCCAGGCCATTAAGGCCAGATAACATCACTAACGGAATGCGCAGAACTTGGACCCAGGTGTCAAGCCTTCCATTAAATCAGGGTTTCCTCTCCCATAATAAAACTTTCACACCCTGGGTGCCTGTTAGTCTGGGGTTAAAGGGACAGAACTTATTTCCCATGGTCCTTGTGGCTTGTTGGTTACCCACAAGGCCTCACTCTCATTGCTTGACCAAGGAACAACTTCTAAATGATACTAGCTTTACTACACCTTCCTTGGAGGTTTTTAAGCAGAGGTTGGATGGCCATCTGTCATGGAAGTATAGCTGAGATTCCTGCATTGCAGGGGCTGAACTAGATGACCCTTGGGGTCCCAACTCTGTAATTCTAGGATTCTGTTGCTAAAGTACAGCTAAGTCCTTGCAGCTCAGGAGGCCCATTTAACTACACAGCTAAGTGTGACTCACAACATTCCCTTCATGTCAGAAGGAAGCCAAGTTCAAAGCAGATTTTCAGTTTCTGGCCATCTTGGATGGGCCCAAGAGTTGCCCTGCAATCCTGCTGATGAATTTACAGAAAAGACTTAGTGCTGAATGTGGAGTAAGCTGGTTATCTTAACTGGATATAAGAATATCACCGTCTGGACAGTTTAAAAAACAAGCATATTGTGGGTTGGGAAAACAACCCCTGCCCCACAGGTCAAGCGAGCAGTCTGGCCATACAACAGCAGTTTAGAGAGTTTGCTTAGCTTAGACACAGTGGGGCGAAAAACTGTATCAACAAATGAAGGTGGAAAATAAGGCTGGATTTTGTTTGTTTTGCTTTAACTCTCAAAGCAGTTCTTATAGTAAATAACCTTTCCTCCTTTGGGTCAAAGAATAACTGGACACAATGCTGAAGGAGACCCAGTGACTTATCTTCCAACACTTCAGTTGTGACCCACCTAAGTTATAGGCCAACTCCCTTCCAGGGATACAGTGATGTAGCAGCCCCAAGATAATGGATCTGAATTCTGACTCTCAGTACTAAAATCCTAGAAGGAATTGGGTGTGTACATCGCCTGAGAGATTATTGTATACTTAGCCTAATTATCAAAAGGCATGCTAATAACAGACAGTGGGGGCTGGATTAACCCATTTTACCTTGGTAGTTTATCACTCAGAATTAGGGTTTAGTTGAAAGGAAGATCACTGGACTTCCTTCTGAAAGCTTCTAATCTAACATCTAAACTTAAATTTGAACTCTAAATTGAAGGCTTCTCCATTTGGGATGCCATTAAAAGCTGAAAACTAGGAGACAGGCAAGTCTGACTCATTAGACATTTCCACCAATGGCAGGAGGCTTCTGTAGCACAGAATCGCTTTAGGGAGACTTCAACAGGTAAAATATCCAATTAATCATGATCTGTGTTAATTCCAAAAGAGGCAACATGGGCATAAAAATACCTTGGGTTAGCTCAGTTCCTGTCACTCATTTCAAAGTCCCCACCCCCAACCCATTTTCTGACTTGGCAACAAAACCTGGCCTGACACAAAACTTTTGGAGATAACACGTGTGCTGGAATAACAGCTTTTCTGGATTTCAGAAATTTCCCCACCAAAGTGGGGGGAATGTGTGCAACATCAAACACTATTTTTGCCTCAACTCCATGCCACCGTCTTCACGCTTTGCCTACAAATATGAAAAAAATGAATACCTCTAGCGTGGGCTTGCTGTGGGAACGAACCATCCCAGTGGCAGCCTGCTCATCACTTGAGGGGCTACAACATCATGTGATGGTTTGTCTGTGTTATGGACCATCACCACAGACCAAGTGTCACAGGCAGACTGTTCACATCACTTGGCATTGGACATTGAGCCTTTGGTGCAATCCGTTCACATCTCGGCTGGAAGACCTGCTCCCTGCCTTGCAGGACTTTTCTACCTGCCATGGGAGGCTGACGCCCTGACTGACTCCAGCTACCAAAGCTGAGGTGGCTGAACAGACTCTTGGGTTGGGGAATTGTTTGAGGGCGGCGTTGTTGCTGTTAGGAGGGATTATGTTGCTGTTATTAGTGCCCTAATTGTTTTAAATGTTTTAATTGTTTCTAACTGCTTTTTAACTTGTGTGTTTTTTAATTTGGGGATGTTGTTGTTTTAAATCAAGGGACATAAGACGTCCCTGGGAAGAGAGGAGCTGGGGAGAGCAAGGGCGACTGGAAACTGGTATATTTAGCAGTACATCCAGCCTCTGGATAGTCCAATGGAGCCACAACTAGCTTTCTCTTTGTCCATGAATTTGCCTAATCTCCTTTAGTCATTGCCAGATGCTGCAGCTATTGAGTGATGGCTTGCTGTGTGTGAACCAAGGTGCAGTTTGAGTCAAAAGAGGACTCCAGAGCCTTGTTCCTGGGTTAATAACAGAGTGTGTCACTCCTATCTTTGATTACCACGTACAGTTCATGCTAAACAAGCCACTTCATTCACAGCATAAACACAGCCTAACGTGGCTACAAGCAGCCAGAGCAGGAAAAGGATTAACCTATCAACAAGTGGTTATTTCAGGGCTGTGTTATCCTCTTAGCCGTACATTGCTTCTGCCACACTCTGTTTGCTCGGCTCTCCAGCACAGCCAAGGTCATACCAATCGAGTAGAAGATTAACTCGCGTTCCCAGCAATGGCCTGGGTCTCGCTAGACGGGTGGATTGTTTTCCCTCAGGGCCTCAACCTGTGGAATTGTTAGGCTTTAAGCAGGGAAACCCCAAAGCTCCCGCCCTACCGATATAGGTTTCCCTGTTTCAGATGTGACACCATCAGATAGAAGTATTCTGCTTGCTTCTAGATAGCCTTAGGAAAAGAGCGAGACTAGACTGCAGGAGAACTGGGCCAAGCTTTGAGAACTAAGGCAGCGTGGCATGTCTTACACCTGATACCAGGGGCAGCATGAAAACGTTTTGGTGCCCAAGACAGACCAACTCACTTCTTAAATCAACTACTGTACAACACAGAGCACTGGGAAATTCTCCTGCACAAGCCCCACTGAAATGAATAAGAAAGAATACAGCCAAGCTCTTTTTCCATCTCATGTTCGTGTCAGTGGGGTTTGTGGTAGAGAACTTCCTGATGGGCCGGGCCCAATCTCTCTCTGCACCCCTTCATAGCACCAAAAATTCAGCAGCAGAGGGAAGTCGCTTCACATGGCCTCTGGCCAGGAAGTGCCACATTGTGCTATGCGCTGCTGCTTCATGGGGCCTTTATGGCTGTAATTAGTGCTGCAGCCAAGTAGATAAGAAAATGATTTTTAAAAACCCAAACACAGAAAGGCAAACAGACGATTCAGTTTAATGGAAATGGAGTAATAAATGGAAATAACAGAACAGCAGAAGATTTTGACACCTCTGCCAAACAGTAAGCTGGTTATATAAAGTTCAGTTAGGCCAAAAGAATTAACATGGGAGGGTTTTAACAAAGTGGCTCAAATGAAACTTCCAGATATAAATAATGTCAGCTTGACAAACAATAAGAACCACATGATTACCCTTCTGTGCAGAATGTTAGGTTTTTTTAACCACATGGTGTGTGTTTTTTAACTGCTAATATAAACATATATTTGCCAGATCTTTCAGCCAATTATTGACAATCAAGCAGAACATCCCACTGGGATATGCAATTATCTGTATTCAGGGGCTTCTCTGCAGCAGCAACTTGACTACAGAATTCCCTCGCACTAGAGGTGTGATCAGCACTGATCAGGCCTTCAGGTACCAAGTTAAAATGTCCTTCTTCAAGCAGACTTGCTCTTGGTGGAAGTGATCAGCCTCAGATCAGGTCTTGGAATCCAGGCAGATTATGCCTGCTGCTGTATTTTGTCTCATTCTTTTAAACTGCTCTTTTACTCTTCTATTCATAGTTTAAATGTTACTCATTTTGTAAACTGACCTGGAATTTGTTTGAATGAAGGATGGTTTAGAAATGCAACAAATAAACAACAAAACATCTAAAGGAACTCCTTTTACTTCCAATATCCACCCACCCACAAGGCAGATTTAAGTAGGCTTGAGTAGGAGAACTGCTCAGTTCTGATAAGTCACCATTTCCACCACGCAACCAGAAAAATCGAGTGAAATCATTGTGCAAAAAGCAGGGACAGTCAACAATACCAGCTGTCCCCAACCTGGTGCTCTCCAGCTGTTTCCAAATTCCCACCAGTTTCAGCCAGTGCAACTGTATAATGCTGGGGCTGATCAAAGTTGCAGTTCACAACAGCTAAAGGGCACCAGGTTGGGGACATGTGAGCTATGCAATGCACTAAGAATACACCAGAGAGGTAGAATGCTGGGAAGGGACGCAGTGAAGGGCCAGCCCCCTGCCCCCTCACCAATATATGCATGGCAGAGCAGGGGGGTGGCTGTGGAAGCCACAGGAAAAGGGTCAAATTGGCAGCAGAACTGGCTCCTTCCCACCAGCTCTTGCTACTGAAGATTGCTGGTGAAATTCACCCAAAACATCGGTGGCCTATGCCTAAGCCACAGGCAGGAAGCAAATGAGGGCTGCCTGTGTTAACATATCTTATTGTTATTACTGCAATATGATATTCACAATGGAAAATGTGGTCTGGTCAGATTAAAAACTGAATGAATCTAGCACACTCAAGATTAAAGGGACTGACCGGGAGGAGGGGAAGGATGACGGCATCAGAGCCTTTGAGTTTCCACAAAGTGTTTAAAGGGATAATCTGTGCCTTGCAGGCTTTGTCTAATGACTTGCCAAGACCATTAAATAGATTTTTACATGTGCATGGACTCAGCTTCACAAGGATGCTCTGTGGAGGCCAAAGAAGTTCTGCTACAGGATGCAGATTGGCTTTTACATTCCGAACATGCAGCAAATAAACAGAGCAAAGTATCTGAAATGGGAGGCAAATGTTTATTCCATTTTTGACCAGTTGGCCAGGAAGCAACAAGCGAGTGGCTTATGTGTGCCATTCAGTGTGGCAAAGTAGGGGGGACAGGCAACTGTGGCTGGGCTACAATCCACCAGGATGTATGAAGCTGCTTCATTCCCAGGGCTGGGAATACATTTTAACACCTTTGGTTCCCCCTTCACAAACAGAGAAGTCCCTGGGATGGGCACTTAAATCTTATATCAAAGTGGGCAATAGCACAGTACCCTTCACTGCACCAGCAGAGGGCAGCAGGCAAGTGGGTGGGGTGCACAGTTCTGTCCTCTCTGCGCTCCTCAACAACAGCTACAGGAACCAAAAAAAATCATGGGCCAGCACAAATCTTCCACCAAAGGAGAAGGGAAGAACATGAGACCAGCCTTCCACCATGCCACTTAATTTCTCCAGCTAGCTGAGTCCAGTCTCCCAAGTGGCAGCGCTTTCCAGATTCCCTGGGATTGAACCTTATGCATGCAACTCGGGGGCTCTGCCTCTGGACTCTGATCCTCTCCCCCCCAGGAGGGCTTATGGGACCCTAAAAAGGACCTAAGTCAGGACAGGAGAGCATCCCATACTTGCCAGGAGATCTTCTTGCTCCATTTCAAAGGCCTTCTTCACTCCTCCCCACAAGTCTGCATCCTCCTCCTGAGTCTGAACCCCAATTTTCTACCCCTGCTTCCCCAGTTCCTATTAAGGGAAGTGGAGGTACAGGGAAATGCCTTGGGCTTCTGAGCACTAAAGCAGGGAGCTGTCTGAGACCACGGGCAGCCGCCTCTGTTCTGACTGCAACTGCTCTATAAGACTCCTCTTGCTCAACCGGACAAAAGTCTCTCTAGGGCCATGTTCTGGTGCCCCCCACCCCGCCCTCCACCTTGTGGTCAGTATCCAGCTGCAGAGATAAGACTTCCTCTGCAAATGGAGGCTCCATTCAGCTCACAGCTGTCGGAAGACCTGCCCTGTTCCCAATTCTGTCCCTTCGCTTTCAGGGAGCCATTTAAACGAGTTCCGTCCCAGACACATCCTGAAGCCCAAGTGTTTATTACATGCTGTCTGAAGGAGGATTTCTGTACTTTGGACCTGGGCCTCGCTCAAATGTCATGGCTGGGTCTGAGGTGAGCCAGGAATTAGGAACCAGGGACCAAAGGAACACAAGAAAAGTCCAGAAGGCCTTTGTTGCCCCCTCATAGTCCTTCCTGTCCAGCAGGGTTCAATGTCCAGCCTGGAAGGAAGGGTGTCAGCCCAGGAACCGAGAACAGCAAAGGCAGATGCTGTAATACATGACTCAGGGACATGGCCCCAGCCGCTCCCCAGATGACTCCAAGGGTGTCAGCAGGACAGGAGTGACCAGGCCCAGGGAGCAGGTAGAGGCTCATTTCAAACAGGGACAGGGGAGTAACCGGGTGATGGGGAACCCCAGGATGAAAGCTACCCCAGCACAGCAACCTGGCTCCTGGGCTGGGTGAGTCCCCTGCTAGCTGCTAGCTAGTTCCTGCTCCAGCAAACCAGTTGTTCACCTCCAGGGTCTCCCAATGAACAACAGCCTTGGCTGAATGTTAAGTTTGGCTCTGCACCACACTAACCTCTGTAGCTTCTTCCAAACTCCCTCTCAGGGTCTGGAGTTCCTGGCTGTGTTGCTCTTTGAGCCGGTCTATCTCCTGGTCGTGGCTGGACACTTCTTCCTTCAGGGCCCCCTTCAGGGCTGTCAGTTCACGCTCTCGCTTCCTCAGGATGTCTTCCTGCTGTTCTTTGACCCTCAGGATGGCCTGAAGATCCTGCTTCAGCTGCATTAGCTCCTGCACCAATAAAAAAAAGAAGAGACTTGTAGCCAGCACTGCTTAAAAAGAGAGGTCAAAACCACTGAGAGCAGAAGGGACATTTCCAAGGCCCTCAGAAACTCAGCACCAAGTCCTAGCTTGAAGAGTTACCTGAAACTGTTGGTGCTCAGGCCGCAGAGTCCTCTTCAGCCACAGAAGAGGATATAAGTGTAGAGCATCAGCAGGGCTGGCCCACCCATGAGGCAAGGTGAGGTGAATGCCTCAGGCGGCAGGATCCACAGGTCCAGCCTTCAAGAATGCACCATCTGCCACTGCCACCACAGTGGCAGTGATGGTGCATTTATTAGAGGCCAAATCTGCCTCCTCCTCCTCAGCAGTAAACCCCCCCCATACCACCTCTACAGCAACCTTTCAGCAAATAGGAGGTGCTGCTGGTCTCCTCCCATCCCTAGAGACAAAATGGCAGGGGCTTTCCTCTGTGGACTCTGCACCCGCCCAGCCTGATTCAGAGCGGGCCTCTTTCCTCCCCACGGTGGACTTTGAGTCTCACTTCAACTGTTGGGCTAGGTCAATTTGATTCCCCTGCCTGTTCTCAATGTAGATTTTCAGGTGGTGAAATGCAACAGGCCACCACCCCGAGCCTCAGCCTCTATCACTGGCAGGCAGCAAGAACTCTCTGGATGGGCCAGGCTTGGTACAGAGACCAGGAGCCCAGATTTCCTCCCTTTGCCCAAACTTTTGGCTTTGGCTCAGATCTATCTCCTTACCCAACTCCAGCTCAGGGCACAATGAGATGAAACACAGTCTTCTGAAGATTTTGCAACCTTAACACAGATTCAAAAGGCTTTGAATATGACTGTAGCAGCAGGCAGAGGCTGCAGGAAGGAGAGTGCTTAACCATTCTCACAACCCAAATCACCCCAGGTGTTTCTCGCTTTGCAGAGAAGAAGAAGAAGAGTTTGGATTTGATATCCTGCTTTATCACTATCCTAAGGAGTCTCAAAGCGGCTAACATTCTCCTTTCCCTTCCTCCCCCACAACAAACACTCTGTGAGGTGAGTGGGGCTGAGAGACTTCAAAGAAGTGTGACTAGCCCAAGGTCACCCAGCAGCTGCATGTGGAGGAGCCGAGACGCGAACCCAGTTCCCCAGATTACGAGTCCACCGCTCTTAACCACTACACCACACTGGCTCCACACAGAGGAAAAAGATACTGGGGACAAGAATTCCCCTCTCCACCTGTCCTATGGGATGAAAAGCAGTGTCTCACTGCTTGGTCAGTGATCAGGAAGAAGTCGATATCTTCCAACATCTCCTCTTGTTTGGCCCTTAAACTGAACCCTTTGCTCTGGTGCTGCCAATTCACCTCAGGAACCTTGGATAGGAGAACACTTCCCGCAGGCCTGGACTACCACAGTGGCTATTTCCAACACAGCAGAAGGCCTGCTGGTTTCTGCCCCTTCTTCCAAAAAGAACCACGGCCCCTCCCCCAGGTCGTATTCTGCCTCCCTCACGACTCACCCCAAGGAGCATCTCCCTCTCGCCATCGTCAGCGTGCTTCGCGTTGTCCAACTCGTCGTGCATCTCAGACAGTTGGTCCTGCAAGTCCCGGATCTCCGTCTGCTGTTGCTCCTGCTCCATTTTCACTTGAAAAAGCCTCCATAAGGGAAACGGAATCGTGTTTTCTACCGATATTTGGTCATGTATATATTTCATGTATATATTCTTGATTTCTGAGGAAGGCCAAAGGGGTCCCCTCCTTTCAGGTGATGGCAAATGGAAAGTTGGGGCGTTCATGGTGCTGGCGGCCTCCCAACCTCTTGCCTTGGGAACTCCCTCCCCAAGAAGACGCTCTCAGCCAACTCTCTCCAGAGTCACACGAAAAGTCACAGGTTTATTTGGGAGAGCTTCTGGTGAGAACAGAGGGAAACCGAGGCCGCTGGTGTAGTTGGGGGGCAGCTCCTACATAAACATAGCAATGGAGGGATGCCTGAGCCACAGTTTTGGCAGTAAGAGAAAAACATCTGGTGAAACCAAACTGTGTTTCTGGGATGTTTTCCTCTGGCCACTCCCTTTTTTCATCATTTCTGGGAAAGAACTGCAGTCAGTGCTCAGCTTCTCCCTTTGCCTTTATCCCTGACCATTGGCCGTACTAGTTGGGGTTCCTGGCAACATCTCCCCCCTCCCAGGTTCCCCACTCCTGGCGCAGACAGAAGCAAAGCAGAGGCAGGCAGGGAGAGTAGCAAGAGAGCTGCAAAGAAGCAAAGTCTTTTGCTTCTTTGCAGTGCATTTTGAGGGAAATGGATTGAAACCTGAAAGGGGCACGAACATTGTGCCCCTAAGCCAAGATCCCTATCAGGCTCTTGATGGAAGGCTGCAAAGGAGGGAGGGAGGTTAAGATGGGATCTGTGGGCTGAGGGGGTGATTCCCAAGAGGGCCCTGCTATTCACACCAGCAGGCAGGCAGGCAGGCAGGTCCTGCTGCACAAAACTCACTCTTCAAGGTGCTGCCTGAGGTCTTTCTCGCTCTCCTCCAGCTGCTTCCGGAAGGTGTCTTTATCTTCTATGGTCTTTTCCAGCTGCTGCTGGAGCACTCTCAACTCTGCCTTCACTGCATCTCTTTCATCTGCAATGTTCTGTTGGTTCTGCAAACAGGGGAGATCAGAAACACAGGATGCTGGGAAGAGGCCGGGGGGGGGGCCCTTTTCGGAAAGAATGCTGCATTTTTAAGAAAAGGGGCAGGCAATACATTGAGTTACTATGTGCCCCCCTTTTTAAATAGTAACATTTGCAGAAATTCACTGTACCCAGCAGCTGGGCTCAACACCAGCAGCAGCTCTAGTTTCAGGGCTCGGGGCCACATCCACAGCCAGCCCCCATCAGCTTAGACAGCTTCTGTATTCTGAGAGGCCTTTGGTCCAACTAGGCCAGCATTGGCTCTCAGGCAGACAGGGTGCTATGTGGCCCAGGGTGGAGAAATATTACCAGATTTTTTTTTCAATGAATCTGGCTAAGTAGCAAGAGGGAGTCAGTAGTGGGGATGGTGAGGCAAAAGACCCTGGGCCCAAGCACACATGCATATTGTATAAAGGTGCAAAGCCCTTCTTTCGCACCCTGTGAAACATAAATGTGCAGTTCTTTTAAAAACTGGGCAATGGCACACCGCCCACCCATGACTCCCAAGCCTTCCCCGATCTCCTGCCCCCTTCCCCCTTTGTTTTGACAGATCAGGGGAGGCTCAGGAGTCGCGGGCGGGCAGTCGTTGCCCAGGAGGGGCCAGGCTGGTAGTGCAGTTGGCTCTGGCTGGCTTCAGGAGCTGCTCGCTGCCCGCTGCCGTGGCGCAAGAAATATGGTGGGTGCCATGGCAGCGAGCAGCTCCTGAAGCCAGCCAGAGCCAACTGCGCTAACAGGCTAGCTCCGGCTGCTGAGGCTGCAGCTGCCACGTTTTCCAGGGACAGATTTGCAAATCTGGGGACAGAATTTGTCCGGGGACAGATTTGCAGAACCGGGGACTGTCCCCGGGAACCGGGGATGTCTGGTAAACCTAGCCTAGGCCCAACATAGAGCTATGGGCTCCCCAAAGAAGGGCACTCTGATGCAAAGGTGAAGCTCCCCTGACAGTCCCTGGACTTTCTGCCCATGCAAACAATTTTGCTTCTCCCTGAGAAAGCAGAGCAATGCGCAGCGCACAGCACTGATGCAACAACAGGGTGGATGGGGACCTACCTTGACTTCCAAATCCAGCCTCCTCTGTAGATCAGAAACCTCCTTTTCCAGCTCCTTTGTCTGTTCCATCAATGCCTTGACTGAAGCAGAGGTATCAGAGGCCTACAGTCAAAGAACACATGCTTGCTCTGAAAAATCTATAGATTGTTTTGTTCTAAAAGAGCCATCCAAAGCCAATGCCTCAGTTCAGAGAAGGTCTGATTATCCCACGCTGTCCCTGAAGGAGCATCACTGTACTACAGTGGTACCTCGGGTTACATACGCTTCAGGTTACAGACTCCGCTAACCCAGAAATATTACCTCGGGTTAAGAACTTTGCTTCAGGATGAGAACAGAAATCGTGCTCCGGCAGCGCGGTGGCAGCAGGAGGCCCCATTAGCTAAAGTGGTGCTTCAGGTTAAGAACAGCTTCAGGTTAAGAACGGACCTCCGGAACTAATTAAGTACTTAACCTGAGGCACCACTGTACATCTAAATAATGTCTGGGGGGGGGGGGACGACAACACACATATCACCAGGGAGTCCTGTCCTTTGTGTGCACCATAGAGAAGGACCACTCACATTGGTGCTACCCACTATTCCTAGGTAAGCCCACTGGGTCCAACTCAGAGCCAGTGTGGTGTAATGGTTAGAGCCCTGGGCTACGACCTGGGAAATGCGGGTTCAAATCCTGACTCAGCCATGAAGCTGAGTGACCTTGAGCCAGTCACCATTTCTCAGCCTAACCTACCTCACAGGGTTGTTGTGGGGACAAAACAGGGAGGGCAAGAACCATGTACATCACCTTGAACTCCTTGGAGGAAAAGGTGGTATATAAATTCAACAAATGAATAAGCAAACAAGGAGCCGCTTTGCCAAGGGACCCCCTCAGGCCGAAGCCGACCCTCTTAAACTAGGCCTGAAACAGAATTGTCCATTCGGTTTTGCGTTTGTCTTCACCAGCAGATTTCACTCATTTTCCATCCAGGTTCTGAATGCGTTGCAAGAGCTAAACTCAGGGGATCTCACTGAGCAACATCTCAAGGACCCCACGTAGGCCCAGCCCTAGCCCTAATGGTCAAAGGGAGGGGCTTCCCGTGAAGTGTAGGAGGGTTCAGTTATGACTGAGGCTGAAGTTCAGCTCAAAAGGATTTATTGAAGCATCAGGAACAACCTAAGAAGGGCAAACCTAAGAAGGGCAAAAATATTTCTGGAGGCCTGGGCCACACCCACTCTCAACGTGATTACGTGATTGGCTGTCTAAGCCCCCCTAGCAGCGAATCGTAACTCAGAGCTTAAGAGCCAGTGCCAGTAGCCCAAACCCTAATGCTACGTGATTGGATAGCGTGTATCGAATCAGAACGCAGGGGCTCAGGATCCTTAGTCCAGACTCGAGCTCAGGTGAACATAGATCACTGAAGACATAACATCACCCCTCCCCCGTTTCACCGCACAGCATCCCTTTTCATCTTCAACGCTGAGTACCAATTAGCAGAAGGATTTCCTGTATTAATATCATACTTAACATAAGGCAAGATCACATGTGAATGGACCTTTGGATCATGTTTTTACTTCAATGGAGTTCAGCCTAAATCTGAAACTAACATTTGAACCTGATGGTGCTCAGCTAACCATTGATATCTACATAAAACAAAGAACAGACATAAAAAGTGTGTGTAACAGTTACAAAGCACAGCTTGCCAGCTTAACAGTGCGTCAACACACTTATGGAGCTTGGCATGGTCTGAAGCTTCATTATTCTCTGGAGTTTACATGCTGGAAAAGGACAGAAATCCAAATACACAGCAGAATCCCTGCCAAGTTACTAGATCTTATAGAGTGAGGAGGAATTCAGACTGTCACTCTTTTGCAGGATGGATGCACATTCCAGAACTTTAGATTTGCTCAATTAAAGTAGATTATATTGCTCTGTCACCCTAGCATGAAAAATCCACTTTTAAAAAAAGAAATGGAGTTTGTAGTTTGAAAGGGACAGGAAAATGCATGGAAGCATGAAGAGATATTTAAGGGGAAGGCATGCAAACATCCTGCAAGTAAATCAGGATGAATGCAGGATGAACACTCATTGCCATCTAACTGCCCTGTAAACAAATCAGAACAATAAAGACTGGAAGCAAACCAGAGTGGGTGCTCAAGCATCAGGGTTGCCCAGAGGAGCCCTAATCTTTTTTCTTCACACAACAAGGTGAGGGATGTGGATAAACACAAGAAAGTTGAAGAGAAAGACAACCTTGTTTTCCTCGTGTACTTTACCTGTGAGTTCCCTGCTGCTCTGGACTTTAGAGTCTGGATTTTCTCAAATACCAAGTTGACTTTCCTCTTCGTTGCATCATCATTTTCACTGCTTCTGAAATATGAACAAACGTCAGCCAGCAAGGCAATGACTGAGATGTCTCACAGTCACCTGAAAGCCCCCAATTCCTACAGTGACCATCTTATGAAAAGACACTCAGCCACAGATGTTAGTAGGTTAAGATCAGAGTGGAATTTTACCTCCTGGTAGTAAATCAGAGATGCCTAGCTAGACCTCAAGGTTGCTTTAAGGACTGAAAATCAGGGTAGGGTGCATAATGTATTAATTGGAGATAGCCACCATATCAGTCCCAAATATCAAATATTCATCTGCTCAAGTCCTCAACGTAATGCCATTTCCACAAGCTACAAGTTTGTGCAAGCCCACTAACCCTTCCTTGAGATAGTTGTAGAGAATCTGCTTAGCTGTTTCCTCGTTGCTTTGCTGTGCAAGTTCCTGTTGGCCCTTCAGCAGATCAGGAGTGACCTGGAAAGACAAAGCCAGGTATCAGTCATATCCCTTGCAAGGAAAGCCTTTGGCTTCAGACAGAACAACCTCTGTGCCACAAGCAGGGTGAGCTCAAAACAGTGCTATAGGATGGTCTGAGAGGTGTGCGGCAGGAATATCTGCAAAGTTGCAGAGAAGAGGATTTGCAAATGACTGCCAAAGTCAGGAGGGGAAAAGGACTTCTGTGTCCAGAGAGCTCTGTTTATTTGATACTTTGCCTTCAAAAAGGTAATGGCTCAAAATCCAAAAATGTGAATTATTCCTAAATATGTCCTAACTTGCCATCACCACCCTGCACTACCTCCCCAGAGCATGGAAGCTGCTTAGCTGAACTCCCCCTTTCTGTCTGTCTAAGTTTTCCACTCAACAACCTCACCCCCGAGTGGCTGAGGCCACAAGGTGCAGGGATAACCAGCTCTTTCATACATATGTCCAAAATTGCATTTCTGTAGCACAGCATCCTGTCACTGGCTCAGGTCAACAGATCACACTCTGGCAAACGTACCTGAGCAGCTGAAGCAGAAGCAAATGTTTTCACAGGCAGTTTCGGAGTCGCAATACGGTTTGGTAGCAAGAGAGTGGAAGTCACCATTTTATTTTCACTTTTCTTGGTCTGGCCTGGAAGTGTGGATGATTTATAAGCCACACTCTCGCTAACTATTTTACTTTGCTTGTGATATTGCAAAGAGTTGAAATGCTTGCTGGGAGAATCTCTTGCTGCTGCTGTTGCTGCTGCCTGGAGTTTGCCCACAGACCGAGGAGAAACTTGATCCTCAAAAGACACTGACTTCTGATCTGGAGAGAACAGCTTCTGAAGGCAAACTTTAGAAGGCTGTAGTAAATGCTTGGACGACGTTGCCGAACTTTGACTAAATTCATCTGAACAACTGGAATTCACCTTGAGCCCGCAGGGAAGGGCACTGTCGACGCTCCTTGACCGCTTACGGTCGTCTGGGTGAATCCTGCTCCTGATTCCCAGCCTGCCTCTTCTCTGAGGACCCATCTTCCGGTCAAACTTTTCAATGAGCTGATCAACTGCAGGAATTGAACCAGTGTCAATATCGCGACCAGTCCCAGGCAAAAATGGGATATACCTTCTGTTTTCATGCCTGTTTACATTGTCAGCATAGATGGCATACTCTTGGTCATCAAGGAAGAACTTGTACAGGGAAGCAACAGAAGTTGGGGTAGTTGATGATGATGACGACCGCCGTGAGCCATTCAGGACTGATCCTGCTGAATCTTGCCTGCGGAAAGGAAGGAGATCAGGTCTGCATTTCCTAGTTTCCTGATAGGTGGGTGGACTTATAGCAGATGGAGATCCATCACTAGAAGAACGTGATCCATGCATTCCATTGGGAGTGTCAACAACACTGGGGCATTCCAATTCCTGCTTGCTTTGGTCTGCCCCTACTGCAGGCATGGTCAAATTCACAGTTTTTGGTTTGGGCTTGGCCAGTTCTACACACTGGAGGGTCATTTTATCTAATGAAGCAACCTTCAATGGTGAGCTCCAAGGCTTGCTGTCTGGTTTCTCTTCATCTGCAAGAGATTTGGATTTATTGGATGGGGGAGCCTCAAAGCCTTCCAAATTCAGGATGTTCTTTTCAGGATCATAGGGCTGCAGAAGCTCAGGATGCCTCTGGAAGTTCAACAGACTGGGCGACTGGGCGAACCCAGCCTTGAAATGCAAGGTGCTGCTCTCTCCCTCATCCACACTGGCCTGCAGGCTTTTAAACTTATTTGGCAATGTGCTGTAAGTTCCCAAACACTGTCTTTCTTCTCCAGTTTTCTTCCCCAGTTCAGGAGCAGAACTGGAGTCCGGCACTGACCTATCAAGTGTCTCGGTTGCAACCTGTGGGCTGTTTGTAGGTGCCACATGACTGTCAGGCAAACATCCCTCTGCATTGTTGAGCACAATGTATGGATGCCCATCAATCCCTTGGACCCGGATGCTGACTCCGTAGGACCCATCCTTTGCATTCAATGCACTCTTTGCCTTTGGAGGCACATTGCTTGCAAGCTTGAAATGGATCCCACAGTCCTGCTGCTGCTGTTGCTGCTGCTGCTGCTCCATGTGCCTGAAGCTGCCCACATAAGACTCCATTGTTCACATGGGTTTAAGCACTGCAAAGAGGAAAGAAACAGATACATGAGTAGAGGAAACGAGCCACTTTCATCTTCATCATACCATCATTTTCTTCACTGACATATGGGGCTGATCCAAGACAATTGGGCAACTGCAGAGGAAAATCCAGAATGCATCCACCACATACAGTGGTTAAAAGGGAGTTCAGTCCTTGAACAGAAATGGGCTGGAGTGGGAAGTGAGAAGAACAAGGCTGGCCGATCTCCTCAAGCAGGGAGTTCCAAAGGGCAACACGACGATTGCCCAACCTTCATTGGCTTGAGTGCTGCCTTCACCCTTGGTTAAACCTCCAAGGGCTGGATGCTGGCAGTGGATATAACCACCCCACAGCCTCTCTCACAAACTCTTAAAGGCACACACAGCTTCCTCATCTCAGGAATTCTAATGCATACTTTGTGATCCATGCATGTCAGCTGAGTGGTGGACCCCTTCTCTGCTCAGCAAATAATCAATCCGAGGACCCAGGAGGGAGCAATTTTCATTCTGCATCATCAGGGCCCTCGCCTTTGCCTGTGATGCCATTACTACTACTACTACTACTACTACTACTACTACATTATTCTTTGCCAGTGCTGTCAAAATTAATAGAGTCTTGGTGGGCCAGAATAAATGGGTGCTGGATCAGGTTTCCAAACTGTGGGTTAGCCACTCCTGGACAATACCGTGAGTGCAAAGGCCACTGGCCTAACCTGAGAAGGGCCTTCCCAGGTGGACTCTCAGTCTGTGGAGGGAACATGTTGAGAGAGAAAGTCCCCTCAGATGCCCTAGGCCCAGATCCTCTTCCCAGCTTCCAAACGCCCCACTTCCTCCCCTCTTCATGAAGAAGCAAGCCCAAACCAAACCATACAGAGAGTCCACTCATGTTTCCAAGCTGAAAGCTCCTTCCCTAAGTCAGGTAATGCTGCCTTCACCAACCTAGCTTTAGCCCATCAACTTCACGTATGATGAAAAGGTTTAACCATTCACACATGCAAACCTGCTGCACTTCTTAAGTAATACAAGCCCGAAAGAAGGATCCCACTTCCTGCTGGATGTGCACTTACAGCCTTATTCCATTTTGCCATGAACGCATTCTAGAGCTCCATGAACAAAAGTTGGCTGTTCCGCTTCTTCTAGTTGGTGACCTCCTAACTCCACATCCCAAGTCAGACAGGAGCGTCAGCTGGCCATGAAAGTAAGGCTGTAGCAACTACGTGTGGCACAAAATAGGAAACGGCCCTTCCTGTAGCCAATGTGCTTCTGTGGCACCATGCAGGCCTCACTTCTTGGCACTTGATCAAAGACCACCTTGGGGCAAGAGTGGCCAAAGGGCAACTCAACATTTTGCCCATATCAGGCTTCAGAAGGGTGAGGAACCAGGGCACAGCTGCTGCTTGCCAACAGTCGTCACTGAGAAGACCATGTGGCCATGCTTAGAGCAGAACACGCCAAGCTACAGCATCAGGCCCTGTCCCAGCTGCAGAATGAAGAGCAGAAACTCAAAAATGCACAGGAAAACACAGGTGGACAACGAACAACTGCAGGAAATGACATTTGCTGCTCCCAGCCTCCATTTCTCAGTTCCCCAGAACTTCCCCACACTTCCAGCTTCCCTTTGTTTGTTCTGCACAATCACATCTCCCACAAGATCTCCAACTTCCAGGTATTATGAGAGAAGACAACACCGGAAACTGTGCCTCCAATCTAATCGCAGTCAGACAGATCCAGCACCCTTGGATAGCCACAAAATGTTCTGTCCATTTTGACAGATTTTGAAGCAAGATTGTAAAAAAGAAACAATGTATAATTTATATTGGCTGGGTATGGGGGGCTGACATCATAATACTATTAAAGCAACAGCTAGTAAGGCCAGAATAAAGAGAATTCTCAATTTCTAACATTTTAAAGCAACACCCATCCTGAACCTTCAGCATCTACCGGTAATTAATGCTACAGATCAAAGTGAGCTCTTCCTATGAAAGTTAATGCTATAGAGTAAGGTTGCAACTCAATTCACACTCACCTGAGCATAAGACTTAAGTAAACATGCCCACGTTGGGCAAAAGATTCCTGCATTGTTGGACTAGTTGACCCTCATGGTCCCTTCCAACCCTACAATTCTATGAGTCTGTGAATATGATTGTGTCATGAATCTGTTATTCTTTAAGGTGCTAGCAATGGCTTTTATTGCAATAGAAATAATCATCTTCTGGAATCTGGCCAGTGAGACACTATTGGTTTGGGAATCTGTTTGGGAGTCATTTTCCCCACCTCCAACCTTCTTTTATTACATGCAACACAGGCACACAAGCATTGGTATCTGTGTCAAATATCTTTTTAATGCCGGAAACTGAATTAGGAGCTTGAGCTTTTCATCCAATGGCTGTGGAATTTTCCTTTTTTTAAAACATGGCCTTCTGTTTTAATTTGCCCTTTTTATTCATCACACTAAATTTCAGTAATGTGTTAATTTAGAGGGGACATTTATTTATCACTCTTCAGTGTGCTGATGCATTTAAAATAGTTTGGCAAATAAAACAGAGGCATAACAATATCAATTTTGAGTGGTAAGTGCATAAAGTAGACAAATTATTGTGCACTGTGTTGTGTTGTAAATCTTGAGGGCATGCCTAATGCAGATTAATGTACAGTTCTTAAGTTATCTACGGCTGCAGTTTTATTGACATGGACCTCTTCCAATCAGATACAAACAGGCACAGCCACTTTGTATGGTCCCATCAAATAATAAAAAGATAGGAATAGTGGTTGGACTCAGTTCAATTTTACACTGGCTCACGTACTGTTTTCTTAACAATCACATCCTAAAGTGGGGAGGAAGAAGCTGTTTCACCAGGGACATCGTCAGGATCAAAGAATTTTTCCAAGCCCAAAGGCATCTGGTCCAAATAATGTATCACATTCCAGCTATTAATACAGCCAGTCTTGTCAGAAATGAAACAGAAACCATTAATCTCTTAGGAAGGTGCAGCAAATGTTCTTCGAATGCACAAAACCAATCTGTGCCTTGTTGAAGAAAAGAACTGCCTCTGCACAGGATTTTGCAACCAAAGAAAGCTTCTCTCTTCCTTGGAATTATTTTGACATTCCAGAAACCTGTCCACTTTGCAAAACAGATATATCATCCCTGGGACAGCAGCCAGGGGCAGACTTGGGTAGTCTTTCGTAACGGCTCCCTGTGCGAAGCCAACATTTGGTGCCCCCAAATAGATCTTTTCTATTATGGGTCTTCTTGATTTTGTGCCCCCCACAGCTTTGCACACTGTGGGGGGAGTGCCCGTACCACCCTAAATCTGGCATTGCAGCAACATGCCCCTGATCGGCAGGCCACAGCTTATTCCTCATAAATTAGTTGGAACAAATTGCTTCCTCTACTGTCAAGTAATGCGCCTGAACACTTTGGAGGCCAATAATGCAACTCCCAGGATCTTCTGGCACTAAAAACTGTCAGCTGCAATTTAGGAAGTGGGGGGCAAGAAACACTTTTGATGTTCTCTGCCTAGCAGGACAACACATCCACTGTTTCATACTATGCCAAATTTGATGGGGGGGGGGAGAAGAAAAAACCCTTTCACCTGGAAAGTCTGAATTCAGGCCAAGGAAGTCACAGGCTGCCTTTCTGTAAGCTGATTGTATTTGATGCAACAGCTGGGTTTTGTAAATGTTTGAGAAGGTGGCACCCTCTGGCTGGTGAGAGGGGAGAGCAGAGCAATGGCCTGGAACCAGTTTTGCACCTTAAATATAAAGAGAGTAGAGAGTTCTGATGGAGCTGCCTAGAAAGCTTAGGGGCTCTGGGAATCTAACGCAGGCTTGGGGGCTCTGGGAATCCTATCTTTTTGCAAGCTCACTAGCTGTAAATAATACAAAGACACTTCAGTTTCCACTGTTCTCTCGGCGCCAAAGAAAACAAAACCCTGGACCTTCTCACCACTCAGGAAATGAGGGCTAACAATCCAAAACAGGTGGATGTAGCAAGATCTAAAGCAGGGCAGGGGGACCTTTTTCAGGCCACATTGGCAACCTTTTAGGAGTGACACGCAGTGGTGTGTGGGGCTAGAGGCAGAAGCGGGTGCAGCAACAATATTGCCCATTTCTTTACAGGAAAAGTCAGAGCGTTCCCACATGCGGATGGCCACATCCCTCCATCCAGGTAAGCACCAGGCACAATCACAGTGCGAAGACACATTCTATCCAGACAAAGGCACTTGAGGAGGACGCAGAGAAGCCCTACGCAGAGGTGTAGCAAGGAGCAGAACTCTGAGGGCCAGACAGAGAAGTCTGGAGGGCCACATCCAAGGTTCATCGCCCTCTGATCAAACAACTGCATTTCTCCACATGAACCTCATTGGCAGTTAAGATTTCCCTCAGAGGTTTCTCCAGGTGCTTAGAGGTCTGCCAGGTGGGAAACTGGAGGCCTGCCATGACACTCCCTCCCTTGGTCTGTCCACCTGGCACCTTTTTGTTAAGGAGCTATACTAACATTCCCTACCTAATTTGGTACCTTCCAGATATTTTGGACTATGGCTCCCATCTACCCCAACCAGTGCAGTCCAAAACATCTGGAGGGCTCCAGGAAGCTGCTCTGTACTGCTCTCTAAGCCATCCACTGGCATCCCATTGGCCCATAAGAGTATTCACTCTCTGTTATTGTGACTGGAGGTTTTGCCAGCTTCTGGTATATTTTACTGATTCTGCTGCTGCTCTTGCATTTTATTCATATTATGAGCAACAATATTTGGATATTTTAATATTTAGAATATGAATTATTCTTTTTTATTAACCATATTTGAAGGAAAGTGGATATAAATCCATAAATAAACTAAAAAGACTGATACTCTAAGGGAGGTGCAGAATATATTCTACTAGTTCTGGAGACACTTTGAATAACCAGTAACTGGCACTGACTTGCATTATGGCCAAAAGGTATCATTTTTTAATCCCCGAATCTAGCAAGGAAGTACTTCTCTGGCTCATCTTCCAAACAGAAAGAACTTCCTTTCTCCCCAGGTCAGTCCAGGCACTACATCAGTCAGGCCGATCCAAGCCAACCCAGCTACTACTTTGCTGGCTGGAAAACTGCAGGCCAGAAGGAACATCACACAGCGGTCGCACTGGGAGCACTGTTTGCTCCTGGAACTGCTTATATGTAGAAAAAACTTGCGCAAGATGGAACATTTAAGTAGCTCTTAAAAATCTGTTTTATCAGCTGCTCGCTTGGGATCAGCTGTGTCAGAATCAGCATTCAAATCCAATTTTCTCAAGTACTGAACCCCAGCTGCGAATGTTTCAGAGGCCCTGTTGCAGGCAGCCAACATCTTAAAAAGAGGGAGGGAAGATGCAGTTACAGTTCTTTCCTTACATTTTTCTACCTGACTGAATGGATTTAGAAAAGGGGGGGGGAATCCATTGCTGTCCCAAAAGCAAAGAACAAACATAGGCTGCTTGGGGGAAAAGAGCTTCTTAGGCAAAGTTTCAGCTGCTTCACGCGGTACTTCTGGGGAGAGGTATTTGGGGAAAGAACACCACAGAGGAGAATGGGGAACTGGATGGTGCAGAATGAGATCCCTTGGCCGGTCCATTTATGTGATTCACTGTCGCAAATCATGGAGATGGCTGGAAGGGAAGGAGATGGGGTCAGTCCAAGAGGATTTGCCACTGCAGGCAGAATGCCCCACTGCCCCTGTCCTTGATGCCCCCCCCCCGCCAGCAGATCCAGGCCCCCTCCTTTGCACTCATCCCTGTCATTGCAACTGGCCTACAGCTGTGTCCAGACTGCTGCCAGAAGGCAGCACTGAGGGTGCAGCAGCAGCAGCAGCAGCAGCAGTGAGGGGAATGTTGCTGTGCCAGCAGCCTGGGTGAAGCCATGCTCCAAAGGAAACATCAGCTGCCCCAGATCTGCACCTGCCCTGCCTTTTTTCCTCTCCAGGGCTCAACTCTGCTGCACAACCTGAACCCGGGACTTGGTGGCCACCAAAGCAGGGCTGTAGCCACTGTTCCCCACCACCACCACCACCACCACAGCTCTGGCCGAAGGCGGGAACTGCAGCCTGGGACACCTCTTTCTGCTGAGAGGCTAGAGCAGGTCAGGGGGTGCTCCTCCTGAACCCCAGATAAGCTCCCAGGTTGGGCCTGTTGAACATGGGAGATTCTGTTACCAGAGACAACTTGACACATTCTGATCCCTCCTTCAGGCCATCATAAAAATGAAACAACTGGACAATTTGCAGCTCTTTCAATGGGGCTTCTGCAAGCGCTGCCTGAGGCAAGCAAACCACCTTGCCTTGGAGACTCCAGGTGTGTCCTGCCTTGGCCCATGCTGCCCAGACTCTGTCTCCACTTGCAGACTTCCAGCACAGCAGGAGTCATCGCCAAGCGCCAGGAGGCAGTTTTATTCTACATACAGTGGTACTTCGGGTTACATACGCTTCAGGTTACATACGCTTCAGGTTAAAGACTCCGCTAACCCAGAAATATTACCTCAGGTTAAGAACTTTGCTTCAGGATGAGAACAGAAACCATGCAGCGGTGGCAGGAGGCTCCATTAGCTAAAGTGGTGCTTCAGGTTAAGAACAGTTTCAGGTTAAGAACAGACCTCCAGAATGAATTAAGTTCTTAACCCGAGGTACCACTGTACATTTCTTTTTTCTGGTCTGTAAAAGTACAAATATCTTGCTGCCACCTTCCAAATGGAAGGAAATGGAATTCTTTACAGTACTTCAAAAAGGCCACCAAAGCGACGTTCTAAGCCCATCGCCTGGCCATACCAGTTTCCTCACCGCCGCCTCTCCTCTGGCCCTGTGGCGACCAACCAGTGTTGGATTTCCTCTATGACTGAAAATTATTTTATTTATCCTTCCCTTTTAAAATAGGAAACACTTCAGAACAAGCGGTCTTTGGCAGGCAACTATGGGGAGGGGGGTGCAGGGGGTGCTCTTATTCCAGGCCCAGCTGTTGGATGAGGGAGACAGAGAAACCGAGGAACTGAAGTGTCATATCAGATCACACAAACAGGAAAATGGACCACTAGGTTTGTAAGTACAGGCAGAATGAAGACACGAGCAGACGGCCAATTCATGCTCACTTCTCCAGCATCAAAGGGCAAAAAAAGAGAACCTGGCAAGATCCATTTGTATTTCTGCCAAAATGGCTCCCACAAAAGCCGCATAATGGGCCCCTTCAGAAATGGAGACTGGCTATTAACAATTATTAATTGCTAGCATATGAAGTTGCTGCCCTATACTCAGAGCAACACTGTTTGCTCCATGGCAGATGTGCCTCTAAAGGGGGTGGGGGTGTCCCTCATGAAATGCAGCTATGAGGCTGTCATTTCAAATAGATGAGCAGGGGGCTAATAACTTCAGCGGTCTGATTTTCCAGTCAAAATTGCCTCTCCAAAATACTTTGCTACCACTTGGGGTGGGGAAAAATGGACAGGGAGGGCAGTTTTCATCAGAAAAATGGGCTGTGTGGAAAGGGTTAAGGACCCCTCCCCCTTTAATAGAGTCATAGCCACTTGTGGCTTCTTTTCCTTGAAAGAATCGTCCTCTTACCCGCTAGCTATGGATCTGAAGGGACCAAATCAATGATTGGAGGGTTTTGGATATAGTTTTCAAAGTGCTCCAAGGATCTGCACAGGACCCCATTCCTCACAGCCTCTCCTGCAAAGACAGAATGCCACACTTGGGACAGTTAACTATCCCTAAATATAGCAAGACTTCCTGTTTGGCAAGGTTTAATGTCTTTCCTTCCAACTTACTAGAAGGAAGATACAGCAAAGCCCCAATGAACAACAGATGTTGCCCTTCTAGCAGCGCTGAGGTGTCTTCCAGGTTCTTTTCTACTGTTCTTCTATTAGGAAGACCTAATAGATCCCACTATACAGTCCCTCCCTGGCCGATCTGCCGAGTCTATTAATGAGAGAGTTTAGCATTATATACCTGAGATTTACAGCTGTATCCATGCACTGGCATGCGAAGGGGGGCAGGGGAGCATACCTCCCGGGCACCATTTGGGGAAAGGGTGCAAACGCGGCTGCCCCCCCCCGACACACGCTGCATGCCTCGCAACCGCAGCCACGCGCCATGCCCCCGTGGGCAATGTGCCACGCCCCCGCCTGTTTTCCGCTCCGGGAGCTGCAGCATGTTGCTCCACCACTGTATCCATGTATATTTTTATTAGTATTATTAATTGTTATACAGCATTTAAATGGAAAAATAAAGAGTTTCATTAGAAGAAACTCATGGGCTTTGGGAGACCACGTGTCTTCTGTAGAATTTCCAGCTTGACTCTGGCCAGTGCTAAGCCAGAGGCAATTTATGTCAAATCCACCCTGTACCAGACCCCACAGAACCCTACAGAAAATTGCCACATCCTGTACTTGTTGCTGAGCCCTGCCCAGGTTCCTCCCACACAGAGGCTTGCACTGCACTCCCAGGAATGTGATCTGTTCTCTCTACAAATGAACTTCAATCACATTCTGATATTTCGCAACTTATGCAAGCAGGTCTTTCCAGGCAGCAGGTCAGACTGGAGAGGCAGCCGGCACCACACTCAAGCTTCTCCAGAGCAATCCCGAAATGACTGTAAAGTCCAACCCACCCCTAAAGGGAACCTAAATGCAAAACAAGAAACACACTATCAGCTCTGTGGCCAATGATCAAAGAGCTCCATGCTGAAGACATCCACTTCAGCACTGCCTAAATTGTTTGAATTTTCCTGGACTCCCTGGCTGCAGCCTCAAGTAGCTCCCACCCAAAGAAGCTTCTGCTGCTGTTTTCACTCTGGTCATCAGCTCTTGGAGAAGGGGCAGAGCTGAGCAGTAGAGTATCTGCTTTGCATGCAAAAGGTCTCATGTTCAACCCCTGACATGGCATTCCTGGGCAGAACCGGGGAAAAGAATCCTGCCTGCAACCCTGGGGAGCCACTCCCAGCTTGTTAGCTTAGGCAGCACTGAACTATCTGGGCCAGTGGTCTGACTCAGTGTCAGGCTGCTTCCTATACTTCTACCTGGGTGGTCCCCTGAGCCTGCCTGTCTTCAGCCCTTGCCTCCTTCTGTGACATGAACTGGCAGGACATAGAGGAAGGGGAACAGGATCCTGGCAAGGGCTGTAGCCACGACTGGTACACACCAAGGCAAGAAGAAGATGGGGAATGGGGAGCTTGGGGACTTAGGAGGTACGCACAGGATATGGCGTGGGGGCAGCTGACAGTTCACAGGAGCCAGGAGAGGGGGAACATACTGTATCAGCAAAACCAGAGACAGCCCCGTCTCCACAGACATGGCGGGCTCTGAGGCGCTGAAAACAACGGGAAGGGCGCTCTAGGAAACTGAGGCAGGCAAGGGAACACAACCCAGCTCACTAGTTGACCGAGTGGGGATCACAGGGATCAGTAGGTCTGGGAGAAAGTTTGTGGTCACACAGCTGGATTAGGTGAGGATCACATGCCTTGTAGAGTGCAGAGACGCAGTTGCTCAGCTACATCAAACCCAGATGTGTCAAAATTGGAAGGATAAAAGGGAAGCAAGGCAGAGAATCTGTGTCTGCTCAGCTTTCCACGTTGATGGACCACGGATTGGCTGCTTCAGAAGCTCCACTGGACTGTGACTTCGGGACTGACCACAGGTTTTCTGACCGCAGGTTTTCTGACCCTGGATCTGCTGCAGAGGCGAGAGCCTGGCCTAACTATTTGACTTTGGACTTGGCCTGGTCTTTGACCTCTTGGACTGTCTGACTACTCTCTACCATTTCCCTTGGGAACTGTGTACACCAATGGGACTTACCTCCATGTACGTTGGGGTTCAGGACATTCTGCTTCTAAGTTCCTTTCCCCCTCAAACCTGTTGTCTAGCCCAGTTCAAGCAATCTGGTTCACCCTTTGTATATGCTCCCCATCCTTGCACTGTCCCGTCCTGTCATGCTGTGTTAAGTCGGGAAGTCTTTAATTAACCATAGATTCCCACTGAACCTAAACCTAGAGACAGGTTGCCATGTCTGGAAGAAGCCAGGGTCTTAAACTAACTTCAAACCATGGACTGAGGTCTTGGCTTGGTTTGAGTCTAATATAGTTTTCCAGTTTGGAATGAGCAGGAAATGATGCTTAACTAAAGACTTCCAGGCTTAATCACAGCACACTGAGGAGGGAAGAGACTGTATGTGCAGGCACAAAGCTCGTTCATTGTTTGAGTTTACTAAGTTACTAAGTGGTCTCTTTCTGGCCCATCTCATCTGCTTCCTTTTCCCCAGGTAGCCAGGCTGATTTCTCTAGTCCAGCCTCCATTGTGGTAAAGCTCCCCCAGAATTTCAAAAAAATGCAAACATGGCTGGACTCGAAACAAAATCAAAAAACCCAATTCTTGTGAATATAGAGCAACTGTATTTTTAATTACACCAATCATTGGGTTGGAAACAACCTTGCCAGTTCACCAACATACAATTTCCACAGTATTCTTATAATGGTTATTTATATTGAATCCTGATATAATTACTACGTTGGTTTACAGCAGGGGTGGCCAACTCCCAAGAGACTGCAATCTACTCACAGAGTTTAAAACTGGCAGTGATCTACCCCATTTTCGGGGGTTCAGGTCAAGGCTGTTTCTTAGGAAGGAAAGCCCTATTTTGGGGGGTTCAGGTCAAAGTTGAGCTTTTTTTAGGGGAGCCAAAGTTGTTGAGCTTCTTTGCGGGGGAGCCAGTGATCTACCAGGGATCTACCACAGACGTCCAGTTATCTACCGGTAGATCACGATCTACCTGTTGGACATGCCTGGTATACAAGAAAACTTCACCACCGCCTCACAATCCTAGATCTCACAGCCTCCAAAAAGCAAAGGAACCATTTTCTTCCTGCAGTTTAGAATTAATTCACTGTGCCACAGGATGTAAGGATGGCTACAAGCTTAGATTGAGTGTTGTTCTTGGTTGTTTGTTTGTTTAGAAAAAGGAGTAGACCAATTAACACCAGAGAAGAGGTCCACCAATGGCTACTAGATTCTTGGGTACTAAATCTTAGCAGGTTAGTTGTAAATTTGGAATTCAGAAGTTCATCATGACAGCCCCATAGAAAAATCCAAAAATGAATTGCTGATCAGTTACTGTACCCCATCAAAGAGGAGCAGTATGCAACACAGTACCCAGTTTACTGGAATCAGCTTGACTATCCATAGTTTCCTTGAGTCAGTTTGTCCTTACTTCATAGATTCAACTTTCTAAAACACATTCGGCTTTAGCAACTCCAGCCAGTTGAAATACAACCTCTAGCTCTGAATCAGAAATGCAAGCAATCTTGCAAAGAAGGGTTACCATTTTTAATGGCTAGCATGAAGTAGGAACTTCTTCTTGCTAGCCACTTCAATGGTAACACTTCAAAGAAAAGGAGGGAAATATCTCTGCTTATTTTCCTTATTCTCTTTCCTCTATGCTAATATGGCACAGACACAGTAAAACCCGAAATCAGCTAATTCACTTGCCACAGCTGCGCCTGCTCTGAAAAAGGTCCCAGAATTGCACAAACCCACATTCAACTCCATTACTGAATCTCAAGAGGCTAGCAATGTCTGTTTGAAGTCGCTGCTCTCGAGGGAGTAGACACAATTCGCTATCCCTCCCAACTGAACCTGAACAGGTCCCATTCAGACCCAGCAGAAGGAAATGTCTTTATAGAAATGCCCATCATGAGTCTCACACTTGGAATGTCGGGTATGAGCCATTTTGGCACTGGATTCCAGATTCTGAGAACAGGAGAGGCAGATTAGGGAACACTGGCAGTAGAACCAAGTACAAGAACCATCGATCTTCCTCCAGGAAAAAAATGAACAAGCTCAACAAACTACCCAAATGAGAATATGAGGTCCAAAAGAGCAATGCTCCTTTCACAAAAGAGGTCCGATTGCCATGTTAGAGGCCAAGGCTCCCTTCCTGACTCTGCTGCGAAGCCACACGATGCAGCCCATGGATCTTGTACCTGTAACCATCCTTGTCTCTCCTCCAGGAAAACAGACAGCCTTTGAGCCACAAAATCTAAAGCAGCACACCATCACCTGCTGCAGAGAATATTCCTTTAGGTTAATGGGATACAAGAAGCTTCATTAAGGAGTGTTAACCCATCTCCCAACATTTAGCATTCAGCAAATGAAAGGCTAGGCTAAGGAAAGACAGCAGGCAGGTAGATATTAATTCATACATTATCACTTCTTAAATATTAACATTCCATTGTGGAATGCCTTCCCAGGGGAGACACGCCTGACACCCGGGTTACTCAGTTTCTGGCACCAGTTTAAGCTTCTCATTTGCCTAAACATTTTGGTGATGGTTTTAATTAGACTGCAAATGGCTGGTTTGGGGGCTGAAAGGGTTTGACCTGCTGTTTTGCTGCCTATAGTATTGCTTTTTACACTGTGTCTTTTAGATGGTTTTTATCATTACCCACATGAGAATAAGTGTCCAAAATAACATTTTTTAAAGAGCAGGCAATTCATTTTTATAAGAAGCCAGCAGTGAGTCTGCCGTATCACCAGCCCAGTCCAGTCCAGACTGGTTGCCAGGAACTATTCAAGGGGCAGCGCCCTTCCCAGTCCTGGTCCTGGAGCGCCTGCTGGCTAAGGTGCAGCTGGTTGTTTCAATAATAATAATAATCACAATGATGTTATTTATACCCCCCCATCTGGCTGGGTTTCCCCAGCCACTCAAATCAAAGCTCCCTCCTTTGAGCTGCCTCTTCCAACCCTCCTTTCTGAACCCTAAGCTCTTCCTTCATGGCCTGCCTTTCTCTAACTCAGGGGTAGTCAACCTTTTTATACCTACCGCCCACTAATGCATCTTTCTTAATGCTAACATTTCCTTACCGCCCACCAGTGCTCGATGGAAGGAGAATTCAGCTTGTGCTGTAGAACCCTCTACCGCCCACCTAGAATCCTGAAACGCCCACTAGTGGGTGGTAGGGACCAGGTTGACAACCCCTGCTCTAACTAATGGCACAGACTCTTCTGTTTCACATTTTAGCAATTTTTATCTGGCCCATAAAATAAAAATAAAAAACAAGAAAAAAAACAAGAACAATATTTTTGTCATTTTGAGGAGCTAGCCTGGATGTCATCTGAGGAGGCTCTTATAGGTCCTTAGATGTAAGACTGGGGTCTGCAGAAAAGCTGGTGGCTAAAGTGAAAAGCTGGTGGTGCTGTGGTCTAAACCCTGAGCCTCTTGGGCTTGCCAGTCAGAAGGTCGGCGGTTTGAATCACCGCAATGGGGCGAGCTCTCGTTGCTCGGTCCCTGCTCCTGCCAACCTAGCAGTTCAAAAGCACGCCAAAAAGTGCAAGTAGATAAACAGGTACCACTCCGGCGGGAAGGTAAACGGCGTTTCCGTGAGCTGCTCTGGTTTCGGTGTTCCGTTGCACCAGAAGCGGCTTAGTCATGCTGGCCATATGACACGGAAAAACTGTCTGCAGACAAACGCCGGCTCCCTCGTCCTGTAAAGCGAGAGGAGCACTGCAACCCCAGAGTCGTCCGCGACTGGACTTAACTGTCAGGGGTTCTTTACCTTTATCTTTAAAGTGACCAAAATGGTTTCATTTTGAATAGCCCTGGTCTTGTCTATTAACTATCTCCTTTGTTATGTAAACTAGGGGCAAGTGTTGCTACAGAAATGAAACAGCGGGAGACACTTCCTGATCCGCAGCATGACTTTCTTTCTCTAGACTCCCCATCTGCATCCTCCTTCAGGTAAACATGTGAGGCTAGATAAGAGATGGGGAACTGAGCCTTGCTGATGGGCTGGATCTTTTATCTCCCCCACCCCATCCCAGTGGGCCAAGTGTGACAGGCGGCCAGGGCAGCTCATCTGTCAATCACATCAGGTGACCCACAAAGTTTGAAATTAGGCAAAGGCACAAGGGCTACCTAGTCAGCTTGTCAAGGGCTGTCAAGGGCTGCGCAGGGACCTTTGCAGGTCTAGCCAATCAGCTAATCAGAGAGGCCCACAATCCCCCTTTAGGTCCAGTTGCATCTTGATCCACTTTGTACGAGAAGATTGCATGTGTCTTTCTCAAATAGTCTGATCTGTTTCCAGGTATGGAGTCTCTGTTTTGCCAGTCTAAACCTGCTGGCTGGAACTGATGAGAAAGGTAAAGGGATCCCTGACCGTTAGGTCCAGTCGTGGACAACTTTGTGGGTTGCGGTGCTCATCTCGCTCTATAGGCCAAGGGAGCCGGCATTTGTCCACAGACAGCTTCCAGGTCATGTGGCCAGCATGACTAAGCCGCTTCTGGCGAACCAGAGCAGCACACAGAAATGCCGTTTACCTTCCCGCCAGAGCAATACCTATTTATCTACTTGCACTTTGACGTGCTTTCGAACTGCTAGGTTGGCAGGAGCAGGGACCGAGCAACGGGAGCTCACCCCATCACAGGGATTTGAACTGCCGACCTTCTGATCAGCAAGCCCTAGGCTCTGTGGTTTAGACCACAGCACCACCGGAGTCCCTGGAACTGATGAGAGCTGTAGTCCAAAACTTCTGGAGGGCTTCAGGTTGGGGAAAAGCTGGTCTAAAAGGTAAAATTAACAGGTAAGGCCCCGTTTCCTCTTTTTCCTCCTCGGTGTTTTCTTGCCCCACTGATGCAGAGCCCCAAACTAGACTATGGTAGAAACATGTGATTCACTTTTTGGAGTTCTTTCTTGTACATCAAAGCAGCCTTTGTGGAAACAATGGCAAAGCAACGATGGTTGAGCTACCACTGAGACCCAGGAGCCTTCGGTGCTCTAAATGCAGTTTGCGCTTTCAAGCACAATAGCTGGTTTGTGTCCAAATATCTGATAACAACCAGCCCTTTTCTCCACAGGAGGCTCTGGCTTGTTTTACTAAGTTTTCCTCCAGCCGAGACTCCAGAAAACCTTGTGTCTCCGTAAGGCGGGACTCCCAACAAGATAATTACTGCTCTGTTTCAATACGGAAGGCATCCCAGATGGATTTCTGATGCAACAGCATTTAAAAGGAAAAAATGCTTTAAAATGCAGTTAAAACATAAGACGCTAGGATGCTCCAGTTGCTTAGGACCCAGCTCCATGGCTGGGGGGTGGGAAGGGGCCACAGCCTTCAATCACCCCCGTCTCAGATGTGGTCCCCCATCCAAAGATGCCACTTGGAAGCAGTTCCCACCCTGCCATGGACTGTATGAACTGGGCCCCATTCATGTGCTCCTCATGGGAGCCAGGATTCTGTTTGTGTGGTGCATAACCAGTGCAAGCTGGCATCATCTCATGCAAGGCGGGTGCCCCATAGGGAGGCCTCCTAGGCAGTGGCCTCATTTGCACAATTACATACACTCAACTCATTCACTTGCTACTCTACCATCCCTATCAAAACCCAATTATAAACAGGGGTGCTTCTCTCCCTCCCAACCCCAGCCGCTTTCTGTGTCATGTATGCCTGCCTTTCTTGGATGCTTTTGCCGCCCTCCCAGCATTATTACTTTCCTTGCTTCCTTAATTATCATTCCATTCTCTGGGAAACTGGCCTCCGACCAGAGTCTCCTTTTTAACTCATTCCTCCGGGCAGTCAGATGTTTAAATATGCAGCCAAGGCTGCGTTAAGCACAAAGAGACCCAAGCAAAAATGACATCACCCGGGGGGCTCAGGCCTGCGGAAGCCGCTGCTGCATCCAACCCCAGCAGCAACTGCTTCCCCACCCCTGAAACTCCCAGTGTACTCTTGGGGGCCAACCCTGAAGAAGAAGCAACACTCTTCCCCTGCCAATGAGAAACCTGCAAGGGAAAGAGAGTTGCAGCTGAACCCTGGACGGCGGCTGCCAGTCAGCATCACCAACCCTAAGTTGGATGGACCAATGGTCTGGCAGTGCCTAAGGCTGTTGCTTCCTCTGTGGGGTGGGGGTTGTGTATGGTCTGCCTGGGTGAGTTCATGTGTGCTTTAGGTGTGGTGAGTGGGTTTGTGTGTGCGCCTGCAAATGGCATGCAACCCTCAGAACACGGCCAACCTTCAATGCAGGCTTTGGGCCAGAGAAGGTTAGTCACACCCAGACTTGACCCTGGACCTGCCTCCTTCATACGTGATGGCTTCCTCGTCACACTTCGTATCAGCCTTTGTCCTCTCCAGTTCTATCCAATAGCTCTCCCACTTTCATTTCAAATCTTTCCATGTCACATTCTACACAGAGCCATATATATATATATATATATATATATATATATATATCGTATTTTTCGTTCTATAGGACACACTTTTTCTCCTCCAAAAATTAAGGGGAAATGTGTGTGCATCCTATGGAGCAAATGCAGGCTCCTTGGCTTCAGCGATAGCAACACGAAGCCTCTGAAACGCAGAGGGAGCGCTCCCTCCGCGTTCTGGAAGCTTCGAGTTGCTTTCACTGAGGTCTGGAGAGTCTTGCTCTCCCGGCTTCAGCAAAAGGAACCTGAAGCCTGCGGAGCACAGGCGGAAACTCGCGCTGCGCTCCGAAGGCTTCAGGGATAGCCGCCTGAAGCCAGGAGAGCAAGACTCGCCTGGCTTCAGCAGAGAGGGAGAGCTGTGCAGTGACCCTTCAGCCAAGTGGGAGGAGAAATGGAAGGGGCTCCGTTTCTCCTGCCGCTTCGCTGAAGGGGCGCTGAGCAGAGAGGGGGAGAATTTTTGTTTCTTGTTCTCCCCCTCTATAACAAGGTGCATCCTATGGTCCGGTGCGTCCTATAGAGCGAAAAATACGGTATATAAAGTAAATTTATTCTCCTCATCCATGGGTCTTCCTTTTATAAAACATCAGTTATATCAGTGTTTCCCAATCCGTAGGTCACAACCAGCAAAAGGCAGCAGGCTTTATAAGCAGCAAACCCAGTGCTTTTTTCTGGGGGGAAGCAGGAGGATGCACACCCTAAACATTTCGTGAATCTAAGTTTGGCCTCATATTTCAATATGAGTAGGAAAATGAGAGTACCCCCAAAAAATTTTTTTACAAAAAAAGCACTGAGTAAACCCAAAATAAATACTGCTTGTCACCCTAAACTGCTTTGATGAATACCTTTCAACTTTTTGTTTAGTTCGTATTTTATAATGCTGTTTTGACACTTGTAACTGAACATCAGAAAGGTTTACTGTCAAGGCTGCCTCAAGTCTTAGCTCACAAAAGACCAACGCCTACGTCTTCTTGTATACAAAGGTGTTTATTGCAGTTCATGGTTTGCTTGACATCCTAGGCGCGCAGCCTTACGTCTCTTACGCTAGACCGCCGAAGTCCCCTCTGAGTCACTCCCTCCTCTGCACCAATTTAAGAGACTTGCGCTGCTCCACCTCTTTCTCTCCTTCCTTTTCCGCAGGGTCCTTCTGCCCCCTGGGGTTGCGCCCCTTCTGGATTCCTCTGACGCTGAATCCCCAGACTGCTCTTCCCCCCTCCTGCGGGCTTTGGGACCTGGCCCCTCCTCCGGGCTCCCTGCACTTCCGCGCGCCTCTACATTTGAACTAGGCGCGCGCCAAACCTCTAACTTTCCTTCTGACAGTTACACTACTCCCTTCACTGCTCCCCTCCCCTTCCGGGAGGGCGGCTTGCTCTGACCCCCCTCCTCTCTCTGCTGCTGGAGCTGCTTCCTCTGACACACTGGAAACTCCACCCCCTTCGCTGCACTTTGGTGGGGAGGCTGGTCCTGACGCCCAGCTGCCACTTTGGGATCCTCCGCTGGCACCCTGCTCCTGACACTTCCCCTGGGGCTCCCTGGCCCTGACCACCGGCGCCCCTTCAGGGAATCCTCTGATTCGCTGGAAAGACTCATGGAATCCCTTGAGTCATTGTCATCCTCTTCCTCGCTGGCTTGGAATTCCTCCCCCTCGCTCTCCATCTCCTGCCTACCCTGTGCCTCTCTCTCTGAACCCCTGACATTTACATTTTAACACTTTGGGAACTGCCTTGATCCAGTGATGGGCCACCACAACGCAGGAAGTCACTCTCAGTGACCAGCACAGCTCACCTCCAATGTGCATCAGAGGCAATTTGCAACCATCACTCAAAACACCTCCCTGCACAAGCACCCTGTGGCAAACCATTACTGTATTTGCTGCCAAGGTTAGTCAATAGTTAATCCAGGGGTGATTTGAAGTTCATTATATTTGCTCATGCAGCCGTGCGTTTTTAGAATAATTTTTTATAGCTTATTAAGTACAATTCTGCCATCAGATGGTTCTTACATTCCCATGAACAAAACCAAATAACTCTGTAAGTGCTATAAATAGTCCAACAAACTCCACTTTAATAAGTGTTAAGCAGATTTTTTGCCAGGTTGCCTCAAGTAATGTTAGAGAATGGGAAAAGTTGCAGTTAAAATACATGAAACTGACTGCTGCCAAAGGCCTGTGGTCCAAACCCCATGTGACAATAAACCAATGGGTCACCATAATAAGCATTGTGGGTTACCATACCAAAAGGGTCGGGAACCACTGTGTTATGCCAAATTTATCTTGCACCCAAGGCTTCCATCCGTTATATTGCTTCCCAGTTAGTTTGGCGCTGTGGTCTAAACAACTGAGCCTAGCGCTTGCTGATCAGAAGGTCGGCGGTTCGAATCCCCGTGACGGGGTGAGCTCCTGTTGCTCGGTCCCTGCTCCTGCCAACCTAGCAGTTCGAAAACACATCAAAGTGCAAGTAGATAAGTAGGTACCGCTCCGGCGGGAAGGTAAACGGCGTTTCCGTGCGCTGCTCTGGTTCGCCAGAAGCGGCTTAGTCATGCTGGCCACATGACCAGAAAAACTGTCTGCGGACAAACGCCGGCTCCCTCAGCCAGTAAAGCGAGATGAGTGCCACAACCCCAGAGTCGTTTGCGACTGGACTTAACTGTCAGGAGTCCTTTACCTTTATCTAGTTTGTTAGTTTGTTGTTGGTCTCCCTCCATTATCTGCCACTTAACTTCACTTTCTGAATTGCATCCACTGTAAACATAGCACCGGAGACAAAGCTCACCTGACAAGCCTCTGTGCGCATTTTGGCTTTCGGTTCAGCTTCCTGTTTTCTTTTAACAATGTACGTATTCTTCTTCTGTCATCATAGCCTGCTCCTGGCAATAAATGCTCTGTAACTTAGTTGGCTAGGGCTGATGCAGGAGGGCACCAGGTTGGCAAAGGCTGTGACCATATTTCTGAAGTGTGGCTTAATCTATTTATTAACAACCCTGTCAATATTTGCCTAATTTTGAGGGAGAGGTACTAACAGGTGTATTTTTAAGTCTCTGCCTGCTTGCTTTAGGAGTTGAGCTGGGATTTTCTATATCCCTGCTTGTTCATTTTTCAGTTCTTCTAATGCTGACTGATTCCTATCAAAGAATGCACAGAAGTTGTCTTCTCTGTGTCACATTTTACCTATTTTTCTTTTCTGCTCATTGTCTGAAAGCTTTTTTACTGAACAGTTTCTTTAAATATTGCTACCATTCTATTTCTTGTAAATTGTGCCATCTTCAGCCAAATTAGAAATTATTCAAGGAAGTCAGAATGGTAGTGGTAAGAGGACCCGTAATTTGTCTAGTTGGTGAAAGCTTTTTAAAATATTTCTCATTGTCTGTTCAAGTTTGTAAGTATGTGGATGTAGTTGCTGAGAATCTTCTTTCATCCTTGAGCTTGATAAGGCCTTTCTGGAGCCCTATTTTGTTGCAATGTATGGCATTTTGTATTATATTCTGTTGTTTTAATCTGCTGTTCACTACTTTGGGGAGCTTTGGACTGGAAAGCAGCATATTGCAGTCATAATGGTATTTCTCAACGACTCTCCTCTTATTCCGATTGGTTAGTTCTGGGCTATTATGTCAATGGAACCTGGGTCATTTGTGAGATTTTAATGTTGCTAATAATATCATCGTTGTGAATAATAGTGATACTTAGCATGGAAACAGTACTTTTGAGTGTTCAAAGTATTTAACATACATTATATCTTCATGTGACCATTAACAACAACTGTGTAAGGAAACAAAATAAAAAAATTCTTCCAGTAGCACCTTAGGCACCAACTAAGTTTGTTATTGGTATGAGCTTTTGTGTGCATGCAAACTTCTTCAGAAAGTTAACACTATCCTATATTGCAGATCTGGAGGGAGGGAGGGTGTGTTAAGGCTTAAGGCATGGGTAGGCAAACTAAGGCCCGGGGGCCAGATCCAGCCCAATCGCCTTCTAAATCCGGCCCGCGGACGGTCCAGGAATCAGCAGGTTTTTACATGAGCAGAATGTGTCCTTTTATTTAAAATGCATCTCTGGATTATTTGTGGGACATAGGAATCCGTTCATTTCCCCCCCAAAAGAATATAGTCCGGCCCCCCACAAGGTCTGAGGGACAGTGGACCAGCCCCCTGCTGAAAAAGTTTGCTGACCCCTGGGCTTAAGGCTAGCTGGGGAGCGTATAGAGCAGCCCTAGGCAAACTCCGACCCTCCAGATGTTTGGGACTACAATTCCCATCATCCCTAGATAACAGGACCAGTGGTCAGGGATGATGGGAATTGTAGTCCCAAACATTTGGCGGGCTGGAGTTTGCCTATGCCTGGTATAGAGGAGTTGACATTCAAACTGAAGACCTTGTTTGCATTTCTGTCTTTTAGTCACCGCTGTTGCTTACAACCCGGAAAATCCTGACAACTTACATGAGCAGTTTGTAAATATTTATACTGAAGGCAAATTATCTCCAATTTTTATGGTAAAGTAAATTTTAACCAATATACATTCCATTCCTGCTAGAGTAGAATAAACTCTTACTTCCAGGAATAACGCAACAACCCTTTCCTTGCGGGTTCTAAAGGCTTCCCTCTGAATCACGGCCGGCATGCAGATCCCGAGAACATCAGGAGAATCAGGAAACTGCTCCAAACTGCTGGGCAAAGCCCTGTAGGCCACCTCTAGCCAACCCAATGCGGGGTTTACTTAGAGGAGGGTGGTTGCAAGCATGTAGCATGCAGACAAACAAGCCTTTGAACAAAGTCAACTTCCGCTGTCCCACTTTGTTTGTTTTCCTCTCTAAAATTTGCCAGAAGAGCCTTTGGACTTTCAATGCAACACCATCCATCAAAAGCAAAAGATCGCCGACACATTGGGTCCACAGTTCAGTGCCTACAAGCCGTTGGTCAGCAAGAGCCAGGCACCTCTCCTCCCCCTACAAAATAAAGAATCAGACAGATTGGGGGGGGGTGCCAGCAGCTTTCTGAGCTCCTGTCTAGCCAAAGAGCTCAATTATCTGTGCATCACTTCAGGGCCTGACAGAGGTGTGCTGTTTTCCACAAGCCTGGGGGGGGGGAGGGCTGGGAGGGACAGGTTCAGTTCAGAACAGGGTAGTTATTTGACCCTTCCCCCCCGCACCTCCCCTTTTCCTGTTTTGAACTCTTCCCCCCAACCCAGCTGGGGAATGAAGCAGGACATATAGCTTGTTAATTGGGGAAATGGCAGAGTGAAAGGGTTCACCTCCTCCAGCGTCAGTCCTACCATTGGGTAGGGTGAGCCTGTAGCCTCAGGCAGCAGGTACTGCTTGAGGGTGGCAGAACCCCACCCCTTCTGGGTTCCCTAAGGCAGCCTGCTCACCTCAGATATTGTGGTGAATAAAAGCTTCACCTGCCCATCTGGTGGGATTTTGCATGTGGGATGGGGTGAGCCCCATGTGCTCCTCCACTAGCCCTGGATTCCCCCTCTCCCTCCAGCTCAGGTGATCTCGTCTACTGGGGAAGGACAACAGCTTCTTTCAAGTCAAATGATCCTATAAACCAGCCTTTCTCAACCTGTGGGTCCCCAGATATTGTTAAACTACAACTCGCATCACCCCTAGCTAGCAAGGCCAGAGCTCAGGGATGATGGGAGTTGTAGTCCAACAACATCTGGGGACCCACAGGTTGACAGACACCTATTTTTCATGGTGCAAAGTTTGAAAGAATTCCCATGAAAATCTATACATATCCCTACCTATCACAGAGAAGAGTTTCAGCCTAGCTTTCCAAGCAGGAGGATCGTTTTCTATCTGTGGGGATAATTCCTTTGAGGGAGCACAGAGTTCCTTCTCTGAGGCTCAGATCCTAGATTTCTGCTATTAGTGGTGCCCCAAACCAACCCACTGGGCCAGGCAGCCTCCATCCCATCTCTGCTCTTCCTCATCCTGGGGCAAACTCTGCAATCTTCCAGTTAGCAAATATTAATGATTGTATTTTGCATTTTTGTTGCATTTCTTGAGGGTGCAGAGCACTTTGTCCCACTGTTGTACACTTGTCTCTGAATGACTTCCAAACCTCATTTGAGCCAGTTCACACACTCCAGAGCGCTGGGGTTTTTGAGGAGGGTAGGGTTCCTTTGCCAGCACCAATAAAGAGGCAGGAGCTCCCAGAGCTCTACAGGAGGGTGGATTTCCGTGCCTTTCAAACTTCTGTTCTCCAAGGGCACTTTTGGCTCCCAGCAGCTGTTGGGTAAACAACTCTTGCAGTACAGCAAAGGGGCCAGAGGGAGGGATCCAAAAGGAGGGCTTCCTGGAGCAGGCAAGTCGCTGCGCCCTTGGAGCAGCTCCACAAACAATTCACCTTCATGCATGACAACACTCCAGCCAAGCTAACTTTTTTTGTGGGGGGAGCTTTCTATTCCATACTCTGGTAAGGAAGAGGTGGAATCAAAGAGGAAGAGAAGAATAGCATAGCGTTGGGGGAGGGGGTGTAAGCCCACCTCCCACCAAAGCAGCACCTGCTCCAAACCATCTGTACCTGATGCAGATAAGTAGGAGTCATGGTGACAACCATCAAGCTGGAATACCCTTCCCCACAAAGGTGCTAGGAGAAGTGAACCAAAGAAACTGAGCTGGTCAAAAGCTGCCTTTCTGGAAAAGATGGGTATTTTCAAATAATCAGAATGGATATTTATCATCTTCGTTACCCACCAAGAGCAGCACCCGCACCTCACGACAGCCCTCTGGGACAGGTCAAGTCACCAAGGGCTTGATTCCCATTTGTACAAGAACCACAATTTATTCTTGTTGCCATTAATGAGGGGGAAACAGAAGGAAAGAAGGGCAGGTGTTATAAAAGTTATCAGTTATCAGTTCTGTGGGCAGACACTGGACGCTCCTGCTTTGATTCACTGGTAAGCATCATATTCCAGACCACAGAAGAAGTCATCTAGCTACTTGAGGCACTCTTCACCCCTTCCAGGTGATAGATTAAATTTGCATTTAATGTGGAAATTTCAGATTCTTTAAATAGGAGAATCTCCTGAGCAGGATTGGGATTACGGTGTGCAGAGAGATGGAGTGAAACTTTTCCCTATTTTTCTGCCAAATCTCTCTCTCTCTCTCTCTCTCTCTCTCTCTCTCTCACACACACACACACACACACACACACAACTAGCCCCAAGAAAGAAGCCTCTACTGGAGCCCAAACAAACTCTCCCTAGGAATTTTGGAAGGAGAAAAAGGCAATCGTTGGGATACCCTCCAGACCCCAGCTGTAATCTAAGCCTATTGCAGAGTTTGGTTTTGTCCCAGGGTCCTATCAGACTCTGGTCTCCTCCAAGGTTCCAGCAGGGCTGCAAGGGGCCCAGCTGGAAAACCAATGACTGACCCCTGAGTCACTGTAGTGCCTGACTACCTAGAGAAAAACCTGGAGATGGAAACATCTGTGCTCTGACATCACTTCCATGTGGGAGAGACAATGGAGAAGCAGCCAAGAGTGGCTCACAGTGAAAGTTGGACAGAACAGGCTGTCCAGGGGAGGGGGCAAGGGTCACAGGTACAAAACAATGGCACAAGAAAAAGTTTCCCCAACTACAACTACCAGCTTTTTCTTTTTTCCTTTTGCAAGGGGTGAGCCAAAGTTTTCTTCTTGTTTCCCTTCTGAGTTACATTCACCCAGACCTCCCTCCCAGCCTGGCCCCCATTTCTCAGCACACAGGACATGCCAGAGTACAAGTGTGAATTAAAAACAAACTTTGCACTCATTATTTCTGGTGCCATCCTCCAGGAGCTCCCACTTGACCAGCCCTCCCCCACACCTCCAGAGTGTCTCAGGATCTTGGAGATCTTGATGGATCTTCTACAGTGCAGGTGTATACATCCAGTAGCTCACAAAAAGCCAACATTGCAATAATTAAATGAATCTAGAAGCCAAGGAGATGGTGCAGCTGTCCCTGCTTTTGCAGCAAACACCGGAGCTTGAAGGAATGACGCTTTAACACGCTAATGTGTAGTAAGGTTTCAGCTACTTGTCAAAGTTTAACATTAATGTTAAATGTTAATGCTGGGTTAGCAAATCAACACACACACACACCCCACCCACAACAAGCCACACATTTCTGCAATCAAGCATGTTGTGCCCAGTTTTTATAAACTTTCTGCACTAGCTCAGCCTAGTTCTGTGGCCTTTTCAGCCCAACCCCTAAGGAAGGTGGAGAACAATTCTTCTCATGCTAGACTAAGATGGAAAGAAAGTGCCCTCCAATTCCCTGACAAGCAGCAACAGAGGGCTTGCCAGGGGAGCACCTCCTGACAGCCTAGGTAAAGGTAAAGGGACCCCTGACCGTTAGGTCCAGTTGCGACAACTCTGGGATTGCGGCGCTCATCTCACTTTACTGGCCAAGGGAGCCAGAGGTTGTCCACAGGCAGCTTCCAGGTCATGTGGCCAGCATGACTAAGTCGCTTCTGGTGAACCAGAGCAGCGTAAGAAAACGCCGTTTACTTTCCCGCCAGAGCGGTATCTATTTATCTACTTGTCGCAGGGATTCGAACCTCCGACCTTCTGATCAGCAAGCCCGTAGCGCCACCCGCGTGGTCTAAATCCACTACAAACAGCAACAGAGGGCTTGCCAGGGGAGCAGCTCCTGACAGCCTAACCCACAGCAATTTAATTATTTGCAAGTCTCAATTTTTGCTGCTCAAAGTCAACACACACACACACACAGACTTTTCTCCTTAATACTACAGCCTCAGACAAAAGATGGTCAGGATTTGCTCCCCAAAGCCCTATGCACGTTTTTACAGGAGTTCTGAAAGAGATGCTTCCCTTTCCATCTGCTACCCTAACATTGTGATAATGACAGGTCAGTTCAAACCCTGCCAACATTTCCATCCTGAGACCCAAAAATGTCAGGCCTTTTCCAACATCAGGTGGCTTAACTGCAGCCCTTTCTCACATGTGAGGTTTATTTCAAAGGTTGCTTATCAAACAAGCATACATTAAAGAAATCAAAACTCCAGGAGAAACAACATAGCTATATCTGCTTTTCCACAAGCAAATGTGGACAAAAGTTTCCACCTTACATTGTTCTATGATCAGGGAGAGGGAAGATGAGCCAAGGCCAGAGAAACCCACTGGGCTCAAGACACACAACCATGTGAAATTCTGTGGGTGGGTGATCTTGGGTGAGTTGCTGTTTTTCAGCCTATCCTACCTTACAGGGTTGTTGTGAAGATATAATGGGTGCTGTGGGTGGGTGTGGGGAACCTGTAAGCTCCTTGCAGAAAAGCATAGTAACGTAGGAGAAGAAATAAAGTAAAATATACCAGAACCTGTTTTTCTGAAGCAGGAATGGGGAACTTTTATCCAGCTGGATTGCTTTATGGGGAACCTTCTGGCAGCTGCATATCAGGGCAATTTGGCAGGACCAGATAGCAATGGACGTAACTCTTTCTTTCCTGCAAGAGGCCACATTCCAGCCATGCAAAAGTCTCTCTCTCCTCTGGGTCCAGGCAAGCAAGTGGTATTACCATAAATCAAGAACACATTTCAGCCAGGCAAAATGACTTAAGGAAGGTGCAAAGCAGTGCTAGAGACTAGTGTGTCCCGTTGAGGGGCATGGCCTGAGGAAGGTGTCTGAGAGCCTGTTGGGGGGCTGGGAGAGCTGCATTCACCCCGAAACCTGAAATGCCCCCTCCCCAGACCAGCTGCACAGCCTCCAGGTAAACCAGCAAATCCAGAAAGAACCAAGGACTTGTTTTACGTGTCGCAAAATAGCCTTAGAGATCACTGCACTCATCATCGCCTCACAGCTGAACAAGAAATGCTTCTGGTTACAATGGAAAAGCAAACACAAACATGTCCTGAATCCTAGCCTTACATATTCATTCATTCATTTATTTGCATGCATAACATGCATCTCAACCCAATATGAGTTATTCAGACAAAAGAGACATTAATGGTGGTGTCAAAATCACATCAGGAAAATAAAGTTTCCTTCCTTTTTCCCAGCGTGCCCAACCCAAAACAGTCCCACGTCTACTGCCAGAGCCAGCACAACAGACAGGAGTCCTGTTCTTTCCACACGCAGCCCCAAGACATTTTAGTCTCCAGTCTCAACTTTTAACCAACCCCTTGCCGCCTCCAAGTTCTAGCCTAACAGTATGCAAACACCAGAAGATCCCTCTGCAGTTGATGCAAGACAAAAATAGGGCTGGGGACCATGTCTTCTCCCAAGTGCACAGACATCAACATGAGGAAACCATACAATTCACTCTGTTCTCAGACCCCCTGCTTCAAATAGGACCATTTGGCATATTCTCCAAAAATTTAAACTGACAATCAGCACAAAGAGCAATGGTTTAAAAGACAGTAGTAACATTATTTAAATTAAAAGGAGAACAAGCCACAGAAGTACAGGCAACTTTAAAAGGGAAACAGGACACACACACAAAAGAAATGTCCTGGCCAATCTCCACTCAGGAGTCTGGACATATTACTGATTTTTTATTTTTCAAATGTTTATGTCACCGTTTGGCTGAAGAGGATGGCACAGATGAGAATCAAGACTGAAGCTTACCACAAAGCCAGTAAGCCATTAAAAACCTCAACAAAGCAACAATAAAAATGCATAATCTTAAAGTCAGCAGCTGGAGACTAACACCAGCAAACTCTTTAGCAGTCCTCCAAAGCCTTAGGAAGAGAAGGGCAGTTTTACTCTCTTTCAGTGGCTTCAGCCCTGCCCTGGAATTCCTCCCCAAGGAGACTTCTGGCAGAGTAGACATGTAAGGGGTTGTACAGTCAAAGACCCAAGAGGTTGCCCAGATGGGAAGGCACCAACATCAAGGAGTCCTGCTCAATACTGTGCCAAACAGAATTGGGAAGAACATTCAGAGTTGCACGGCCTCCTCAACACTCACGTTACCAGAAAGGATGCTCTCCACATTACACACAGATCCTACAGATTGCACTCAATCCAAGATGTCTACAGCCCAAGAGTCAGCCTAAGATATTTTTCTGTCTGAGATGCCATGACTTGGTCCGTGCAGCACAGTCATGGCAGCAGCTCTCCAGGGTTCCAGAAGGGCAACACCCCCAGCCCTACCTGGATTTATCCTGGGGCCTTCTGCACTGCTGAGCTAAGGCAGTCCTTTCCCGATACAGCTACTGCTCAGAATGAAATGAGTGATGTTTCCCCAAAGCATGGGACAAAGCAGTCCCACAACAGACAAGGAAAAAGGACAGGGAGTTTTAAGCCTGCTGTCCTAGGCTGATGTTGCAACAAGGGAAGAGGGTGGGCAGATGGTTCTAGCAGCCCATCATGAAAAGTCAGGAATAGAGTGGTGGAAAAACAGCAGTGAAAACTTGAACAGTGTGGATGGTGAACATGCTGCTAACCTGAACCTGTTTGGTTCTTTATTCGCCTCCCTCCCTCTGCTGTCAAGTCAACAGTGGGAACAGCGCTTAAGCAACACACTTAACAGGAAGGTCGCTTCCAGACAACTTCTTTGCACAAAGTTTGTGGGTATTTATTGAGTGTTTATTCTGATTTGTTTGAGAAAAAGTTCGACAATGTCGTGCCAAGAAAATGTTATCCCAAACTTTCTAGTGCATCATTATCCTTATTGTAAAAAGTCTGATTTGGGAGAGAATAGAGCTTGTTGTGCAATAACTCCAAATTTAATAGTGCATGTATTTGGCAATATTTGATTGAATCCCACCCCAAAATAGTGACTCTCTGAGAGCTCCCAAAGTTGTTTAAGAAATTTAATTTTACCTTCCCTACCAGCTGCAGATGTGTGGCCCATCATTAAACTGTCTACCTCTCTGCTTATCCCAGATGACATCAACAGACATTGTGCAAAAACTGAAGTACTCTGTGACACATCAACCACCCCAGAACCAACGCACTGGCTTATCATCCCTGGCTCTACAAATGGCCAGAGGAGCAGACATGCCATCAGGGAAAGAGCCATAGAGGACAAACCTTTCAATGGTCTGAGGGGAGCAAGAGACTCCAAAAAGAATCTTTAAAAATAGAAAATACGAATGGGACTATTGGGGGAAATATCATTGATTGTAGCAAACCAATCGTCAGCTGATGCTGCTCCACATGTCTCCAGGCAGATCAGGGTTCACCAACATTTTTGGACCAGGGAGCACATTTCAAATTTTGAGAATGTGCTGTGGGCGCCAGTCATAAAATGGCTGTCATTGGTGTATGGCATAACACAACATGGTTGCCATAGGGCAGCCAAGCATAACACAAAATTAGACAGTGGAGTCATGGTGGAGCTTTCCCCATAACTGTATTTTGTTACTAGAAAAGGTTTAACCAGCTGAATTTATGTTAAAGGCACGAAAACTGTTCCCTTCAGTGCCAACCCTAAACCAAAGCTTAGGCTGCCCCATTAAACACAAGGAGACTTACTTCTCAGTAGAGAGGTGCAGTATACTAGTTTACTGTACAGTGAATTCTTAATGAGTGCCTGGTCTTTCGCTTCTGCACAGCAGGAGTCATGCCTTAGCCTCTTTGCAAAGTTTTCACATCCACCCACATTTATTGTGCAGTAGTAGCATTTGCAGAAATAACTTCTAGGGACTATCTGATCTCAGATGAGCCCACCGCAAGGAAAGAAGTATCCTGATTGCTAAGGACAAACTACAGAGGTTCCAAGGACTAGAAAATAAGACAGAAGCAGAAAAAAATAAAGGGAAGGGCAAATAATGAAAGATGATTGTGTCCAGTGAATTCACTGAAGAGTGTGGAGGAGAGAAGCCCTTCTTGCACAGTACAGGATCCTAACCCACCCTAAGCTTCTCTCCTTCTTTTCCTCCTCCAGTGTCACCGGCCTCCTGCTGCTCCTGGCTTACAGAAGCCCCTAAAATCCATGGGCTGTAACGGACAAATTTCAGAGAAGCAGAACAGCCTAATGGGCGCAAGCGCATGATTCCCCACTCACTTTGCCCAATGCTGAGATGTCCAAACAGCATCCATTCATGTATAAAATGAAAAATCAATAAAAACTGTTTGTTTTTAACAGCATCCATTCATTGGGAGGCACTTGAGGACCACTGAAGGAAAGCAGCGTTGCCACAAGGCCTGATCCTTGTGGATTTGGGGAGACAGTCTGACCCTCAGGGCACAGTAGGAATGTAGGAAGAGCCTGCTGGGTCAGGCCATCTAGTGCAGCATCCTGCTCTCACAGTGGCCAACCAGATGCTTGTGGGAAGCGCTCAAACAGGCCACGAGGGCAACAGCAACTCTTCCCACTTGTGGATCCTGGTCACTGGCATTACTAAGAGAGGCACAACAAAGCCACCTGGGCCAGCAGTTGCTGATAGCCTTGCCCTCAGCAAATCTGCCTAAACCCCTTTGAAAGTCATCCAAGCTGGGGCCCATCACTGCCTCACGTGGGAGAAGGACCATAGCTCAACTATGCACCAATCCACACCAGCCTTCCCCAACTTGGGGGAGGGGGAGCGACCAGATGTTGCTGGACTCCTTTGGCTGTGCTAGCTGGGGCTGGTGGGAGTTGGAGTCCGGCAACATCTGAAGACTGACCTACCCTAATTTAGTTAGCTGACATGCCTCATAATTTTAAACATGTAGTAATTCTGCCCTTCCTGCTGGTAGGCAGTGAAATCCTAAAGTAGCCTTTATTCTAACAGGGCAAAAGAGGAGGGGGAGAGGCCAGCTGGGGAATGATCCTGCAAGAAAGCGTAGGAAGGGTGCCCAAGTGATATCTGGATGCTGGAAAGCTTTAGTCTGGGGGCTGGGAAGGCCTAGGCCAAGATGCTGGTACCGCAGGTGGAAAATCCAAGCGGGACTCAAAGAGGAGATGGAAACCCCGAGGGCAGACTCCCCTTTAAACGAAGGCGAACTGTGGAAGACAGCAGAGCCTCCCGGTGGATCGGTCCCCTCCGCTATGGCCCGGCTATGAGGGATTCCCGCGCCCTCACCTGGACAGGGCAGCTCCCCTCCAGGGATCCAGAGACCCTCCTCTTCCTCCCGGGAAGCTGCAGCTGCAAGGGGCGCCGCGCAAGCTTCGGGGCCGCGCAGGGCTGCTCTTCCGACGGCGCCGAGCCCTTCGCGGAGGCTGCGTCGCCCGTACTTCAGAAAGCGGTGAGTGAAGTCTCCCCGCGGCGGCCAGCCGGCCCCGGAGCACGTGCAGAGCGCCGACTCCCCCTGCGCGAGCCCGGCCGGCCGTCCAGTCGGCGACAGCGCCGGCGCCGCGCTCCTTCCTCCCCGCGAGCGCCCCGTCGAGGGAGGCTGGTCCTCCGAGCCAGGCACGGCCGAGCGCGACTGCCCGCCTCCTCCCGGCCGTCGGGGGAGGGACCCGAGACGGGGAGCCACCCCGGGCGGAGGCGGAGTCGCGCAGGGGAAAGGCCGCCCGCGCTCTCCGCGGCCCTCTGCACATGCTCGCGGGCGCCCCGGTCTCGCTGCTCCGAGGAAACCCGATCCAGGGAAGGAAGCCCCGCGCAGCTGAGAAAGAGGCTCGGCGAGCATGGGCAGAGCGCCCGCCCGCCCAGGGAGCCAGCAGGAAGCCGGGCGGAGGCAGGAGGCGCCCGGGAGGGGAGATGGCGCTCGCCCAACCCAAGGCAAAGGGGAGGAAGAGAGTTTCTTCCCGGGTCTCTTACCAGCTTCGTCCCCTTCCCAATATTCGATTTTTGAAACCTATGTCAGGGCGGGTACAGCAGCGAAGAGCTCGGCGGCTCCTTCAAGGGGGCCCGAATCTGTCTTCACGGAATCGAGACTGCAGACGAAGCCTCCCCAATGCCCAAAGCGCGAGGCTGATTTTAGTACTATCAAAATCCAAGGCTCCTAGCCCACGCTCTGCTCTCCGTTTTTCATGGCCCGATGCCTGATTTGTAAGCCGTCCTTTGATGGACTTTGAAACCCTCAAAGGGGGCGAGGGAGCAATATTTCCAATCAATCAACAGCCCACCTGAAGGTGTGGGGGGGGGGGGAATAACCCGCCTCCCTCCCGCGATGGGAGAACTGGCAAAGAGTCCATCAGCTTTAACTGAATCAGATTCTAAAGGGGGGGGGTGTTGTCCCTCGCAGAAGGCGGCCCGCCTCCTCTCGCTAAAATAAAGCCACGAGGTTCCAGATGGTCTGGATATCCAACACTGCGATCCTAGAATATATGTAAGTCGCACAAGGTGTTCCCGCAATTTCAGAGTAGTGTCCTGGCTGGAGAGTGACAGACAGAAGTCCTGCGAGCCTCAGGCAACAAACCAAGAGTCAATAAGAACCAGGGAAGCCGGACAAGGAGTCTCCCTTAGGCGTAAAAAGAGGATTAGAATAAAAGCCTTTACAACAATGAAGGCTATGAATGAGGTGGGGCGAAACCTAAGGAAATGCTGATGGGCGACCTTGCCTAAGAACCTGAGCCTGGCCCCATCAGGGTTGCATGACCCTCAGGCATTCTGTGTGGGAGCTGTTTTGGAAGACACTAAAATGCATATATTAGATGCACTAGCACTGAGCTACAGCCCATGTCCAATTGGAGGATATAAATATAAATTCTGTAATTATAAATGAATGGATCTCCTTGTGCTTCCTCTTGGGTCTCAGAGCAGCTCACTTTCTGGTCAGGCATCTCCCCTGTCAGTTGGGGACCTGCCATTTTGGATTTTACACCTCTGTGTATCAAAATGCCAATTCCAGCAGGAACAATTTGCAGCAAGGAAATAAAAAGGTAAAGGGACCCCTGACCATTAGGTCCAGTCGTGGCCGACTCTGGGGTTGCGGCGCTCATCTTGCTTTACTGGCCGAGGGCGCCAGCGTACAGCTTCCGGGTCATGTGGCCAGCAGGACTAAGCCACTTCTGGCGAACCAGAGCAGCTCACGGAAATGCCGTTTACATTCCCGCCGGAGCAGTACCTATTTATCTACCTGCACTTTGACGTGCTTTTGAACTGCTAGGTTGGCAGGAGCAGGGACTGAGCAACGGGAGCTCACCCCATTCGGGGGGATTTGAACCGCCGACCTTCTGATCGGCAAGTCCTAGGCTCTGTGGTTTAACCCACAGCGCCACCCGTGTCCCAGCAAGGAAATAGTGGGCAAATAAAGGGTTTGGCTTCCTCCCCACATGCCTCTGCTCTTCTCCCAACATCACCACCACTCCACGAAATGCAACTTTCCTGATCTGGAGGGGTCTATTGGGTGCCTGAGGCATATTTGCTGTCTGAAATAAAGCTTGTCTTCTGGTTCTTATAACTTGCATTTTGCAAGGCCATTTGTGTTCACTCTTAATCAGATGCACAGGGACATCACTGCCATGAAACAGTTTATTATTCTACCCAAATATCAGTAAGACGGGCCAAAAATAAGTTATAGATGGAGTCAAATGGGAACAATAATCAAACAAATCTCAAGATGGCATGAATGCAACCACTAACCTGGTAAGACCCAAGAGGAAATGAAATGAACAAGAAGCATGAAGAGAGGATGAAGGAAGTTTAGCTACTCCCTCTCAACGTAGTGGGGAGGGGGGGTTCCAATGACAGTCTCCTTCCCCATGCAGCCTCCTTCTCAAAATTTTAATTTCCTAAATTACTTTGATTAAATTGTGTGTAAGGTTTGCTTCTGCATCCCACAGAAAATCAGAGAGAACCCCAGGGTCCTAATTTATAAAATTCAGTTGTTGGCTTACACAAAATGGGCACTCTGTGATCCCCCTGAGAACAAACCTTCAGTCCAGGAGTGTGGAAAATCCAAAACGGCAACACACACGCCCTGCATCAAGATGGGACATGACCCACTGCGAAGGTCTCCTGCAGAAACGAAGGGGAGATGCAAAGGGGTAAGTTGGACCTTGTAGCTGGAGGGCGCCCTTGTTGGCTGCATCTCTCTGCCTCCCAATGTGCCATCTCTCTGGTCTGGTCTGGTCTTCACAAGGTGGCAAGCGCCAAATGGAGCTGCCAGGAGGGCTTAGCCATCCTCCTGCCTTGGCTGCCTGCCTCAGGTGGCAGAAATGGAGGAGTGGGGAGCTGTAGGTTTGGTGTAGTCCAGGGGTCAGCAAACTTTTTCAGCAGGGGGCCGGCCCACTGTCCCTCAGACCTTTTTTGGGCGGGGGGAAATGAACGAATTCCTATGCCCCACAAATAACCCAGAGATGCATTTTAAATAAAAGGACACATTCTACTCATGTAAAAACACGCTGATTCACAGACCATCCGCCAGCCAGACTGAGGTGGCAATTGGGCCGGATCCAGCCCCCAGGCCTTAGTTTGCCTACCCATGGTGCAGTCTGTGTAAGTCTGCCACAGAAACACACAGAGACCAGGCAAGTCGACTGTGCAGTGGGATATATACAGCACGGAAGGATGTGGTTTTCACCCTAACATGTAATCATGTGAGATTAGGGTTATTTTACATTTTGGTTTTTTAAAAAAATCATGTACCACTCAGTGCTGATACTGCGTACCCTAGAGTAAAAAAGGTAAAGGTAAAGGTACCCCTGCCCGTACGGGCCAGTCGTGTCCTACTCTAGGGTTGTGCGCCCATCTCACTTAAGAGGCCGGGGGCCAGCGCTGTCCACAGACACTTCCGGGTCACGTGGCCAGCATGATGAAGCTGCTCTGGCGAGCCAGCACCAGCGCAGCACACGGAAACGCCGTTTACCTTCCCGCTATAAAGCGGTACCTATTTATCTACTTGCACCTAAGGGTGCTTTCAAACTGCTAGGTGGGCAGGAGCTGGGACCGAAAGACGGGAGCTCACTCCGCTGCGGGAAGTACTTACAGGAAAAAAGCTCTGCTACCACTGCTCATCAAATTCCACAGCTGCTCACACACTGGAACAGGCAGCTTACAAAACCTTCAACAAAATGATACCAAACATTAAAACCAAGCTACTGAGCAGTGAAGCAGCAGTGCGATCAAAAACAACAACCCAGCGGGCTGAAGCTGGTTAAAGATCTTAATCAGCAATTTCCAAAGACTTTAAGAACACAAGGAAGAGGCAGCCGGGACTCCCCATAGGTGGAAATTACAGAGCATATAGACTGCCTGGAATAGACAAGGCCCTGAGCCCACAGGAGGTCTGTCCAGCATCCACAGGCAATGGAATTTGGAGCAGAAATTTTCAAATGCCAAGGGAACTCATTCGGGAGGAGATTTTTGGTAAATACAAGCATCCTCCAAATGGAGCATTGGGTCAATGGTCATCTTAGGAAAGCTACCACTACTCAGTTTCAGCACCACCACCTCAATAACAATCCTGGCGTGTCTTACAGAGCTGACTACAGTACAATTGTAGTGCTTGAAACATAAAAAGTCATATAAACAATAAGTAGTATGGTTAATACTCATTGCAGTCATCTTAAAAAATTAATTGGGTATCCCTTTCCACCTCAGTCTACCTAATGACCAAAGTTGGTATAATGGCATAGTGATGTAGTTTCCCAGGTGAGCAACTGAGGCTGAGACACACAGGTGGAGTGTGTGTGTGTGTGTGTGTGAGAGAGAGAGAGAGAGAGAGAGAAGTGGGGCCCTGCTGCCTCCCCCCATTAGGTTCTCCATCCTCTCCCTTTCTAGGCTTATGAAGGCAAATGGGGAGCGCGATTTGCCCTGGATGGGACAGCCCTGCTAAGACACATATATCGCTGGCCAAGCCGGGGCCACCCAGTGAAATGGAATTTGAGCCACACCTTTTGGTCTGTTCCTTGAGTCACGTTCAGCTGTAGAGTTAGGAAAGAAAATAAGCTATTATTATCCCCTGAGCCTGTAATTAACCTTGTAACGGAAATGGTTTAATTGCTTCCCAACTGGCAGAGTTTCTCATTCAGAAGACCGTCTTCCAGTTGGGCAAGATGTTCAAAGGGCTGAGGCAGACATCCTCCAAATCACACATTCCAAACACAACATGGTGTTCCAAAGACCACAAAGTTCTCTTGAGTCTATGCTCAAAAGCAGATTATCTCCATGCAACTTGCGGAAGAGAAAAACTGCTGTTTCAGAATCGGAAAGGCACAGTGTGGCCCCCGTAGCAGGTGGAGTTAGTTGCCCAACTCCCTGGTCAAGGCCTTTGTGCAACACAGATTACCTTGTTCCAGTCTGTCCTATCAATGCCTCTGATAGTTCCTCTTTCCCTCCATTCACTGTCTTCCTTTTGAAACTGCCCCAGAAGCTTCCCAGAAGTTCGTGGCTCTGCCCTTCCTGTGGAACATTAACAGCTATTACTATTGTAATCACCACATATATTTTTTTGTTTTGCTAAATGAGTGGATTACCTGAGTAATAATACAAAATGAGTATTTCTTCCATCATCACATAGATAAATGCTCCTTTACCAGAAAGGCGGTGCCTGCTGCAAACGCTGTTTAGGAGTTTTTGTTTTTTGCAAATATGTGGCTTTCACAAGAGCTCTGAAGTATCTTTGGGCTGTGTTCTGCCTCAATGGGTTCACAGGGCTGAGTCAAAAGAGGAATGGCAATAGAAAGCTGCAATTTAAATGTTTTGCAGCAGATGGCCAAATTGTTAGCCTGTTTCAGCCACCCT